TAGTATGCGGAATTTTTTACATAAACTAATTTTATTCAAAGTTTATGCATCGTATACAAAAATAAACTTAAAATATAATTATTCTTATTCAAATATTATCGAATGTTAAATACCATAATCATTTACATAAAAAATTAATAATTCAAAATTGATAAATTATTTTATAATGAAATTTTTTTACTATTTTAATAATAAATTTAACTTTCTTTAATTCCAAAATATATTGTTAAAAGTATTTTCACTTGTAATTCAGATATTCAATTTTTCAATATCAATAATTTAATTAAAATACTTTGTAAAGATGCGTAAAGATATATCATATATAATAAATGAATAAAAATTACAGAAATAAGAGTTGTCATTTAAAAAACCTAAAACTCAAATCTATTTTATAATATGTTACTTATTTATTAAAAATTATAATGAAAAAAAAATGTTGGACTCATTTATTTAAAATATTCAAATTATTGAATTTCTTAAAATTGTGAATAATATGTTATATACTTTAAAATTTAAATCACGTATTTTATTTTCAAATTTATATTTCATATTATCAAAATGATAATAATACCAAATATGATAACATATTTTACACGTTAAGATAAATTAAAAATTATTAAAAATAAATTTCTATTCTAGAAGATTACCAATTATAAAGTTGAAAACATAAAATATGATATAACATGAAATAATATTTATACTTACAAAAATGTCATTAATTACGAAATTATTAAACAATTAGAGTTACAGCGTACATAGCGAAAAATAGTTTTTATGTTAATATATTCATCATTCTAAACATATATGTTCTTTTATATATACCATCTGTAACAACCCTTTTTACCCATGTTATTATTATTTCGTGAATTAGACTTTACTAAATATATCTGCGTAAATCCAAAGTCACTTATTCCTACCACTGATCCCTGCAACTTCATTTTTATGTAGTAGTTTTGCAAATCACAACTCATTAAAGAAAAAATAAAATTTTTTTATGTAATATTTTTTGAAATTATGTAAAATGTAACTCATTCTCGACATATTAAAATAGATTTAATATTAATGTTTATAATTTATACAGACAACCTTATATAAATCAATACTTTTATGTTGTAATTGTAAACTTTTGCTTGTATTATATTTATTTAAAAAAAATATTTATAATTATCTAAATAATTTAAGGAACTCAATTGTGAAGATAAATTTTTATGGCTATTTTTTTACACAGACATTTTTTTATAAATCGCATTGAAATATATTTAATAAAAAATTTATTTATAATAAAAAATACTCGGTACATTATTTTGTCTATTAATAATGAAAATATAATATAAAACATATTTAATTGCTATTCTACATCAATTCTTACTTAAATTGAAACCAAAACTAGAATATAAAAAAAAACTTAATATTTTTCACATTTATAAGAGAACTCATTTTTATTTCTAGTAAAATAAAAATTTTAGAATTATTTAATTTCATAATAACTACCAATAATTCCTTCTTGGTATGCCAAGGCATTTTTAAACTTATTAAGTGTATACTTTCTAGAAACATATACTTTACTTTCATGATTCTATACCATAATATTATGTTACATAATTATACAATTATATACAAATTTTCTGATTCTAACTGTTACATCCTACTAAAAATATTCGTAATTACACTTAATTCAGGAATTGAAAATTCTACAATGTCCAACAATTCATCTCTTCAAAATGTAGCAATAATTGTATTGATATATATTGTAATAACATATAAAATAATTACATATAAAAATCCTTCAGTAGTACCTAAATAAATAAATAAATAAATATATATATATATATATTTTGATTCCTATATTAGATGGTATTATTTTATATGTACATAGTTACTAAAAGTATTATTATTATTTAAAAACAAAATAATTTATCAACGAATCTAATAAGGAAAGTTGAATGACAATTTCTTCGTTATATTCTTAAATGCGTAAGATAATTATTAAATTCGTTTTAATTCAATAGTACTAGTAAAAACTAATTACATATTTAAAATATTGTAATACAATAGTAAAATAGCATTGGGGATAATAAAAATGTATCTATATATTTAAAGTATGATACAGTGTGTGTACAATCATGTATAATATACAAGTTCCAGTATTTTTTTGCAAACGTTATTATAACTATTTCGACTTTAAAACTACAGGAATACAAATTGTTAATACATAAATTAAAAACTTTACGCATCAAAATTAAACATCGAAAGTATTTATTCTCTATTATATAAAATATTTATGCATGATTGCATAAATATGATATGAAATCATATAGTATAAATAAATATCAAATATAACGGCAATATTAATTTCAAAAATAAAATTTTAAAGCTCCTTATAACTTTCGCTTATTCTATAACAAAACTAAATAAAGAATATTAATAATTCAATTGTTCAGTATATTAATGTTATTATTAAAAAAGTTATTTGATATAAGGTTATTTTCACGTTATCAATAACTAAATAATAATTAGAGCTTTATTCCACTTTTTTATGAAGTTTATATTTGTATAAGTATAATAATCATAAAAAGCTACTACATAGTTTCAAAAATAGAAATTGTTAAACATTCAATGCACCTTCTTCCAAATAAATCAATATATGCATACATATAAGTACACAATATATACTATGAAAAACGAAACACCGAAAAACCCATATTATGCAATTGCGCGTGCTAGTACACGAATGTAGGTATGTATATAAAATAAAAATATGCATGTATGCATTTTTATATAAATATGATGAATATTTTTTTCGTACATGGCATAGTTTTGACAAAGAAAATGTTAATAATATTTTTATTTTATAATTTTATGGATATTAAAAATATATATATGGGGGGGAGGGGTATGTGTATGTATGTATATATAAACGGTGGTGTTATATTTGTGGCACTGCTCAGTCATGCATCGTGTTAATCCCACTCCGCACGTTGTGTGCCTAACGCATATAAAATAGTATGATATTTAAAAATAAAACGTGCATTTGCTTATGATAAACATGCTTGCTCATATTTCTTATTAACACATAGCTAACATAAAATAACCCAATATACTACAAGGAGTTTACTGTACGAACTTTATGTCACCGTTACATTCTTCCTCTCTCTCCGTCATATTTCCGATTATCGTTCCCTCTTGATCTTATTCTATAATTCTAAATTCCTCTCTGTTATTTTGATCAAATCCAAATCTTTTTTATATAAACTTCACATACATATATGTGAACATGTCTCTCTAACCATATTTCCATTTCTATGTAATTTTTAAAATGTCAACGATTTATATTGGTTTATAAAAAACAATAATAAGACAACGACTAAAAAAATTAAATACGCATGAATATAAAAGAAAAATTAAAGTAGGATTCTTCCATTGTGTATAAAAATTTCTATTTGAAATCAAAGCGATAGAACGAAAACATGCTTGTTCACATATAACATATAGACGACTGAATAACTCATTAGCTAAATCAACGTAAATAATACTTTAGCGATTATTACAAGTTGAAACATAATAGTATAATATTCAAAATTTATAATAATATTGGTATCTTATGCCTTTCATATACGTATTATTTAGTAGCGTACATGTTTTTATTTTAAAAAATAGAATATTAATATATTTATAATAATTTATTTTCATAGCACCTTAAAAATGCAATTGAATTCAAATACGGTCAATCAATTTAACCTTATTTGACCTTATAACCTCAATTTCACCTTATGAGTATATACTAAGTACAATAATTTATAGAATTTAATTATAAGTAACTGATTTATAAATTAAATAGATATATACAAAATTTATATATTGTATAAATTTTATATAAATGTATATATTTAATGAAAATAATAAATTAAAATAAAATCTTTAAAAAATTGTCTGCGAAAAAATATATTACTTCTATTAAAGTATCTTTAAAATATTTATGATTAATTAAATAATAATTTTTATATTTTTCATATTTCTTTAAAGAATTTCTAAAAATATAAATTATTTGAATTATTATATTAATTAAATACTTTAAGTTTTGAATTAAAAATATATTATCAAGTATCCATGTGCATTCTACTTTGTTCTAATTAACATCTATGAAATAATATTTCATAAATGAATATTTAAAATTAACTTATCTCAGACGTGTTATTACTTATTACGAATAAAAATAAGTACAATGTACAGAAATGGAAATAAATTGTAAAAACATTTATACTATACTACATAAGTTTAGTTACCGATTTGTATTAATTCTGATTTATATAAATATTATAAATAATTCAAATTTAGAAGATTTGTCGTGTTTCTGTCATATCGTGTCTCAGAATGTATACATGAAAAATAATACATACAATAAATATAATAACTATACTCTCTTAAACAGTGCATCTTCGAATGAATGCATAAACTTATAGAATATTTGTACGAACTATTTTCTTATGCATATAAAGTCATTAAAATTTAATAGTAAAATATTAAAATAATATTTTATTTGGATAAAATCGAAAAAACAGTGGACAAAAACGTATGTTGTAATTTTTTATTCAAACGATTTGTATATATGTTCCTGTAACAGTATCCCAAAATCAACACTTATATTCGCATGTTCATGCACGCAGACATTACAAGAGAAAAAGAAATAAATGCATGGTAAAAGGGTGAAACCAAGCTAGGCATATACATATTAAAGTTAAATCTTTCTCAAGTAGTGCATACCTACCTTCGTGTAAGCGCTCGACAAACAGCATGTACAGAAAGAACAAAACTATAAACAATAAGATAAAAACAGCAATAATAATACTCGATGAGTATCAAATTATCAAAAAAAGTAAAAGGAATAAGTAAGCGCAATAAGTAAGAAAAAAACGAAAAGACAGAAAAGAGTCCCGACCTAAAAGAAACAGCAATAAGCCTCCATGTTATACCGTATTCTCCGTTGCCCCCTTATAATCTAGACACCTTCTCGGCACTACATCGTCCGCGACTATCCGGAGAGGGGCGTGAGATCGGCTCAGGAGCAGTACAGCTACTCGTATACCAATAACAGTAGCAGTAACAGCACGGACCCCTACGGGAGATCTCAACGTCAGAGCTACACAACCGAAAGCACGGTGAAGCGCGAAACAGGTCCTTATGGCAACTACACAACTGAACGGAGCACAAGGTCATCCAACGGTGGCCCCAGCGGATATCATTCGTCTTATGAAACATCAACTTCTGGACGTCTGCCCGGCGGCACCACCTATCGTCATTTCTCCTATCGCATCTGAGGGAAATCCTCATTATGCTTGCATCGCTTTACTTACCCCCTTTCCTGCTCGCCACCTAATCGTTTAACATGCGATGGTCTAAATGTCAACTAAAGAAACAATCCAACTAGTATCATCAATACCGCAAGGTCCAAAAAATATCCTGAATATATATTTTTATTGCTCTAGAACCAATACTATACTTTCCACCTTTTCACAACTGAGAGATTAGTTATAAAATTTTATTAAGTTACCAACCTCATGTTATTATATTCTGTTATAAATTAAATCAATTTCATTTCTTTTATATATTTTCTATTTCCCAGAAATCTACTGTGAAACAAAAATGTAAACAATAAGTTTCAACCAAACGATTATCTTCTAACTATATAATCTATAAATATACTTTACCGAAATTACGACACATTACTATCTTTTTAAAACTCTCGATTAATTGTATTAATGTAATGTGAATAATTAATTCAATAATTTGAAATTGAAATGCAACCATGATTACTCATAAATAGTAGTATTTATAATTTTTTAATATCTTACAATTAAAAGTGTATTATTTTATCTTAAATTTTATTAAATTTTTTAATCAATAAACTACAATATTAGTTTAATTAAATAATTATTTTTACTTGAATCAATAATTTTGTTATTCATATATTCTGAAGAGTAATTACTTAAACATGGAAATCAATTTAATTAAAATTTTTTTTTACTTTTATAATGTAATAATTTAAGAATACGTTTATTATTATGAACTTGTGCGTGTTCTTAAATTTTACAATGGTTATTAGTATTTTTTATAATTACGCAATAATTACGTTGAATGAATCGATCGATGGAAAATAAAAATCATAATACTATATTATAATTTAAAATTGTAATTTATTATTGTTAAAAATATTTAAGTTCTTTAACCCCAATATTAATCTTCTTAAATTACCAAGTATTAATCATAAGAAGCCTGGATCAGTAAATGTTTTTCTATTTAAAATTTAACTAAATAAGCATTCAAAATCTTTCTATAACATAAATTAAATATTTACATTTGACATAAAAAATATACATTCATTTTTTAAAAAATCTTGACCTCAATGCAAATCCAAGACCGCGCAAGTTCAACTGCTTCTGTAAAAACTTGTTACTTTCATTACTTTCAATTATAAACTAGGTCTGCGTTAAAGTTAAAGCTTACATTTGCTTTCGTATTTTTTTATTTCGATTCTCTTCTAGCAACAATCCTTATATCAACGTGTGTCTAAGGCTTTATTATTGTTATGCTAAAACGTGCCAATAAAATTGCAATTCATATGTATATCATGCATATGCGTGTCAAGCCTTGACCAAGCGATCCAATTATAAGAAATCTGAAAAGAAAACGCAATTGATGACTATAAATTCTTATATCTTTTGTATGTGACATGTATTATATGATTAAATATCCAACGTCAGTTGACGATACAATCGTAAATTGAAACAAAAAGCAATAATGTATGAAAGATTAACAGGTTTACTTTACATATAACAAATCTTATGACTGTATGCAATATCTAAACATTGTAACACACGATAAAATATATGCACATAGCAGACAGCTTTTATGTATGCTCTTTTATGTTGAAATACATAATAGTAATATAGAAATTGTCTTTCGTTTATACATCTACTACAGAATATCGTTTTCCTTATTATAGTGTTTAATGTCCTGTGTCATTAATCCCATTACAGAATAATTCTTATTGCATATTTATCGTAAATGTTCTTAATTTTAATTATATATATATACATTTATGTCTATTTACGCATAGGCATATACGTATGAGTGTGTGTGAAAAACTAAAGTAATTATTTATTATTCTTTTGTCAACTGTTCATCAGAGATATGATACGAAATGACTACTACCAACATAAATTTAAAAATTATAAATGTAATTTCAATGTAAATTTGACGAGTTTAATCTTATATTCACGCTAAAACATTCAAACGAAACATCAGACGTAAACGGTTGAAACAACTTTATTTCTACAATATGTGTAGAATATTTTCAAAATTAGGTCAAAAAACTACTAATAGAAAGTTATCTTATTTCGCCTCGCTAGACATTTAACAAGGAAATTGGCCAGCAGCGATTTATTATTAGAGAATCCAAAATTACCGAAAAAAGCAAGATGGCAAATATATTTTTCCACTTTTTTCAAACGAACCTTATTTCATTTGAAAAATGCGATGGACTTTTGCAATATTCGCAAAATCAATAATAAATATATATAAATAAGAAAATTATTTATCGGACTTATATAATTATCGTGTTAATTTTTTCTTATGAATTTTTCTTCCTATCCACCTACTTCCACCTACATCTCGGAATCGTCGACCGTGGCCCTAACTACAAAAATAATAAATCTACTTCAAATACTATTACTACGTTGGCTTTTACCAACTATTAAAGCCGCTACTACATGGCCCATTCTACTTTTACAACCCCTATATTTACAACACCTTCGTGAGTACTACGACAATAATCGAACAGTTATAAGTACAGTGAAATGACTTTAAATATTTAACAATACAAATATTTGTAATTAGAAACTTATTAAATAATATTTTAATAAAATTTATCATCAATCATATAATATAATTTATTTAAATAAACAAAATAATATTATTCTAAGTGTGCTTAAAAAATTTTTAACTATATATAGGAGGAACAAATTTATTTCACTTAGTTACTCAACTGTTTATCATTTATTTTTCTTATCTTTACTAATTTACTAAGTAAAAGATAATATAAGATAAATTAATTTTATTATATTTATCTACATTACTTTTATTTCTATTTTAAGCTTTAATGTAAGGAGGCTGCGTATCCTGCTGATCTTGCTGCTTTTAACTTTATCATTTACCTAATATAATCGTATTATGTTATGCTTTTAGAGTTACTACAAGAATTATAGGTGATATAATAATAAAAATAATAAAAATACAAACAAAAATATTTTTTGATTTTTTAAATAAAAATTATATTAAAATGTATAAAATTTTAATTTCATATTTTATAGATACAAAAATAACTATTAATCACTTTATTCAGAATAAATTCATTAGCATTTAAATTATAATAATATAGATGACATAAATTTTATTTTCAAAATCTTGAATTCTAAATTGAAGAATATAATATAACCTTGACAATAATAATAATTGGCCTTTCAATCGTCTGTTACTATATCTAAATCCTTGGCACAATAACTCATTCTATTTTTACGGACAAAAAGTCTTTTAATCAATGTTAACCAATGAAATTACTCCTTAATTTTCTTTCGTGCACCTCAGCCATCCTTAACGATGAATGATTAATCTCGTATAGATGAAAAAAAATTAATTGCATCAAGTTTCTCATTAACGTATTTAAAATCAAAATTATTTTAATATTTATTATTTTATTTATAAAAGAAGAATAATTTTAATAATAGATAAAGTAATTCAACAATTTGTTTTTTAATATTTTTTATAAAACAGAAAATCTAACATAAATCATAAATATATTTAACATAAAAGCACGCACACAGTGTTACGCTTCACAATTGTCGCACACAATTATGCCTTGCTTTTAAGACAAAATAAATCGTACAACAGCTATCTGTATAATTTGCATATATATATATATATATATATATATAATTTTATTCATATTTATATTTATATATCAAAAAACAGACTATAAAGAACACAATATAAAATAAAGGGTATTAAAACAAAACAAATATCTTGCGCGAACACAATAAAAAGATAAAAACATTGGCAAGTTTCGTAATTTGTACATGTAGGTGAGGACATTACCTCACATGCCATATGTGGCACACAAGAAGCTTGTAACTGTAGTTCACACACCAGTGCGTATTTACCACTCTGGCACATACCTACCCATAAAGATACACTCACGCGTCAGGCCCAGCATTATAGCAGCAGAGCTCAACAGGATACGCTACCTTACCAGGCCCTCCTTCAAATCCTACACGGAGAATTATCTTAACTCCAAGGACTATATTGTAAGTCTAATATTTTTTCACCAAATCAATTTAGTTTTGCGAAACTAAGATAATCGTGCTATTGAATAAAAAAATCGCTTTAAATGTTTGTATTAATACTCTTATCGATATAATGATTATTATAAGAATTTTGTGCCTTCAAAAGGAATTACTAACAACCCAATTCATGGCCGTTTCAATACAATTCTGTGTACAGATGTACAGATTAAAAATTATATTACGTTAAAATTATTAATTATTATTATTTAATAATAAAATTAGATAGATTTTTTCACTAATTACAACTAATTAAAATTTAAAAAAAGAAAAAAATGTATATTTTAGGGCAAAAAACATCGTATTCTTAAAATGATTGATAATGTAAAAAAATTATAAAACTAAACTTTTCTGAAAACCAGATGAAAATTATTATAAAATCTTTCAAATATAAAATAAAAATTAAAAATTAAAAATCTTTTCCATTATACTTTATTTTAAATTTATTTTCAAAAATATAAATGATTAATATTTTTATAATAAATTTGACTCTATACGATTTTTAAGTCATAAAATAAGTAATTTTAATTCATAATGTCTTAGCATTAATTATTAAATATTAAATAACAATATAACAATAAATAATTTATTATATATGCATTTGAACTTCTACCATATCATATTTTTTGCAAAAATGTCAGTTTAGCTATTTGACTTTAGTATGTTAAAGCTGAATTAATTTTATGTATATTTAAAAAAAACACATGTACAGTAAAAAAAATTTTTAATTTTTATCAGATGTTTCGATATAATACAAAATTTATTGAGCTTATATTTTGCGAAATTATATACAAAAAATTAAAATAAAATACTTATCTTAATAATGTATCAATATAATAATAATAACAATATATGTAATAGAAATTGTAACTTTTGTTATATATAATATAATATTTAAATAAATAATGTTTAAAACGAAACATAATTACATGACTTAGTAGGGATAGGTTATTTTGTTTTATAATTGTTTGTGTAAAATTATGAAACAGTTCTATTAAATATTCTCTCATATAAATATAATAAAAGAAGCTAGTAAAGTTAAAATTTCAATGCAGGACTTTGATGATGAAACGAGGGAAATCCGTGCAAAGACGGATGACCTACTTCGCAGAATCCACGTTTTTATTCCACGACCTATACTTAGGTAAGAATATCTTCCGAATTAAGAAAAAAACCTCCTTCTTTTTTATTTAACTATTTAGTACATTAACAATAGAAATTAATATAAATAGTTTTACGAAAAGTAGGATGTTTGAACATCCGTGAAATATATATAATAAAATAATTACAGCATTAGATATCGGTCGATGAAGTTATATATGAAATTCATTTTTATTGTAGTAATTTATTTTATTGAAAATATTGAAATGGTTGCATATTATTTTTTATCAAATAAAGATTTTAATTTATAGATTTGTAAATTTAAGATTTTTTCCGGCACCGGTATTATAATTTTTTTAGAAAGCATTTCTATTTTCTCCAAAGAATTCTATTTTTGGGAATCGAATAATCAATTGCAGAAAATATGTATACACATTAAATGGGAAACTAAAGTAATTTTATGGGAACAAATAATTTCGGTTTAAAATAACAAAAAAAATATCGTTTTCTACTGTGCAAAAGTGATTTCCAACAATAAAGTATGAAACAAATAGAAGCAGCACTATTCAAGGCACTTTATATCGATGAATGTTTTAAGACGGGCCACTTTATTCCGAGATACTGCCATCTAAGAAAATCGATCGACCGAGTCTCATGCGAATAATATCGACTAATCGAGGCAACGATCGAGGCAAAAACTCAATGGAAAGCACTCATTTGGAGTAAACAACTTAAAATCTGATCGTCGACCACAGCCACTACAACGAACTATCACCGGAACGTCTACGCAGTGACGACTACGTACGTCGCATAATCAATGCGAAAAACATATCCAAGGACATCGACAGTCTACCCTGGTACGAGACCCCAGTGATCAGGAACATCGGGACGGGCAATCTCGCATGCATAAAGTACGCGGGCGGCAGACCTCAACCACGCCGCCGACCATACTACACCGTTGGCGACCTCGTGCCTGGTGATGTCAGAAGCGATGTTAACCTGATGAGCTACTATCTAAAGAATCGCAAGGCCGCTGAAGATGCCTGTAAGTAGAACGCAATACGCGCTGTCGCTCAAAGGGATGATGCTTCCGTCTATCCGAGCAACGCAATCGAAAGAATTTTTTAATAGGTCACTTTCTTTACTTTCTCCTATTTTTATTTCAACTTTTTTTCTATAGTTATTTGTATTTATTGGTGATTCTTGATGATCATTTAATGGATTTTATTAACTTTTATTTGTTTAATTTGGTAATATTCTATATTATTATGAGGCACAGCACTATGTCGTTATTCTCGTATGGGAGCTACTCTTAATTTACAATCATTCAATGATATTTGGACTATGTAAAGAAACCATAATGATAAATTATAAACATTAACTTTACATTATATTGAAAATATTATTAATTGTTAAAAAAAATTTATAATGCATTTAATAACCTAACGAAATATAACTATGCCTCTGTTTTTTAATTAGCTCTTATATAAATAGGTATTTTGATATACACATATATATAGAAAGAAAAAGCGGCCTCAAGACGTCGTTGTGTGATGCATTTTTTTGTTTCGTTCTGTATACATTGTTTACTTTTACTGTTATAGAAACCTTTACAAATAACTCATACGTCTCTATGAAACTTTTACTCTTATTTTATTATTTTATTTTATGTATGTGCAACGTGAATTATTTATTACTATTGTCTGACCTTTATCTATCTTTCTTTCTCTATCTCTATATGTCTGTTATGTTACATTTTCACTGTCTATCTAAAACTTATCCTTAATTACTCAAATTTCATTAGTCTAAAGGAAGAAAAGAGTACACGAAATAATTAACTCGTAAATATATAAAGAAGTTCGTAACAAGGTTAAAAAAAATTGAAAAAACTAAAAATAAAGAGACTGGCGGACGCTGTATTTTCAATTCAATGAAATAGAGAAAATAATAATATTAAAATGGTATCACGTAAAGAAGAATCAAGTCGCGTTATTCCAAGTACATAAGACTAAAAACAGTCGCGATCATACAGTGCAGCTACGAGCACAGCGGTTTTCTCAACGTTTCAGGCGACAAGACCCTTGCAAAGCCGACAACTGGTTGGAGAGATCGCGTCCCCGAGCTGAACAAGGAACCCACTATTGCTAAAGCGGCAAATAATGCCAAATATAACGAAGGAGTGGAAACGCAGGAGGAAGACTAACAAAAATCTAGCCATCAACATCACCCCCACTCTCGTATACTACCGTAAAACCCCTTAACAGTTACATCGTAATATCGCTTCTCTTATTCTTCTATACCAGCGTTTCCCACCAACATTAATATTTATTAAATAGTTTATAATATACAAGTTGCTAATTTAAATAATTATTAAAAATTGGAAATACGCACACATTTGATACCATTCGTTGATACGACCATAACGTAAATAAAAATCTATAAATAGTAATAGATAAATAAATAGAATAAATAACAATACAAAAAACAATAGGTAACAAAGAAGTTACATTCGAACAACGCTATAATGGCAATCAGGTATCTATTCGTACTGATATGAATATCATGCGTGGAAGAAAATCTTATTTAGTTTTTTTTTGCTTTTAATAATAATTCTTAACATTTATATAATGGAATTTTGATGAAATTTATTTGAACAATAAATTATTTACTAGGTCTATTTCTTAATATAATATTGCACCGCTTATATTGTTTATAAACATAACAATAATTTGTTTTCAAACAAATATTTTGAAATCATAGTTACGATTTTCATAAATATTATTGGTAAATATTAATAAAGATTTGTAATTGTTAATTTATTTTAACTGGCAAAAATGATGATTATATTTTAATACATAAAATATTTTTACTGCACATCTTTACTAGAAAATACTTGTATTGAATATAGGAAATTATTTTCCAAATTTTTTATTCGTAAATGAAGCAATTTAATATTAAGCATCTTGTTAATTGAATGACAGTTAACATTGTATATTATTTTAAACAAATACTTTAAAAGAAGAAGTATACAAAATAAGCTTAATTAAATTAATAAAAATTTAAATATTAGTTATTATTTATCCATTTAAAATCCCTGTAAAGTCATAACAAAATCCATATATATTTCCTAAATAAAACAAAATCGAGGTAAGATTATTCAATACGTGAAGCTTTAATTTCTAATAATTGTTTGCGCCTCTAGTGTACGAAAAAAAATAATATTTTCAAATTTCACCTTCAAATTCATAAAATGAAAGTTTATTGCATACCTATTCCTAAAAATCTTCATACGAAATCTTGAATATGTTAAATATATTACCTATTTACCTTCAAAATATATTACATATCCATTGAAATTGAATGAAAAACATAAATATAAATATTAAATTCAATGCATTTCTATACTTTAATTGTCAGTATTTTAAATTAAACTATTCTCTCTTATTGTATACAAACAAAATTATCATTTTGTAAACTGTTTGTTTTTAAAAAATTAAAAATTTTTTTACATCTGTCTATATTCATACATAATAATATTCATATATAATACGTAACGATATAATATTTATAATTTTTTAAATAAATTAAACATACAAATCAAAATATAATTCAGAAACAATTTAATTATTTTTAATAAATAATAATTATAATTTATAATGTAACTATGCATTTATATGAATTTAAATAAGTTTCATATTTTTCATACATGTTAATAAAAAATCTATTATTTTTATTTTACTTTTATTATGACAATAAAAGTTTGTTCAACAATATTAAATTCCACGATAGTAAATTATATTAAATATTATTATAATATACTTAACTTGATAAAATTAAAATTCATTACAAAACTTAATTGGACTATATTATAAAAAAATTATGCAATAATCTTTTGAAAAACTCTCTCCCCTTAATATTACCATCCGTAAAATGTCTTTACATGATCTAGCACTCATTTTTTTGTACTATAGTGTCTCTCGAAGACAATTGCATTCAACCTAACAATAAGAAGACTTACATACGTTTTATTACTACTTTTCATGAAAATAGTACATATGTAAATAGTTGAAAAGGATATAATTGTTCATCATTATATTTCAACTGACTTCATAGACACAAATAAATTTATTCACTTTTTGACTCTCTAGATCACTCTGTCTCTGTCTCTCTCTCTCTCTCTCTCTCTCTCTCTCTCTCTACTTCTATCTCTCAAATTTACTTCTCAAAGTTTCACTTTTAATGTTTTTGAATTTATTGAGTTTTTTTTAATCCTTTTAAAAATCTTTGTCCTGAAATATGCTTTAGTGCATGATGTACATATTTATTGTAGGTCATTGTAAAACCATCCTCGGTCCCCCTAACCACACATTTGAGGCGTGAACTGAATGTTATTATTCCCGTATACATTGTAATATAATTAATATGAATATATATATCGTGAAATGCTGGAACCTTTAACTTGACCACCATCGAAATAATTAGTTATCATGTCATTCAATCGTTCCATGTACTTCATGATAATTCTTCCAATGATTTTAATTTTTCGTGAAGATTGCACCTATGTCTAAAAATAAAAATTTGATTATTCATGATCAGAAATAATTTCTTTGTCTGTATTATTTTTAAGTTGAATTGATATTTATCTCTTATTATAATAAAATAAAATATTCATAATTACATACGAAGATAATCTTTATGCCAGGTGCTTCCTTCGTGATAAAATTAAATAAAATAGAGAAAATTATGAGCATATGATTTCAATGAATTAAAATGCTTTAGTAATTCTATTTTTTTTTATATTAATTAATTAATTTCGATACTATATAAAGTAGATTCATTAAAGTATGGTTTTGTATTACTGTTCGGTGTGGTTTGTTGCAAAATCATGTTAACGCTTTCGGCTAAATCAAATAATAAACATAATGATTTATAAATTAAAACTGATATTTTCCTACAGCTCCGCAAAGCGAACATCATAATGATGGCAATAAAGAAGCTATTATTAATGGTTAGTAATGTTTTACAACAAAATAAAATGCTTTTTGCTTTCAGTTATTTCTCTTTTTATTTTTACTTTTGATATTAATAATTTCTACTAAAAGTGATTATTAATATCCTTTTTTTTCGAAAATAAAAAAAACTAGTCATTTTTAAAGAAAACTGATATTTATAGAGAATGAATACAAATAAGTATAAAGAAATACAATTTAAATAATTATACAACGAGTAAAATGAATTAAAATGTATAAAAAACATACATACAAGTTTACATTAGTCGTTCATTTTTTAACAAATTGCAAATTAACGAATTCAGCTGAGTTGCATCTTTCTGTAGCGTAAGTACACCCAACACGTTTCTAAAAAAGTTTTAGTTCCTTCTCCGTCAAACGGGCCAATAAGATCTATCAAAACAAAGGTAAGTTAGGAACTCCCGTGTTTTCCATTTATCCCTCTACAGATCTATCTTCATTCCTAAAACTCAGGAAAAAACAAACTTTTTCTCAACAAAATTCAATTATCTTTGCGCATGTGGTTGTTTTAAATGTTACACATTATGGAAAAGTGTTTATTTAGCACTTGTGTGATGTTCGTGACTAGAAATACCGGAACAAATGATGAAGGAGCAAGATGATTTCGAGCTAACAGAAACAGAATCGAAGCCCAAACTTCAAACGAAGACGAAATCGCAAGAGGACCATGAGAATGATGACTTTGAATCTCAGTACAACAAGGACGTTGGTGCGTACAATACTCTGTGTTAGCCATTTCCTCTGTTCGGTTCTTTATGTGGATACCTTCTTCGTCTTATCTTTAAACTTTTGAAGTTCACTTTTTTTTTAATTGGCAGGTCTTATTGTGTCTATATATTTCATGACAGCTCACATTTTTAGTTCTTCTTGTTTGTCTTGTATATCTTTTTCTCTTAATTATATACGTTACTCCTTATTTCATAATAATCATTTTATTCAAATTACATGCTTTCTTGTTTTTAAAAAATTGTTTTAAAAAGAAATTTCATTATTATAAGTAACTCATTATTGTTTTGTTTTTAACAGTTACAATTATGATTATCAATAATTATTTTATAAATTTTATAATTTTAAACTATAAAAATATATTAAATTAATTAAATTTATAAAAGGAATTTATGAAAAAGAAATCTCGATAAACATGTTAAAACGTAATACTTATAAACGGTAATTATAAGAAAACTTGAAAGCATACTTTTTTCAAAAACATGCTTAAATATATATTGCCCCATGAATTAACTTATCAAAAATTTTATGATAAAAATTTATTTATATATTATTTGTTTATTTGTATATATATATATATATATATATATATGTATATATTAGTTGCATATATTTATATATTATTTACATTGTTCTCATAAATAAATTAATTTTATTTAATAATTATTTTATTAACGTTTTAATTTATAGTGAAAAAGCAGCCAGATGAGGACACAATTAGAAAAGTTCAAGAATACCTAGAAAAAAAAGCTGCAGAAAAAAAGTAAGTTTTTTTCATACTAAATATTGATATTACAATTAATATGATAGTATCTCCATGAACTTTTACATTTTTTATAATAAGCAAATAATTAAAATAATAAGAAAAATTTAATAATCGCATACTAATTAATACTTACTTTATACTTTTTTTCATTATTAAATATTCGATAGTTAATTACAAAAAATAAAATATAAGTTATAAAAAAAATTAAAAATTATAATTTGTGAATCTTGAAAACTATGTTTCTTGGTATTAATAACACTGAACATATGTAATCTTCAGAAATTTTCTTGAAGATTATAATAAATAATTATGCATTAATCTAGAAATTCTCTATACGTATAAAAGTTATTAAAACTATAAATTGCATAAAGTAATTATTAAACTATTAATAATATATAATTAAAGTTATTTACAAAAAATACAATAAAAAATTTCTTAAAATTTTGAAAATAAATTTAATTAATTGACCTATAAGGCACAAATAATAGTTTCCCATGCAGTAGTAATTAAAAAAATCAACGTAATAAAGTGTTCCACTTTCAATGGCTATTCTCATTTTATTTATTTTTTCTCATTATAAATTCACTTTCATAAATAATACTCAAAATATACTAATTATAATATTTTCATGACTGTATATAATGTAATGTAAAATAAATAATACGCAAAAATTCATTAATTATATACAATTAAATCATTCAATTATTTTTAACCCTTTCACTAAAGCTGGTTTTCTTTCTCTTCCCCTCCCACTCCGGTGTGTGCTTACGCAGTCCCTACTCACAACGCTTTAACTCGCACGCTGGCCCTTATCGAAAATTTACGAAGAAAGAAATTTAATATGTGCAGGTAAAATATTATTCAATAGTAAAATTAAAATGGAAACTTCCGCTTATCACTTTTAATCAATTTCTTCATAAATGGATTCAGGATTCACATAATTTAAATAATGTATTCTGATTTTCCAAATTTATGTACTTAATTGTCTAAAATTCTTTAATAACATTAAGGTTTATCTTAATAATTAAATTATACAGCACGTAAAAGTGTACACAACATAAAACTCTACTTTCATTTATAATAAACAAAAATAATATTGAACTTCCTCTTATAGTTACATACATAAACGCAATTATGATAAAATGTAACCATTTATTAATTAATTAGAAATATATAAAATGCAAGAATTATAGAAATGAAATTTCTTAAAATATTTATTCAGTTTATCTATAAATCTTAAAGGAATTGTTGAAAGCTTTTTCTGATAACAAATTTTTCAAACATTTTTATATAAGTCTTGAATTAGTTTAAAATAAAATATAAATTTGTATCTAAATGAAAAGATATAAATAACTTTAAATATTTTAATAACCTTAAATAATTTTAAAAATTATAACTATATTTTTAACTTTAAATTACATAAATGATAAAATGCATAAATAATAATTTTTCATGCATATATTAATATCAATAAAAGAAAATAAAATTTTCAGTTTTTAGCAGACGCAGAGTTGTATAAATATTTTGGTAGAAAAAAATAACATATTTATAAATCATATGTATAAAATTAAATTGATTTATGTTAGAAACTTTTAATAAATAAAAAGAGACAAAGACTATAACGCTTAATTTAATTGATGGTTATTCTTGCAGAATGGAGGAAGATAGAAGAGCATGGGAAGCCGCTGAACGAAGAAGAATTGCAGAGGAAAAAGAAATTGCTAGACTAGCAAAATTGAAAATTGAAGAAGATATTCGTATAGCAGAAATTAAAGAACAAGAAAGATTGGAAGCTGAAAGACAAACAATAATAGCCAGAGCTGAAGCTGCCAGACTCGAAGCAATAAGACTTATCGAAGATGAAAAGTAAAATAATTACGTTATTTCAAATACTAAAAGATTTTAAAATTATATTTAAATTATTTATACTTCTGTTGGTGAGGTTAATTTGAACAAAATATGTATTTTGAATTTTTATTTTAATACACACATTTTGACCAGAATATATATCATGTAATTATTTTTATCGTATCATTTATTTTTGAATATATAATATAATCTGTTCTATATACATATTTTATAAAATGAAAACGTAAGGTAAAATAATAAACATAATATTTATTAATAATGAAATTTTTTAGTATATGAGTTATTACTAACACTAATTACGTATTAATGATAATATTTAGATTATACAATGAAGCTGTTGCACAAGCGATTGCTGACGAAGAAGATCGAGCTTTCCGCGAAAAAGAGAAAGAAGAATTAGAGAGAAGGCAAACTGAAGAAGAAGACAAATTAGCCAACCTAGCCTTCTCAGTTGATACTACTGGCATAGATAGTGGAATTGTCGTCCTCGAGCACAGCACTGATGAATACTCCGGTCATATTAACTCTACGTATCAAGATAAGGAAGCGAAACCCTACGAAGTTGATCACGATGAAGATACCGAGGTAGTATACCTCAGTTTATTTATTTTTTAAGTATAATAATAGTAATAATCTTAATTGTAACAATATTTAAACGTTAATTACAATTTTCGTAAATTTATTGTAGTTAATAAATTAATCAGATAATTCATTTTCACAATTCACACTATAAGGAATTCTATTCAAATAAAAAACCCGCAATATTAAAATGGTACATTAGTATTATACAACACACATAATTAGTTTTTTTTTATCTTTATTTTGAGCTTTGTATTAAATTTTTTATTGAATTTGATCTATATTAAATTTTCTATTCTTAGATCTTATATTTTATTGCAATTATTTTGGGATATTGTTATTTAATTGATTGTTTAATTTCAAATTTTTATTTAATAACAGTGTATAAAAACATACAATTTTAATAAAATCATATGATTTAAATAAATATGTGAGGAATATATAGAATGAAGTTCATAATCTACTATTCGATTTATATATTTTATCCGTTTTCTAAATAACAGAAAAGATTTAATATGATTTATTGACTAGTTGATACTATTTAGATGATTAAAATTTAAATTATTTTAAGATTAAAAATAAATTTTTTATATTGTATTTATAAGAATTCAGTCATAGGTATAAATAATATAGACTATAATACAATATAAAACAATCTTCATTACTATCTTCAGAAATATTTTTTTATTTTTTCATTTTAAAATTAAAAAAAAATGTAGATTACAATGTCCCAAATTTCTAAAATCAAAATTGTCCTACAAGCAATACAGAAATTCAGAATATTCGCATTTTTATAAAGTACCGGACATTGTTTGATTAGATTTTATTTTTTGTTTCAATTTATTATATATTGAAACTACCTACCTTTTCCAAATTTCGCATTGTGAAACGATTTTTTAATTGCAAAGAATATCAAATATTTATGTTATATATTTCTTCAAATTATAATTAAATCATAAACATGCCTGCAAATTATGTAGTTCTTAAGTGATTTAAAACTGTCAGCACATTGACATTAATAAACACTAAAAGTACTTACTAGTTAATTGTATTAAAATGTTATAAAAATTATAGAATTTTTTTTCAAGTTTTGTGCATTATGAACGTAATAAAAATTGATTTAAAATGTTTTATAAGAAAAAACGTATTATTAAAAAAAAATTAATTTTTTTGATTGTTGTAACTGAAGATTGAAGAAGACGAACACGAGGAAAATAATGAAATAGAAAATCCTTTCAATTATGGAGAAGCAGCTTTAGGTTTATCTGAAATAGATGAACTTATTACAGAAACACCCAAAATTAAAGAGACAGGTTATGATCATGGAGAACAAGGATTTGACTGGTCGCAATATGAAAGTGAACATGAAGAAGAAGCATGTGAGAAATCTGAAGGGTCAAAAGTTGAAGAAACTTATAATAATGTTGAGCAGCATCAAATGTTTGAAGAATCGGAGATTAAAAGCGTAGAAGTCAATGAAACACAATTAGAAGAAATACAAGTAACAGAAGAAGTAGAAGATATCAAATCTGAAGAAAAATTTATTAATGAATCGTTTCAAGAAGAAAACGAAGATGAAGAAAACGAAACTAAGGAAGAGAATGAAGACGAAACTAAAAATGCCGATGAACAAGATGAAACTGAGGAAGAGTATGGTGATAGTAATGATGAAATGGAGAATGAAGATAAAAAATAAATTAATCATTATTGTCTATGTAAAGCTTTCAATGAATCAGTTATATTTATATAAAACTTTTAATGAATCAATTATATTTATAAAAAACTTTCAATATACCAGCTATATATAAAAGTCAATTATATAAATGTCAATTATATTTTCTCTTTTTCACTATTGAATTAATTGATTAATTAATATAAAAGTCAATTATATTCTTTCTTTTTTACTATTTAATTAAATTCAATTTATTAATTAAAATAAATGTATCAATTATATAAACAAAATTTATATAAGTCAATTATAATTTCAATTTATGATTATCAGTTACTTATTGTGCGTTTAATATCGCTACACTACATTTCACTATACAAAACATTTTTTATGATATTTGTCATAAGTCATTTTTTATAAATATATTTTATAAGTAGACCAGTGACCAGGCCTAAAAAAAATCTTTTTAAAAATTTGATAAAATGAATATTGATAATGGTATTTCGAATGTTTATTTGCCTAACTATTTAATATAAAATGTATTATTTATTTAAATATATTTAACTTATAATAATTTTATTACATGTCTAATTATCTTATATATATGTAAACTGTTAACGACTTTACTTATTTTTGTTTTAAAATATTGATTTTTAAATTCTTTTTTTACGAATTTTAATTAATACTTAATAAACTGTATAATATAAAATAATTTATTACTAATTTATAAATAAAAAATATCTAAAATAATATTAAAAAATCGTATACTTTTAATTATATTTTATAAAATAAAATTTAAAAACTTTACGTTGTATTTTATAAAAATATGTATTTTTTATACACTTTATAAAAATTAATATTTTATCAAACAATAAAAAAGAATAATTCTTTAATTCTAATTAGTCTCACAGCTCAATTATTATACAAATTGATCAGAAGTTCATATGGTAATCACTTTCATTATCCACATATTTCACTCATCGTATATTAATTTTTTAAATAGGAAGAATTTAAGATTGTACAGTTCTACGTTGTGATGCCAGAAGCATCATTCTATGGCTTAATTTAACATTATGGTCTCTTAAATATCTGATTAAATCTGCTTGTTTTTCAAGCAACTCAGCTAAATTTAATCCTCTTTGATGAAATCCTACTTCCCCAGTATATGAATCTTGAGTAAATGACATTACCCATTCCTCTCTAGTAACATCTGGTGGTGGCTTTGTTCTATTAAATCTCATGACTCTTTCTAAATATAGACAAATAATTATACTAATTAATATTTAAATATATAATTAAATTTTTATAATTTTATTAACGTTCATAATTATTAAAAATTATAATATTTAAAATCGCAGTCTAATTATTAAATATTTATAACTTAATGTATTTTATCCACTATGGTATTTTTCACATCCAAAATAATATTTCGAATATTTTATAAAATTATTATTGGTTTTATCAATCTTAGAAAGCAATATGAAAAATAAATTTAGAATTACTTACTAATATAATTTATATAAACTGGTATAATTATCATTAATTCAAAAGTTGTTAATACCAACACGTAATTTACAGGCATAAATTGAGAACTTTGACAATAGCTGTCATAATTATTCTTATGGGTATGATGCAGAATAACTGATAATAATAAATAACATGTATTCCATAAAGATACAATAAAAAAAGGTGTTCTAATATGTTGATAAGTTGACTGATAAAAGTCTAGATAACCACATATTCTGAGGGTATGATGTCTTGCTTTAATTAAATGATCTACTATCATAATAAGTAGCCAATACGCACAATGAAGATAAAGCATTACAAAGTAAATATTACATTTCGTTTGTTCTCCTGGCCAAATGGAAACTAATATTATGCCAGTAAGCTCTAAAGCAACCTGTAAAATTAAAAATGACTAAATATTATAATTATTTATAATTTTAATTATTGAAAAATAAATAATAATTTTAAACAACATTTTTATGAATTATTTCAAATTGTATTATATTTGTAATATAAAACATACATTATTTTTTGTTTGATCAAATTACATATTTCAAATTATTCTAATAAATAGATACAAATGTAAGGTATATAAACATTAATACATTAAATTAAAAAAAAAAAAAAATTGGAAAATAAATTCTGTCATACTATTTTGTTGGTTATAAAATTTTTATTACTTACTCCAAAAATAAGGGGTACAAATACAATATGAATTGTATCTAATTTTTGAAAACTTTCTTGTTCATGAGAAATTAAAACTGGTTGAAGATACTCTTCATCATCCATATTTAATGATGCATCAAAAAATACAGCACCTTGAAACTAAAAAATTAGATATAAATTTATAAATAAAATCCAATAAAATTTAATATTACTATTAAAAGTAAAAAAAATGCACTTGACTTATATTATACAAAATAATTGACAGTTTATTAATATTTAAAAATATGATTTAAAAATATAAATTAAAAACACTTTATAAAATAAATTTTAAAACAAATTCGTTCAAAACACACTTCAATAATAAATAATACTAAATAAGTTACTTACACTTCCAGAAGTATTTAAGTGACGAGTCAAACTGACCATTCCCGGCCCAATTAATGTAAGAACTTATAACTGGAACTATAAAAAATATAAAAAATCATATTTTTTTCATACATTTCATTTCATTTATTTATTAAAATTTAAAAGCATTTTATGTTACTTAAATGATAGTCAATTCTTTATACAATCCATATTACATAGAAAGAGGGTAAAATAACAGAAAAGAAGAAAAATGTTTTTAACGTATTATCAGATAATATACATACTGTATAGTTAATATAAATAAACTGCAATTGCATAATAATGTTCTGTAAATTTACTTCAGTTCACTTACGTGTATAGAAATATTAGAGGTTAGTTTACAATATTACACAAAGCTAACCAAATGAATTGCACCAATTCCATAAAATTATAACCAGAACTATGTTCCGAGTTAAAATGATATGCTTACTAAAAAAAAATACGAGACAGATTCTGGTTAAGTGAAAACGTTTACAAATAAATAATATCCATTTTACTGTTATTAAAAAATTATTGGAATAACAAATCTAATTAGTAAGTTCCACAATTTCTACCTGTGATTTATGAATATGGAAATTATCAAATCAAAATAGAAAATATAATGAATGACTAACTAAAAATCTAATAGAGGGCGTTACAAATCGAATATAATTATTTCATTATATTCTATTCCGTATAAACTAAAAATTAAGAAATGCATAATACAATCAATTGATTTGAAATTACAATCAAATTACGGTGCAACAACTATGATACTGATAATAAATTTTAATAGTTTTGCTGTAAAAATCTTTTGTTTCTTCTTTATTTGTATCCATTTCAACTAAATGATATCAACAAATTTATTCGGTATTATTTAAATCAGAAAATTATTGAAATGTAAAATTAATTAGTTACATTAAGAAATCTATACCGATTAAATTTAATTTAGTCAGTATAAAGCAACGCATGACAATATAACACACTATAATATTTATCAATGAATAATAAAAAAAATGTTTGTTGCAAAGGCACCAATAATTTTAGTTTAAAATCATTGGTTCACATAATTTGAACATCTTCAATAATGTCAATAAAACGTTTTGGTTCTAATGTTTAAATAGTTTTCCTAATAATATAATAGTTGTACTTTATATTTTTAATACTCTATCATAAAATATTATGGTGTTCGTAAGTTTTTACTAATAATTGATTTACTCATAATATTATTCATCTTTATTTAATAAATAATGTTAATTTATGGATAATAATTAAAAAATATATTCAATACTTAATTGAATAAAATTTTAATAAATATTTTATACTTAATTGAATAAAATAACATAATTTAAGTTTTTCTGTCACATATGCTTGCGCATATACGATTAATGACAATCAATGAATCTCAATGATGTATAAAATACGTGTGCACCGAACCATACGATATTTAATAATTTTTTAAACTTGAACAAATTTTTAATAATTCTACAATAATATTAATTTAATTATACGTTTGAAATATTAATCTTTTTTTATTGTAAATTTCATTGATACATATTATTTTATAAAACTAATTTGGATTTCTTTGTATAATTTAACAAGTTTTAAAAAGAAAATTGTAACAAATACGTTTTTAATAAATGGGATTAATAGCTTTATGAACATAATTTAAATTTTTTTAATTTGTAATCAATTTATCAGCATATGTGGATTGTAAAACAATATTTTTTAAAGAATACCTCATTATATAATAATATATAGTTTAATATATATTTTATAACATTATCCTATAATATATAGTTTTATCGATATTATATTTTTCAAAATAAGGTAAAATTTAATAAGATATTAAAATAATAAAATTTATAAGTATTATATTTAATTAAATAATATTCAAATTTTTCAGGATAATATTTTATAAAAACAAATTTAATATTTTCACTGTCGTGTTTAACAAACTATTAATATTGAACAATATGTTTGTATCTATTAATTATAGTAAATATAAACATAGTTCAATAAATATACAATCAACAACCTAAAATCTATTAATATTTCAATGGATAAAATTACAAATCGTTTTCAATCTTAATTTTTTTTTTAACGTATTTTTAAATCAACTTTAATATTTATTACATGCTTAATAAGATGATACAGGCGTATGTAAAAATATTCAATAGATTTTTCCTTTTAACTTATGTTTAAAATTAGTTTTTTTAATTTTAAACTACAAATTCATTTATTGAATCTTTATAAATTTTAGTTATTAAGTAAAAATACTGTGTTGACTGAAAATTTTTATTTTAATTTACTAAATCACTGAAACATATTTTCTTTTTAATATCAAAATATAGTTTAAATAATTATGTAATCACGGATACAAAATTAATTTTTGTTGAAAAACACATTATTAATAGATAATAAAATTCTTATATGAAATTTTATTAATTTATGTAAATAATAAAAAAAAGACTTAAAATTATATAATATAATTTTAAATAATTATAAATCATTTATTAAAATTTTTATTTTCGTTGAGTTTTCACAAATACTTTTTTAATGAGTGCATTTATATCATACAATCACAGCTAAGTAGTACATTAAAAATCTACAGATATAATTTTGTAAATCAATGAATTATTTCTATTAATAAGAAATAAAATAATTAAACCGTTTTATTTCCTAAATTATCTTTCTTTATTTAATTAATATTTTATTTTTAAATAAATTCTGAATTTATATTATTTTATGATTATAAAACATTTATATATGAATTAGCGTTCGTATACACCAACGATGTGTACATAAGTTATATGCATATGCAAGGGATGTATGCATATATGACTGTAGTTATATACGTGTATAGATATCGAGTAAGAGGAAAGGGAAGGGTCATACTTTATTTAATAAATAAAAATAAATAAAATAGAATATATTTAAATATCAATTTTCAAGAATCATCATCTCTGAGAACTTAATCTACTTAATTACTGGACATACTTACAGCTGTAATAATTTTCTAAAAACAATTTATTGAAATTTTTTAATAACATTAGCTTTATTTTTATATAATTTATTTAATAGATTATCAATATTTACATTCCATATATCAGTTTTATTATTTAATACAATAATAATTATGTCAAATCAATACATTATTTTAATATTAATTTTTAAATGACGATATGAATAAAAATCAATGTAAAATGTTAAATTAAATTTTTAAAACTATTTTTCTATTAATAAATATGAAACATAACAAATTACACTAATTTAAAATTTCAGAAGTTAATATTTAAGTATAATTTCTAATAATAACAGAAAAAATTAGAAATGTATTTGTATAATATTTAATAAAACTGTAACTGCTTAATTATGTTTAACTATAGAGAAAATCTATTTACTAAAGCGATAACGATCTATAATAATATAAATGATAAAGATCTATCATAATATACGCTATAGTAATATATAGTACAGAGTAATATAGACGTATATATTTTTAACTTTATATAATAAATTTATTAAAATGTGTATCTTAGAAACATAATGAATCATGTGTTAAAAAAAATGTAAGAAAATATTTGTTCTACTCATTTTCAAAAAGGGAGTGCCGAAATGTATTTACAGTCGAAGGTCTCTTTTCTCTCTATACTTTCTTTTTTAACTGGTTCATACTCTTTCAATAAATTTTTTTTTCTTCTCAGTTTTATCATAATCAGTATCATATATTAGTACCATGTTTATAATAACTTAAAATCTTCAGTTTAACTTAATGAAAATAAAATTAGAAGAATAGAGAAGTAACATTCAAAAGTTTAGTAATCGTTTTACAACTGCAATTGCAAGAGGATTAAGTTATTACTTACTTAAAATATAAAAAAATATTTATATTAATCTTCATGATATTATTTTTAATTTATTTGAAATTTTGTATCCAGAAAATTATAAAAATAAAAAGTATATTTACAATATGAATTCTCTATATAATGTATACAAAGGATATAAATTTAAAAACATTTTTGTTGATATTTAATTTTTAAGTATACTTATAAATCTTTTGAGAAATTTTAATGACTATTTATAAGTGAAATATAGCTGGAATGCCAACATTTATTGTAATTTAGTACAATCTAATTTTCAAGTATGCATGTGCTAACTCTTGCCTTTCATGGTTTGTAAACTTAAAATCATTTATTCAGTATTCAAATAATACTGATTTAAAATTTAAATATTATTTTAATTATTTTATTACAATTTATGTTTTTCTTGAAATGCAATTGTTGATCTTATATAGATCGCTAAAAATAAAAATTTATATAAAAATATTTAAAATAATATTCAATATATTTTTAAAATCTTTGCATTAAATTCAGTATTAATTTATTTTAAAAACTACTATAAAAAAATTTAAGCTTTATTTTATAATGAAAATAAAAAAATGTTATTTACTTATTTATTTCATCATATTTTATATACTTTTTAATAAAAATTATATTCTGATAAAATCTATATCTTGTATGGAAAATAAACTCATAATTTATATAGCTTTATACATGAAAAATTATTTTTATAACATCTATATTAAAACATGTTAATATAAATTCGTTCATTAAATTATAAGGTATTTTATAATTATGAAAGTGAAATATATAATATAAAATTTCAAATATAATATCTAAGTTTAATAAAGACAAAATAAACTTTAAATATATTCTTATATAAATTACTTATTATAAAATATAAATAAATTTCTCGTAACAATTAACATTAACCTTAATTCTAAATCTTCAGGAAATTCTACTCCAAATTAAACCAATTGCATTATCTTTCTTTTACTATAATAATTTATTAATATTAGTTCTAATTTAATTAATTTTTTTATTTGTTAGTAACTGATTTCAATTATTATAATATTTACATTCTTTACAACACATGTGAAATACAAAAATTTTATATTCCTACAAAATTTATTTTACTTATAAATAATACATAAATTATTACTTTTTATTGTGCCGTAGTAATTACAATTGTTCTAAATATACTAAAAAATTAAATATAAAATAGAATTTTTAAAAAACTATAATACAAAATAGAAACTGTAATTAAATATTAATTTTCAATAATAAATTTTCAAAAATACATTCGCATGTATTTATTACAAAATATGTCGTAAAAAGTTTAACTATATATTTAAAAAATTGATAAAAATATTGAACTAATTGATTTCTATTATTACTAAAAATATTGAAGTTTTGTTAATTCAATCAAATTTTAAATTTAAGTATTGTTTTACTTATTTTGAACTTTAAATAAGAAATATTATTACGTTACGTTTTGCATATTTGGTACAAATATTAATTATTATAACATATATATTTGATTAAAAACATTATTAAATGATCTGTTAATTAAATATTTGGAGTAATGTTTTAAATGAAGTATTACTGTATTAATATATTCGAATAATTATATTATAAACAAAATCTTTTAAATGTAATCTGTTCTATGAAATACAACCAGCAACTAAATTATATGTATATATTACAACTAAAAGATTTAATTTAACATTTCAAATTAATTATAATATTTATCATTTAAATGTTTCTCTATTAATCAATTTGTATAATAAAATTTAACTAATTTATATATATGAATTTCTTTATTTATATATACTTACTTTTACACTTCATCTAACAATGAATCATTAAAAAATGCAATGTTATAAATAAAGAAATTTCGACTAACACATTTATATTTTAAGTTGAAGAGGAGCAAAGAATGGAAGACGACAGCGTCTGCGCACCGAGGCATTTATGTACGTGAGAAAATATATAGAGAAACACCGAAGCAAGTTCGAGCTTGCAAGCAGTCTCATGTGCCTTAAGCTCGACATACGTTGTAATCGGGTTGTCGTACATACCTGCGACAAGTTACCGGACATAAATCGTTCAATTTTTTTTTAACAAACTAACTTTAATTGTTTATTATAAAACTTCTAATTAGCTTTAATATTAATCATTTCGAATTCAGTAGATATTTCGTGATCATACTGAAGTATTTATTATATTCTTTCAATATTAAACAACGTTGCCGATTAAAATTACATTAAAAAGTTCAGTTATAAATTCATGTTTGAATGTGTACAATTATAGGATTCGAATACTTTATAAATTGTCGAAAATTGGTGAAAAATATAATTGAATTTAAAAATATTAAGATGCACAATGAATAAGTAAATAAATCGGATGCAAAACTGTAAGCTCAATGAATGATGTTTTAAGCTGAAAAGATGTAATACGCTTTGTAGTACCACACAACTTAAAAATTTTAATATTCTTGGTTAGTTGATTTTATTAACTTCATTTACTTGTATTGAAAAATATTCTTATTAAACTCCAAATAAATATTTCATTGGTAGTTTAAATTCCAAACATAATTTATTTGTCAACTTATACTCAATTAACAGTACATATATATGTACAATTTAATAAAACTAAATATAATGCATGTTTACAATAAAATTTATTAATTATATAATTTCAAAGTAAATGAAATTCCTTTTATTTTTCAAAATTTATATGCAAGTGCACATTATTTACATACATAAAAATATGAATATGTTACAAATTGTATATTATTTTGTTATATTTTTATTCAACTAATATTTAAAAAATATACATGAACATATTTTTAGTTATAATTTTATTAAACTAAAAACATAGAGTGAACATTATTTTATAATCATTTAATAAATATACTCGATCTGATTTTGAATTTCATATGGAATAAATATTTTGATAACAAACCTTGTCTATGAATATGAAAATATACTAATATTGTAACACAATTGTTTAAAACACTAATATAATTATACCGAAAATATATATTTTTTATTAGAACTATTTAATAAAATACATTATTTCGTATTTCATTATAGATTTTGTAAATAATTGAATATTTTGATCTGCCTCAATTAACGGAAAAAAAATATTTAATTTGATAAATACATAATTCACTTATTTTTTTATATTTAAATAGCTATAGTTATGGATTTTTTAAAATTTTAATTTATTTATACAACTAAGCAATTATAAAATAGTTAATTGTTGCCTTATATATTATTTTAAAAGCTTTTGATAGAATATTTTTACAGTATATTGATGTTTTAATAAAAGCATTTTTAATAAGAATACCGAAGTAACAAATTTTATAAATAATTACTATAGTTTATGATTATTAATATTATATTATAAGTATTTTAGAAATTGAGATAAAAATTTATCAATATATATATATATATATATATTATGAAAGACAAAATATTATATTAATTTTTCAAATACTTAAAATATTAGTTAAGCATAATTGGTTTATCATAAAATGTTTTAATATTGATTCAACAAAGTTAAATTAGCAATACTATTTTACATTAATTTTTCAGAACATATATAAAATTCTTGTGGTTTAGATATTGAACATAAAGTAAGTGTTAAAATTAATTTTTACTTTGTTCAATTTTTATTAATCATTATAATATATAATATATTATAATATATTATTATAATATAATAAATTATAATATATTAGTAATTAAAAATAATGAAAAGTCACATATAAAAAATAACTATAGAAAAAACAATCCTCTTTAATTAAATGATGTATACAATAATAACAATTATTATTATAACAATTATTATAACAAAAAAAAATAATAATAATAAACTTTAAACGCTACTATATACTTTATATTAAGTAAAAGTAGATTCAGAATAAAATTAAGATGTTAATATTTCATTTCAAACATAAAAATCACTCATTATATAGATCACCTCTTGATCAGAGTAGCTATCTTCTAATAATATCCAAGGCCTTGATAATCTCCAAAAATGAGCAGCGGGGGTGATACGTTAAGCGCCAATCCTACTGAGAAAGAGAAAAAAGATGCTCTATATGAGAATCGCGAGCGCAAGAAGATCGTTCGCATAATCACCGTGACAGCTTACATGTTCTCTGTTTCATTCGTTGGAATCGTTCTTAGTGCCTACTACATTTTCCTTTGGCATCCCCCAAATCCCCGAATGATGCATGCCCAAGCGATGAGCGTGCAGTCGGATGGAGAAATAGACTTCCTGGTTGAAACGTCTGCTGTTCCAAATAGATTATCACGACTGGCAAATCTTGCGGAAAATGATTCAACAATCAATGTATTTAGTGCACAACTTGACAATGAGAAAATCAAGACGCGCCGGGAAATCATAAAAAACGTGAATGCCGTACTCAGAGCAAACTTCGAGAAAGCCAAATACAGTGAATCTTCACTACAGGGAGCTGACCACATGTAAGTAATTAGAATTTATATAATAAATAATTATAATTGGAAAAAAAATTTAGACGAAACTTTCCGAACTCTTTTAGCATTACATATTAAAACAGTAATTCATAATTAAATACATAACAGTGGTCATAAATTTAATTTCTGAACCATTTAAAATTATACATAATTTAAAAACATAAAATATTCCACATACTTATATTTAAATTTTATGTTCTTGTATGTATATCATTTTAAACGATTGATATTTGATCAATATCAAAATTTGAAGCTATATTAAGAAAGTTCAATTTTTCTAAATTATTACAAATGTAATGATTCAACATAATTATTAATGTCATTTGTTATTAATATATTTATTAAATTAATCTAAGAACATATTAATAAAAGATGTAAAATATTCTACGTTCTGCATATTTCTTAAAAAATATCAATACAGTTATTAAATAAAAATTAATGTTAGTAATTTAACAAATAAAATCTTACACATTAAAATATGTAGGTTCGAAACATTTTGATGTATGCGTATTTATTAGACATATCATATATGACTCGTCCGTAATTTCATGTTTACAATTTCGTAAGACTACTTTATATTTCAAATAATTTGTTAAAATATTTTTTTAGAATTACTGTATTTTATTGTTACACTTTATGTTTATCTTTACATTTTATTAAGTGATATCAACAATCAGTTTCATTAATATTTTATAAAATTTATATTATGTTTACTTAAGCACTGTCTAAATTTTACATTAAAATTCCTTATATAAAAAATAAATATTTCATACTACACACTATTTATACGATTTTTATTAATTTTTATTAATATTGCAATATAAATATTCAATTTTTTCAAAATGTATCTATGGAAAGATAAAGATGATTTTATACGTAAACATTAAAAAAACATTTGCCAGTTTGACAAAAATGAATTTAAAAAAGTTTTAGAAAACATATATAGCTAAAAATGTTTTCATAAATATGTAGTTGTAAAATTTATGCAAAAAATTTTAATATTATAATACTAAAGAGCATAGAAGGTTAGTAACTTGTTATTTTTTCATCAGAATCAACAATACTATGTTCGTACTGCACAATAATAAGGAGAATTCTGTATTTAACAATGATACATTATTCGGGATATCTAAAATCGGGGAAATTTTGAAAATGTCTACTGAAAAATCGTCGACGAATAACACTATATCGACATCAACTTCGACAATGGCTTCATCAACGAGGAGAACAAAGAATCCCGGAAAAAAGCAGCATCAGACGCCCTTCGCATTGAAGCACTTGGAAGTGCCGATAAAGCAGAATGAATCGAGAAGACGGTCAACTCATTTAATTACAACTTCATCCACAAATAAAATGTTACCAACTACTTCAAACATTAGAGGTCTGTAAATTTTTTGTATATTATTGTATATATTTATATTTTTAAAATATAAATACCATAACGTATATTAGAGATTTAAAAAATATTGAGGAATTTTTCAAAATCAATCACATATTTATAATATAATATATTTATAATCTATCCGATTTGCCAATAAATGATTATTTCATAAACAAATTTTATTTATTGATACTATTTAAATTTGAATTATCTACATATTATTAGTTTTGAAGAACGTATATGTTGGATTTAAAATATATTTTTATTTACTTTGCTTCCTCGTTGTTTGTTAAAAAAATATTATAATAAAAACAATAATAAATTAAACATCAATAATACAAATGCTTTATAGTAAAGAAATATTGATATAACATTTGATTTCTAAATAATTGATTTTATGTATCCTGAAATTGATATCTTGAAATTATAATTATACTACTCTTTTTAAAACTTATATCAAACAAAATTTCTAATAAAAATTAATGTTATTGTTTTTATTAAAAAATAATAATGTTAATAAGAAATTAAAAATTTGGTTAATTCAATGATTTTTAATAATTATTAACAGAAATATTGATATTCGTATAAAAATATTAACTTACATACATCGAAAATTATTTATAAAAAAAAACAGAAAATGATTGACTATCATTTTAAAATTTATTAGTTTATAAAAATTAAGAATTACAGAACGTGAGTGCATTAATAAATTGCACTAAAAATATAAAATTACTAAATTAAAGTAACACAAAAAGAAAATATTTACATGTAATTGGGCATAAAAAAGCAGCTTTCAAGAATGTGTAAGATGTAATAAAATGATTGTATAGACAATGATTATATAGTAAAATGATTTTAAGAGGTTAAATTAATTTCATATTTAAATATTTAAATGTAGGTTTAAGAAACAATAAAACAAAGGAATCAGTACCACAGTTTCACATCATATGATTTATAATAATATTGTAGTATAATAGAATAATTATGTATTTAATATCATAGAAATTGACTTTGAATCCAATCAATTGAAAGAATTATATTAAAATACTTGAGAAAAAGTTTGAAAAACATTATAAGTTGTTTTTTTTTATTATAAGTGTATTTGAATCAAAATTGTAAAATAAACAAATAATATAGAAGTTTAAAAGTTTTTTATCACATCATTTATAAATAAGAATTTAAATGTTAAAAATAATGTGAATAAGTATATGGATTAATAGTATTTTATTATTGGTATAAAAAATATTATTTAAATTTTGGCATACTAATAATAAATAGATCAAACAGGTTGTATGTCCATAAATAGTGATCGATGAATGTTTATTGAATAATTGTTAGTTACTATGCAATAGCGTCCATTCGCCATTAGAGTAAAATAAAATATTCTAAAGAACATGCAGTAAGAAACAGAGAGCATAGAATGATCGAGAATGTACAAGGTTGGAAAGATAATAATCAAAGCCATAGAAATGGTAGAGGAACTGGTTGATAGTAGACCAATTATACGACGGAGAATTCGCGTAATAAACGGGGCAGGGTCGTGAACGAGCGAGTACCGCGAATCGGGGCTTCTCCCAGAAATGTTATATAATCATCGTCTATATTTGTCATATATCAAGCACACTTGTCCTTAAGTCTATTACAAATAATTTCAAACGTATTAACGCCACCCAATTCTGTCTTCTATTCTCACTTTTTCAAAACTTGCCCTTAAATTTCATTACATTCTTTTGACGGATATTTGTGTCAATCAAGTAAACTTAGTTAATAAACTGTTATTATATTTATTTGGTGCCATTATTATTAAATTATTTATGTCATTGAAATTTCTATTTTAACTATATTCGTTTATCAATTAAAAGAAATTTACTACAAATGCAGCAATAAATATTTGTATTATAAATATAAATTCGTTAAATTTCTAAACAATTATATTAAGGTATTCGAATTACATTCATAAAAATTTTATAAATAGCCAGACGAAAAAATTAAATATTTAAAAATATTTGAAAATGATGATTTACAATTCAATATCTAATAATAATATCGTATTATAAATTTAGAAAAACTTAAATTATTATTTAATCCATAATTAAATAAAATTGTAGGATGAAGAATAAAAAAAAATACTATGAGGATAGTTTTTATCATTTACAGCGACTATTGCGCCTAGCTAAAATAAATAATGCTATTATAAAAATTAATAAAATAAAAAAAATTTTATTTTTAATAAAATAAATAAGATCGTGTTTTTTTTTCACGCTGTAGTTCGTAAAAAATATTACGAATACTATCGATTTGTAGAATTATTACAAACGAAAATCTCACATATTATGCATATTTAACTTTTCATTTAAATAGTATATTGCTGCATAAATTAAGAGAAATAAAAATTAAAAATTGAAACTTATATCTAATAAAATTAATTACGTTCCAAACTTATTTGATAAGTTTGATTTCGAAAAACAATATGTGTAAGTTAAAGTCTAACGTTCCATAAACAAGGGCGCAGTAATCCTATTTCCGAGTCTTAGCTCAGCACTTACAACATTAGTACAAAAAATTTTAGAAACTTTATTTGCATTGTATTTAGAAATATTAGGCACAATATCGATGTACGAAAAATATATTTAATAATAAATAGATTATTTATATAATTAATTAATTGTGTATTGAAAAATGTAAGTAAAAAGCTTAAAACGTCTTAAGTTTTTGGCTAATTCTACGAAATTTTTTAATTTTTAAAAAATGTTAATTTAATAATTGATGTTTTTAAAATAATATATTTTAATTGAAAGTCTATTTCTATTATTATAAGTACATAAGAAATACATAAAAATTTTCAAATAAACATAATTTTTATTTAAAATAAACAATTATAGATTAAATAACATTTTATTAGAAATATTTCAAAAAGCTAAACAGAATTAATTTGAAAATTAAAAATTAAATAAATAAATAAGAAAGAAATTAATATGGTAGAAACTTATAAAATATGTATATTTCAGAAAAATCTTTGTTTTTATATTATACAAAAAGTAAAAGCTAGAGCAAATCAATTTAAAAACATAAATTAATATATTGTATATAGTTAAAAATATTAATATTTATTATTAATTACTAATTAATATTTTAAAAATTAAGAACAAAATATTTATATTTTGAAATCTTCAAATTAATCATATCAGTACTCTATAGGATTTAAAATATAAAATTTCACTACATAAAATAGATTATGATTAAAATAGAAAATAGTTGGAATTTAAAATTTTTTTTATTTATAAAATATGTTAAAAAATTCCTAAAAATTAAAAAATTTTAATCAGCTTATTAGATTTTAATTCCTATATTATATTAGTTTCTTTCAATTTCAATTATATTTTATTTTAATATATTTATATATAAAGAAACATGCATATCTTGAAAATATTGTTTGAAAATTATTTTAAATCAATGTCGGAGAATTTTTTAAAATTTCAGCTATTTTCTATTCAAGTAACAAAAATAAATATTATTAGATAGTACAATTTGTTTGAACAATTTAATTATTGTTTCTATTCAAACTCGATTTAAAATTATGACTTGCTAATAGTCTAAATATAGGGTACTAATTCAATATAATTTTTATAAACATTCAGTATAAATAATTCCCATTATATAGAAAAACTTACATTTATAAATATTTATAATTTAAATAAAATTCATTAAATTACCCCAATATAATTGCTATAAAAATATAGTGAAAGTAAAGAAAAATATTCATACATCCTATTTAAAGTAATGAAAATGTAAATATTTTTTTAATAGAACAAATAATTATTTACTGATGAGAATCTATAAGTTTATATATATATTTAAATTCTTCGTTTGCTAATAATTGATAATATATATTATTTATAATAAAAGAAATATTTTAATTAAGGTTAGTAATTGATACTGCAGAATGAAGCATGTAGAAATCGTAATTAATAAAAAAGATGTATTCAATTAAATTACAGATAGCGCTGTTTCTAGATGCAGAATAATAAAGTACTAGACATACGTATAGAAATAAAATGTGCATATGTAGGTACATATGTACACACACGCATATATATATATATATATATATATATATATATATAGATAGAGAGAGAGAGAGAGAGCGAGAGAGAACTATAGAGAGTATATATAAGAGTATATAGAGAGTATATATATAATATAGAGAGAATATATTGAATATATTTTAATTTCATAAGATTTAATGAATTATTTAAATATTTTATTTATACATACATAATATAAACATTAATGAATAAGAATATATATTACTTTAATTTTAATATGAAATAAAAAGCTTAAATTACCAAATCTTATGCATACACATTAAATAAATAATTATACCAATATAATAAAAATATAATAATTACTATAAAATTTATTAAATAATCTTAATTATGATTTGATTTGAATTACTATTTGGCAATGACATTGCATTGTGTCGATATATTTGTTAATAGCTAAAACCATATATATTAAAAATAGATCTTTCTGACATAAACTTAATCTTAAAGTCTTTGCTGATTATTTGATTTAATTACATTTATATTTATAATGTACATATAATTATTATTTTTCTTATATTTAAATTTTCTAAATGTGATAGATAATCATCGCAGTGCTGTCTAGTAAAACTAAATTCTACCCTTTTATTTAACATGAATAGATAGCAAAAATATTAATCATAAAATACAATAATACACTTATAATTCTCTTTATAAGGCTATATAATTATAGAAACTAAAAAGAAAATATTTGTACCAATATTTAATTGTTGTTTTCGAAACGAAACTCTACATATTCGAGAGCTGCGCATTGAAATATACAACCTACATGAATTACTGTTCACATCAACCTAACGTATATCGATCCCATGCACTGGGTTCGAAAGCAATCCATAAACATTCGGATGTGTCAAGAATTATTCCTCTCGTCCATACAACCCCAGCGCCATTAAAGCCGGTGATATCATTTTTCTACAAACCAATAAAATAAACTAGTGTTTTTATATACCCTTACCTAAATTTGTTTATTCCCTTCTCATATCTCATTCATTTTTTATAATATAATATTTCATATAAAACAATTTCATGGAAACAAATTTTTATATAAGTTTACGTGAATATTCGCATTTATAATAATCTGTAATAATAATTAATAATTAAACTACAAAGTAATCATTCTATGTTTAACTCTATTTATTAATGGTCATATGAAACATTGATTTTTTACAATAAAAATAATATTTTAATTCAATATATTTAAGATATTAAATTAAAACTTTCAATTATTAAAATTTCAACTATATGTATGATATTACATATAATTAAATATATAATATATAATATAATTATATAATAATATACAAATAATAAATGTAATTAAATATAAATTATTAATAAATTAGTAATTATTATTAAATCACTATCATGAATGATGCACAAAGAGACTATTATTTAAGCAAAAATTGATTAAATAAAATGTAATTATAATTACAATTTAACACAATATTTTTGTGAAATTGATTATGAATTAAAAGTCGATTAATTATTTCATTTCATTATTATTTCATTAAAAATAAAGAAAATTACATAAATTAACCTAAATATTTAATTAATACATAATAAATATTGAAAACTATAAAATCTATATATAATTATAAAAATGTTTTATAATGTTTTTAAGAGAATAATATAATATATATTTTTGTATTATCATTATTGATAATGAACGTACATTGCATATATAGTGGATACAAATATAAAATAATAAATAATATATAGTATACATTCCTTATTATATTAAGTGCATTCCTTTACATTCCTTTTTACATTATTTTTATTAATACATAAGTAAAGATATATATAAAAATTATAAAAACCGAATATAAATATAAAATTAAATAATTATGGTACATAATAAAAAAATTTATTATGTAAATATTATTGATTACATTGTATCAGACTCAAAATAAATAAAATATATAAAAAACTATTGGTAAATAACAAAAATTTAATCAATTGAAAACTTTTATAACAAAATTATTTTAAATTTAAAAATACCGCGTTGATTAAGCTTTAAAAGCTTATTTTATTTCTAGCTCATATCCATATTGAAAATTTACGGATCCTGCGCAACTACGAATACGGATTCTGTCTCTCTCTCTCTCTCTCTCTCTCTCTCTCTCTCTCTCTCTCGTGCACTTATTTGCTCATTTACTTTTTCCTTCTTTTACATATGTACGTTTTCTCTTTAGAATTTACAATTCATGCTTCTATCTTCCTCACTCTTTATTGGTGAATGCATATGTACATCAAACAATTGTAACACAACTTTCTCAGTGTGATGACAAAAAAAACATTATTACTGGTATTCCATCTTATTTAAAATTAACTTAAATCTAGACCATCAAGGGAAGCAAGAATTTATTGAGCATTGCTTTGGAAACATGCGCCCATCGCGGGCAATTCTAGTCACGCATGTATCACGAAATCTGGCACAAATTGCAGATCATCGCATCTACTCTTTCTTCTTAGAATTATTATCTTTACTTATTTTACCTTCTGCAATGAAAAAGTGAATGTGATAGATAGGCCTACAAAACATTAAAGGTGTTGGTTTTTTATATTACAGGTAAGAAAGTGTCGTTGTGTGAATTCTAAATTAAGCCCGATCGTATTGGGCAATCCTGGATAATTATGGATGTGCTAAATAAATTTTGCTCAAATATATAAATTCCATTTGAATAAATTAAGACAAGATAACATCACTTAATAATGCTATCAAAATACACTCACTGGATGTAGTTCCAATCACCTTATATACACATTGGTTCGTGCTAAATTTATTGGAATCAATTTCTTATAATTCCTTTATAAGTTTCCGAAAATATTTTAAAAATAATAATAATGATAAATATATTTATTAATCACGATAAATATATGTTAACAATGTTAAAAAAAATAAATACTAGTAAATTAACTTAAATAAATAAGAAGCTACCATTTAAAATTCACTAAATACATAAGATTTTATTATATTTGATCACAATATTTTATATTAAATATATTTTAATACAATTGATTTGATTTAATGATACAGAAATTGATAACGTACTTGATAAAAATTATTTCATGCTTTTCTGTAAGTTAATATTCTACCATGAAAGCTATTTAATATAAAATTTTAATTATTCAATAACAATAAATTATAGAGAAATAATAAAATTTATATATTCATAAATAAAACTATTCAACTTTATAGTAAATTTTTTAATATGAAATGGATATAGAAATATTTCTTAAATTATACTTAAAGTTTCTATATTCTTTGTATTATAACATTTTTAATATAATATAAATATATTTACCCTTCAAAACTTTTCATATACTATGAATAAATGTAAAGAGCTAAATTTATCATTATCTTTTAAGAACTTACAAAATATAGTTAATTATAATAACACAAAATTAAATATAAAGTCAATTTTATATTATTAAATATTCATAATTTAACATAAATACAATTGAAAATTATAAATGAAAAAAAATATCAAAAAATTTTAATTTTTAATAATAGCTATTATTTGCTAATATTTACTGTACATACATGTATTAATTTTATTAAAATTCTCATTTATTAAAAAAAAAATTGTTCAATAACGTAGTCACAACTTAATATATCTTTAGAAGTATTTTCAAAACAATAATTCACAAAAGCAAATTAAATTTTATAGAAGAAACAACTTAGATACAAAACAAATTAGATAATATATAAAATAGATACAATTAATAACAAAGATAACTTGAAATAATTACAAATTTAGGAAGATCAAAATATATGTTTAAATTTATTTCATTTTTTCTACTGTAAATATTGATTTCAAATTACTTAATTCAATAATAAATGTTTGCATTATTTGTGATATCTACATTGTAATTTGGAAATACATCTTTCAGACTTAACATTTAAATAAACGAAAATTAACGAAATCAAATCAGAAAAAAAGTCAGAATCCACGCGACAACGCTCAAATAAAAATGCGTAATATGTAGTCCATAATATAGATACTACATATTTGCATGTGACTGCTGCTGCTAAAAAATCTTAAGATCTACTATGATCAGTTACATTAGTCCAGCAATGCAGCTGCCGCGCAAGATGAGTGCCCACAACGTAATCGCAAGCATAAGTCGCACCCTGGGTACACTCCATGGTGACGAGAAGCCCACAAACGAGGTCAAGTTCGCTGGTGAGGAGAGCAAGGACAAACTATACGAACCCAAGCACAAGCAAAAGCTCGTACGTGTTCTCACTGTAGTCGCCTACATCATCTCTGTCAGCCTTGCAGCTATAGTCTTATCGCTCTATTATATGTACATATGGGATCCTTCGGATAATCAGCACTACATTGCCAAACAGCGGATTAATGTCTCTATTGCCAGCAACGCTGCGAAAATGGTTTGCCCCGACATAAGCCTAACCGAGACTGACGAGTCGAAGACATCAACCGCGAACCGTTTGCACGGTAAATTCGGATATTTGACCGTCTTATGAGATATTGCAATATAAAAACATCACTCTTTTTGACGTACTGAGAAATGATCGAACCTACTTTGGATATATAATAAACATATATTAAGCCATTGACAGTCAATTTTAATACTCAAATTCTTTAGGTATGTTTGGTTAATTATATGTAAATGAATTTTGCTTATAAACAACGTTTAATGAAAATTTTCGAATATAATTTTAAGAATAAAATTTTCATAATATTACTATATTATATTATAAATAAAAATATTTTTAAAATATTTTAACAGTTATTGATATTCAACAGTTAACGATGGGCAACACATCTGCATAAATCAAGTATAACGTTTGAAACTATATATCAAATTTCCAAAGTATTTTCGATCGATCTATAAACTAAATATTAAAAAATTGTTAGCCATTCTTCTAATTAAATAATGTTTAATTAAATTATGATCTTTTTCAATATTTTCATATTTCTTCATTAATAATTTAAGCGTACGAATATTTGAAAATATTACAATTAGTGACGATTATGAAATAATAACTACAACATAATTTTACATTTTAATATTACAAAAATATTTAAATTATATTAGAATATATTTATATTACTGATATAGATAAAGTATAGAATTCGCTAAAGTAAAGTTTTTTTAATAATTTTCCATTTACTTATTTTATTCTTTATTTTCGAAACATTTAATCTTAATGTGTGCGTATAATCTTGAAATATTTTTGTATTTTTATTTTTTAACTATATTCGATAAATATAAAAAATATAAAATAAATGTTAAAATAATTATATGAAACAGTTGAAAAGTAAAATATGTGATAATGTGTGATGAAAATGTATGAACAGACTAACTAATTCAAACGCATAAACATTTCATTCCACATAATTAAATATATAACTGATATAATCTATCTATTAGAACATATTTAAAAATTAGAAGTAGTAATTTTTTAAGATAGTATAAAAAAGAATGAGCGGTAGGTTCGAAATTTAGTTTTAAAGAAAATTCTATTACTAATTTTATTGAATATAAAATATATTATAAAAATACTGTTTTAAAAAGTAAAATGATTGATTTTCATCACATTCATTTTTATGCTATTTTAATAGCTCCTCTTATATTTATTTTCAAAATTAATTTTTCTACGTAAAAAAAAGAAAGAATTAATATTATTATTAGTAATTTGAAAAAATTAAAGTCTATAAAAACAATTAGAATTAAAAATTTACTTGGTGAAAAAAAGATTTAATTTATGAATTGTTTAAACATTACTTAATTTTGTATATATACAAAAACATACAAACACTTCTATTTAAAAGAAATTAAAAATCAAACATTAATCCTATATTTAAATATACACACAAATAATATTTTTTTAACAAAATCAACTATAATATTCTCTTATAATAAATGAAAAAAAAACTTTTCAGGACATATTTTTACAAGTACACAAGAGTTTGTACGATATGATAAAATAAATATAGTCTTTATAGTAAGTTTTAAATAATATTTTATAAGGTTGTATATTTTTATTTATTTGATTCTGAATTTGATTCTGAAAATTGAATTTAGAAAATAATCAATATTCAAATTAAATATTATATTACACATAATGAAATAATATTAACTATATTAATGGTTTATTAAATAAATTATTGTTTGTTGTACAGAAAAATACTTTTAATTGATTTGATTTTATAAATTTGTTATAAATATGATTATACGTATGAAACTAAAAAATAATTACTATATTTGTAGAAAACATAAAATCATATTAAATTTATTAATCAGTTTTTACAAAAAATAATTAATAACATGTATTATTACAGAAAATAATTATATTATATTTATATCAACAAAAATATCTTTCTTAATTTATATGTATTTAATACACAATATATAATATAACAAATGTCTGCTATATGTTTTATTAGTATTAGTGTTGTATTAGTGATTATATATATTATATATTTTTGGTATATAATTAAAGAATATTATACAGTATTTATTAACCACAATTTATAATAGATCCAATAGAATAAACCACTAGTATCTATTAGTCAATCAATGTAAAATAAAGGATTGGTAATAACGTAAAATTCATTAATAATTAATCCTTTAATATCCAAAATATATTAAATCTTTATTTATATATCTTTGATATTTTCACTCACTCTCAATTATATATTTTAATAAATTTAATGAATGCTTACACATGAAATCCTTTATCGCACACGCATTCTTAATGTATTTTCATGTAGAATTAAGAATCATTCTAAATACAAACGTTTAAATCTTATTTTTAAAGTATTATAATCTACGAAATCCAATACTAAAATGTAAATAATAAGTCAGAATAATACACTTAGTATATTATAAGAAATATGTGAAATATTAATGTTGATGGTTACATTCAATGCTATAACACACCCTAATATGAATAATTTTTATATGGCTACAATATTTTTATGTATTTATACTGCTAATTATCGGGAAAAAATGATATATTATCGGTATAATATTATGTTATATATAATATAAAAGACTGATATCTTTTAAAAGAAAAGATGATGTATCTTAATTGCAATAATATATATGTTCAGTAAAAACTTCTATATATTTCATTAATAATTTGATTCTATGTCACACTATCAAAAGTAAGGCAAGTGTAATTTGAATATGAATGATACAGGCAATAAACGTTATTAATGTTACGACTACATCTGTGAATTGCATAGAAACGATGCAATCACGCTTATAAAGAGAAATCACAACGGCCAAGTGTAGAAAATTGCACGTTTTACTCTAGTTACCATAGACCTAGCTAGTTCGAATGGCCATTGATACTTTTACCTCTCTTGGTATAATTGTCTTTAATACATAATGATTAATTAATAAGAAACAAATAATGGGATATCAAAATGAAGGTACCTGATTCTATACTAAATTTAATATTTTTCTAAATATTTACTACAATTCGAACTATTTTTATAAAATACTTTTAATGATTTTGTATTCATAGGCTGATAAGTTTACACTTGAATTGAAAAATCTCAATATACTATTTACCTATTTCATTTATTTTGCAATTTAAATTATTTTACTAAGTTATAAAAAATTAGAAATACGTTTTTCATATGAGTTCTTACATTTTAAAAACTAAAGTACCTGCATTATTAAAGTTGAAATCAAATTTTAGAATTTTAAATGCATATAAATTTATAAAATATTTAATATACTGAAATATATCTATATAAACAGATAATGTAAATAAAGGACTCTTCTTTTATTTGTTTATAAAATAATATTATAAAGACAATTCTAGATTCATTGTAAGGTAAATTCTTTGATAGGTATGAGAAATATTTATATACTATTATAATAAGAAGTTTTCTAATTATATTAAATAAATATTGATGAATTTTTTTTTTTGATAATAAAAATATTTATTTAGAAAAAATACATATTTAATTTTTATAATTTAAATAACTAATTATATAAATACATTATAACTTCAAAGCTAGCTTCACGATTTAAATAAAAACTATTTTGGAATTTCATTTAAAATTTATGATTGTGCTAAAATTTTATCTAAAATATTTTTAAAAATAAGCTATTATGCCGAATGAATATAATAAATAAGAATTAATAAGTACTAATAAGTAGTAATGGATCTAATTACATTATAATTAAATATCTTTAAAGTGTAAGGCATAATTTATTCATTGATGTATAAATAAACATATTTTATAAACAAAATGTAATTTATAATTAGAAATTTTTTAATTTTCGATAATATATAAAAAATAATTGGAATATAATAGTTGGAACACAATTAAATAAATATTTTATAACGAAAAATAATATTTGTTATTTCTTTCATAAATACTATTTCAGTTTACGATAATTAAATAGATCACATACTATATCAAGAAAATAATTTTTAAAAGAAAATATTTTTTATTAGTAAAATAAAATCAAAATAGTTTCCTAAATTCTAAATTCAATACAATAGATATAAAATAATATTTAATAAACAAATATTTATAAAATAAATCTTTAATACTTTAAGCAATTATTGCATAATTTATAGAAAAAATAGAATATTAAACGATACTTTTGTTTTTCAGAAATATCCTGGGACAAAAGTAAATCTTTATTAGAAACAACCAGGAAATTTGTACAGAAATCAGATAATACAAATTCTCAAGAATATAGTGTCAAGAACCTCTTTCGAACCTTGACTACTCCTTTAAGCCGTAGAGATAGTAATGAGCCTGGCTATACGGATTTGCCAAAGCTGCTTTCAATTTCATCCGATCAATTTAAAACTGTGCGACGAATAAATGCTGAAAATTACTCTGATAGCACGATAAACCCCGAAGATGATCTTTTAGATGATTGACTAACCGAAGTCAAATCGCGACATCAACCACCTCATAAAACAGTTCTTTTAAAAAACATTTAAAAATACGTAAACATATGGAAGACTATACAGTTATTGCGTGTAAATTATAAAATTTAAATTTAATATTACTACTGTTAAATATATACATTATAAATGTATGTGTTATATATATATATATATATATGTTGAATATACTAGATTGACTGTATTTTAAATTCTTTCTATTGAAATCCTATTTCTGTGAACTATATAAGAAAAATAATAAAATGCTATGAACTAAAGTATAATTTTTAAAATCTTGTATTTTAAAATAATTAAGAGTAATTAAATTAACATATAATATAAAATCTGGTTATTCATGTATGTATCCAACAGTAAATTTTATTTATAAAATTAATTTCGTATTTAATTTTCATTATATTTTTAATAAAGTTGATAATATATTAATTATTAAAAAATTAAACACATTTCATAAATATATTAAAAAGCATATATAATTTATTAATTAAGATTTAAATTAATACTAAAATATTGAACTTCATTTAATAAATATGTAAAACATTGTAAAATATATCATGGAATATTTTATTTTAGTAATTATGTCAATAGAACATTCATTTTTTCTTTCAAACATAACCTGAATTTGTTTATTATAAAATATTTTTTCTAATTTATTTTATTTATTTTTTGTATTCATACATTTCATTGCCCACTAAAGCAAATTATTTTTCATTCGAATCAATAAAATAACTATAGTTTATATAATTGTCTTCGTTTTCGTTTTTTAACAACAAAGCTTTTTATTACTTTCATGATTATATATTATATAAAAATTTAATAATAGAAATATTTTTTTTTATAAAATAAAGTATAAAAATATATTTTATAAACAAAATATAAAATTAATGTTTATATAGTAATAAAAATTTTTTTTAAGTTAAAGGCAAATTATGTGATTTAATTGATTAAAAATTATCAACTTGTTATTATCCATCTCTTTCCCAATGCTGTTATACTGTATTTTAAGAAATACTATTTATATTTTACCTAATATTAAAATATTTGTTTTAATTCATAGAATTCATTTATAAATCCTGTATATATTATTTCAATTTAAATATCACCAATAATTTAAAAAAACTTACTTCTAAACTATTACTACTAAATAAAATTTCAAAAGATAAAGTATACTTCAAAACAAGTAAATATATTTTCGATAAAAATTATATAAAAAACTTTTATTATTGTTTATTCATTAAAATTATAGTTATATATTATTTCAAGATTTAAGCTGTTCAAAAAAAAGTTATATTATTGTGATACTACTATACTTATAAGTAAAAACAAGGGTTAATTCACAAATAAATTTATTAATTAAATATTTTTATAATTCTAAATTTCAGTCATTATCATGTGAACTGTTTTATTAGAACTAATCATTTTATTTGCTCTTTCACTGCCAACTATGGCAGAAAGTGGCAACACATCATATTTACAATAAATTGTTGTTACAGTCATATTACTAGATGAACCAGCTTTCTGATTTTGATAAGCTTCTTGCATAAAATTACACATTTCACTGTAAAAATGAGAAAATACAGGAGGTGCATAAAAAATAATATGTCTAATTCCTTTAATCCTTATTCTGCGAAAAAAATGGAAACGTTCTGTATATAAAAGAAAATGAGCATCGCTATGAAAGAACATATCTCTGGCTCTTGCAATTTTTGCAAGTCGCGAATACTCACAAATTTGTACAAAACTGATTTCTTCTTTTCTAAAATAATTTCGGAGTTTCACATAATCAAAATATGATGGTACGAAAATTAATGTATGATTCATTATACTATCTTTAAATTGTGATAAGACTTTTGTAGTAAAAAATTCAAATCTTGCTTCAATAAATTTTGTATGATCACTAACATTAAATCTTTGAAAAACTTGTGGAACTTGAACAACAACTTGAACAATAGAACCTGTTGATATAGGATTCATTACTTTCAATTTTCCTGCATAATTATAGCAGAATTTATTAAAAATACCATGAATTTCAGGTAATTGTACTGCAGAAAAAATTAATGTCTGTCTATAATATTTACTCCATCCATTAATACACCAACTACGTACTCGTGAAAAATCTGTATCATGAGCTTTTTTTGGCTGCAAATGTAAATGATTAAAAATATGAAGGAGGTGATCCCAGTTTTGCATTAAAAACAACTCTATTTGATCAATAATTAAAAGTTCGATAGATGCAAGAAAATCATAATCCCTTTCTTCCTCTCCTTCTGCTCCAATTGTCATTCTCATTCCCAATACTGATGCAATTATTATATCAGAGGAATAAAAATCTGAGTATAATTTCAAAGCTTTTTTTGTGATGGATATACCAATTTTAAATGTATCATCAATATTTCCTGTAAATGTTTGCTCATAATCCTCTGGTTTTGGATTTTTTTTAGGCATTATAATTTCATTACTTCCAAAATCTTTCATAAATCTATTTTTGTTTATTACAGACTCTCCTTTTTCTTCAACAATAAAAATTGAAATAAGCAATTCAACTATTTTTAAACAAGAATATCTAAAAGGTACCAGAATTAAAATTTTTGGCCTAACTAATCCTTGATCCCTATATTCTTCAGGTATATCACTTACACTCATTAATTTTGCTTTTTTAATTTTTGCATTATGATGAAGTACTTTTGTTCTAGTTTTTAAAACATGATTAATTATATGTAAACAATATACAAACCTTATCTGTGATTCATTATTAAAAGTTCTTCCAAAATATAATAAATCTTGATAATTATTTATAATTGACAATAGTTCCTTTTGAAAATTGGTTAATGGGCTTGAATTTTTATGTAAATTGTCTTTAATATGATTATAATTAGCTTTACTGATATTACCTTGAATTAAAGATTTTATATATAATTTATTCCAATCTATTTTATTAATTAAACTAGGTACTTTGCCATATTTTGCATAAGATTTATTCTCTAATATTGAATTTCTTGATTTTTTATTAAGTGGCTCGTTTAATATTTCATCTACTTTAGGTATCTGATAAATAATATTTCCTAAATTTGGCCAATTTAAATTTCCCATTTTTACATAAACTGGTAAACTACTCACAACTTGATAAAGTTCATTATCAAGATCATTTTGAAAATGTATTGTAAATGGATCATTTACATTACCAGCATATTCCTTAACTGTTTCTTCATCTTCTTCATTTTTTTCATCTATATGCATATAAATTTCTTCACTATCCAAGGGCTTGTTATCAGCTGCTTTAAATTTATCTTGATCGCTCACTTCTGTATCTGATTCATTATTGCTATTTATACTATCCTCATATTCGTCACCTATTTCAATTTCTTTTTTATTTATATCTTCTTGTATAAATTCTTCATCATCTGTTTTACTTTCAGAATCAGAATCAATTATCTGAATATCATTTTTAACATTAAATGTTTTTAAAAGATCATTCAAAGGATTTTCTTCTTCCGAACTATCATCGTAATCTTCTTGTTTTCTTTTATACTCTTCAATTCTTTTTCTGCGATTTTCTATTTCCTTATTCTTTATTTCTCTTTCTTTAATATAAACTGCTGATCTATAGTTAAATTTATTTTTTGGTTTTGATTTTGTTATCAATTTCTTCCGAAATTGTTTAGATTTTTTTTTACCCGTCATATCTAATTAAAAATCATCATATATAAATAGTTATTAATTATTAATATAAATAATTGTTATTATTTGTATAATTTTTATAAAGAATATAGTCAGTAAGGTTAAATTGGAGTGCAAGTAATGTATACGAAAATCTAAGCACATGTGCAGAGTGAAGCAATGTAAGCATGCGCAAATCATTTGTGCTTCACGCGCAAAAAGATTTAACACATACGAGGTGAATAAACCACTGATTAAATATTTTATTACATTTATAAATTAAATTGTAAATCATAATACGCTCATTTTATGCCATTGCTTCAAGTTATGATTACTCTTTGTTATCCTATTTTTTTCTTAAAATATTCAATGTTTCTTCTTTAAAATATTTGATAGTTGAAATCATTGATTTATAGTAATATTGTTAAAAATTTATTTAAAAAAAATTAATTTAAAATAATAAAACTAAATAATTTATTTTTTAATTTACAATTAATTTTACAAAAATATATTTCATTTTGCAAGAATTTTCAAATAAATTGATAAAACTTAAAAATATTTGTAAAAGTGAATATATAGAATCTTAAACAAAACTAAAATAATAAAAATGAAATAAAACAATATAATAGATTTGAATATGATCAATTAGAAATTGTTATTATAATATTAATTATTACTCATCTGTAAATATACGTACTATAATTATTATAATGCATAAATCTTGTATTATACGTTTAAATGTATGGTAAGAAATAAATTAAAAAAGATTCAGATTAAAAATAGAAAAAACAAAATCTTGAAGTTTTATTAAAAATAACTACTTTAAATAAATATTAAACAGTAAACAACCACTTATATATCGATCACTTTTCAAGGAACTTCTACACCAGTTACAATTAATAAAACTTGATATAAAAATATATACTAAGCTATTTAATCAATGATATAAGCCCTTGGAAATACGTTTACATCAGTTCATACTTTTTTAATATGATGATCCGTTGCGTGCGCATCGATGCAAAACAACGTACTACGCTATAATATAGTGTGTTTAATGCACCTAATCATATAACTTTTTAATAAGTGAATATAAACGTTGGCCCCATCTTCATTCCCACCTCCCATAGATTGTATGCATACGCATATTCACAGAATTCGCGTAATCTAATGCACGTGTGCGTATTGGGCAATGGTAAGCGCTAAATTAAACATGTACGTATATCACACAGGGCTATTTGGCTATCTGCATAAACATGTAAAAATAATAGATATAATAATAAAGATAGATGTAATGTAAAACAAAAAATACGAAAAGATAGAAAACAACATAACACAAAAAAAGATAACACAGAAAACGAAAAGGCTAGAAATAACAAGACGATCTTCAAATAATTCAATTGAAGGAGTGTAAGAGATTGTAATGAGACAGTGAGAGAGAGAGAGAGAGAGAGAGAGAGAGAGAGAGATCGAAAGAAAGGAGGGATAAACAATGATAGGAGCAGAAAAAGCAGAAGCAATACAAGTGTTACTTAAGCGCTTTTTGCTTCTTACGCGCATGTAATTGTGAACATCAATGCCTATAACATTTTCTCTGTTAAAAGGCGATAGTTTATTTTTATTCTCGTCGTCCGCAATGACAATACACTCCGTACACGGTTAGCTTTGCATTATTCGATTCGTGTTGGAACAATCGTGAACGAATTTGTAAAACAATACTGGAGTTTCCTATGCGTGTTCTGTACAGTGGATAAAACGTCAACGTGTGCCACCAATTTATTGCTCCTTCTCTCTACACTTTCCTATCCTTCATCCAGCTCTGCATTGGCTATCGGTCAATCAGTTCGCTGGCCGACCTATTGTTCACTACATCGTGAACCCTGTCATTGCAATCACTCTCACGATAAAACACAAACCCATCACCCGCACCCGCGACAATCATACATGCATAGGTGCGTGCGCGGCGCAGCAGCCCCGCGACATCGCTGCAAAAGCCAAATCATCGGCGACGACTGCTGCATAAGCAACAATTCTTCAATCCTCTACCACAACATTTCACTCTTAACATTAAAATTGTCATTACTCATATTAAGTCGTACTGCTAAAAAATATTTTAAAGTTGCTCTGAACTCAGCCAACCAAAGGAAAGCAAGAGGGTCACCGAAGAAAGAAGACGCCGGCAGTAAACTGTTAAAATTGTATCAAGTAGCTTTTTACAAATGTATCATTACTCGCCAAGTAAGTGACAACAACGACTGTAACGTCCTGGAAATTAATCGTTCAGCTTGACATGATTGTGATTGCGACGCCGAATTTCCAGACAAGGCCACGACGATAGCTATTCTATAAAAAAACTGAAACAGCAATCGGTCTTACGATACGGATTGCAATTGCCCTGTTTACATCTTTAATATACGAGTGTAAGAAATGTTTGCCTAATTCTTTTCCGGTTACGTTTTCAATTTTTATTATTTTTTCTCCTACGATAGAAGGTTGGAATAAAAACATCCATATATCTACTTCCCATATGCAAAAGAATATCTGAGCTAACAAAAATTACTTTAAGTTCTCAAACGTTGTATTGCCTTTTTGTACGTAAACAATTTTACTGATTACGTATCAGTAACAATATCGATTTATTGACGAAAATAGTACTAAATCAAAATTAATGTTGTTGGTGATTTTCTTGTAACTTTTTTCTGCTTTAGAAGAATAAAATTTCATTATAATAAATAATACTCTTTTATTTTTATTAAAGATAAACATTTTTTAGATACTTAATTTTAACTATGAAGAAATTAGGTTATATTAAAATAAGTATTAGACTCTGAATTAAGAAAATAGTCATAAAAAATCTTTTAGAATTGCTTATTAGAACTATTTAAAGCAATTAACAAGTTTTAAGTTAATTATTATTCAGTATATAAGTAAATACATGTTAATAATAAAGCTTCAGCTACAACTTTGTTTTAAGTTATAAAGAAAACAATTTCATATTTAAATATCAGATTTTAAAAATTATATTTTTAAAGCAAAAAATAAAATGAATTTATACACCTATTAACATTAGTTGTAAATTAATAAATAGTTTTCTTAATTTTTATTTAATCATATATATATTTAAAATTAAATATATAAGGCTAACATTTTTTTATTTTTAAATTAAAAATATTGTAATTTATTTATTGTCGCTGTTATATGAATAATTTTTATGACAATCATTATTATAAAATTGTAAAAGCTTAATAATAAAAAGACTTAGTATAAATTAAGTAATTGTTATAAATAAAAAATTTTGTATTAATAATAAAGTTTGTAACTAATGAAAGGAATTAAATTGTATATTAAAATGATAGTATATAATTCATTTTTTTAAAGCATTATAACTTTTATAAAATAATTATAAATTATGATTCGTGAATATTTATCTAAATATGTTATTATTTTTATTATACGTAAGTTTTATAAAATTTTTCATATTTTAAATACAAAATAAAGAATGATTAATAATAAATTAATTGATTTTCTTTAGTAAATTATATCGTAATTTAAATATTGAAATTTGAATTTGATTATAAAATCAAATCTAAAATATTAAATTTAATTTAGTTGTAAACTATTTCTGAATATGAATACAGATAAACAGTGTGTAATATAATATATTTTGTTGATGAATTTTTAGGTACTTTTACCGAGACTGGAGTGTATCTGATGCACTCCTCCATTGTACTGTTAGTTATAGAAAGATGGCTGTACAGCTTGATAGCGGAGGGAAAGATGATTTGAAAACACAATTTATTACACGAGAAGGGACATATAAACTCATGACCCTGTCGGAGTATTCTAGGCCAAATCGGGTAGGATATACCAATAGCCAGGGAAGCGCCTCTGTCAGGGTCTCATTTGTTACGCTACCCGATCCTACTGATCCCACTGGTATACAGGGACTCGGCGACCGAATGTGTTTTAATTTTGGGAAAGAATTGTATGTTTATGTCTACAGAGGTGTTAAAAAGGTATTTTTCTCCTTTTATTTATGCATTTTTAATTTTTATTTCCAATTCCAAAATTGTAAAACGAAATTTATTTATGTTAGATTTTCTATAATTAATAGATTCCCATATTAATTGATTATTTATTATTTATACTTTATTCATTAAATATTTTAAATTTAAATAATGTTTTAAAAATAATTTATAAATAATATTACTTGTAATTATATATATTTAAATTTTGATTTTAATACATTAATTGTGTTGTTAATTTTAGGCTGTAGATTTAAATAAACCAGTAGATAAAAAATTGTATAAGGGAACTAATCCAACTTGTCACAATTTTAATCAAACAACAACAACAGTCGAAAGTGCACCATTATTAGTTGGTTTTTCAACAGGGTTAATCCAACTAATAGATCCTATAAAAAAAGAACTCAGTAAACTGTATAATGAAGAGGTACAGTTTCTTAGAAAGGAATTTACTTTATAACTATATTATATACATATACCAATCATTAACAAATCAATTATGATTGAATACTTATTTGATAACTATATGTAATTTTTTCTATGTAATATTCATATGATAATTAAAATTTATTTATTTTACAAAAAAAATTAAACAAAATCTTATAGTAATTAGATTTTTATAAATTAAAAAATGAATTACATCATCTTTGATATTTTTTTAAATATTATTTAATATTTGTTAAATATTATTTAATATTTAAAAAAATTTTAATTTATATTATTTTAAAAAATTTTGTTTAATTTTTTTTTGTAAAATAAATAAATTTTAATGATGATATGAATATTACATAGAAAATATTACAATTTTACTGTATTGCACATTTAATTAAAATTTTATGTTTTATTTTATAAATATTTAAATATTTATAAATCAGTTATAAAATGTTGTATATAATTAACATTTAATCATGTAACTAAAATTAACTGTTTGAATTTCAGTATTTATAAATATAAATATTCTTTAAATTTATTAATTTCAACTTTATCAAATTATTTTTATTTATTTATAAAATAAAGCGTATCTATTTTTTATTATTTCTTATATTCTGTTTGTATATTTATAAAATGGGTTCTTTATATGCAAAAATAAATAAAATAAATTAAGAACAAAATTATATAAATAAAATATATCTTTTTTTTATTTTTTAGAGGCTAATAGATAAAACAAAGGTAACCTGTATAAAGTGGGTACCTGGCTCAAGCAATTTATTTTTAGTATCTCATAGTTCAGGTCAACTATATCTTTATAATGAAGAACTTATGTGCGGGACAACTCCACCGCATTATCAATCATTCAAATCTGGAGATGGTTATGCCATTCATACGTGTAAAACCAAGTCTACTAGAAATCCATTATATCGATGGGTTATCGGAGCTGAAGGCTGTTGTATAAATGAATTTGCTTTCAGTCCGGATGGCACTAATCTGGCAGTTGTATCTCAAGATGGATTTCTACGTGTTTTTCATTACGATACTATGGAGCTAGCAGGTTCAGCAAGAAGTTACTTTGGTGGATTTCTTTGTGTATGTTGGTCACCAGATGGTAGGTACGTTGTTGTTGGCGGTGAGGATGATCTTGTTACAATTTGGAGTTTTCATGAAAAGCGAGTTGTTGCTAGAGGTCAGGGACATCATAGTTGGGTTAGTGTTGTGGCTTTTGATCCTTACACAACATCCTATGGAGAACACGATCCTGATTTTAGTGGCTCTGATGATGAAATGTCTGTAACACACAATAACCATAATCATATTCATGAAAAAGCCAAAAGATTATCAACTACGTCACAAAATATCCATTCAAATAGGAATTCATGTAGTTCTGAATTGAGAGTATCTGGCGGTACGTGTTATAGATTAGGCAGTGTTTCCCAAGATACACAACTTTGTTTGTGGGATATAACAGAAGATGTTCTTCGGCAATCAGTATGCCCTAAGCAGAGAGCATCTATTTCTGCTACAGGCTCTGGTATATTTACCTCTTCAGGGACCTTTAGTAGTGGTAATGGTGCCATGTCAAAGCATTATACTAATAACAGTAAGCATATTAATTCTAACAACATTCATTTTAAAGAGAGTACTAGTAGTAACAATGACAACAGTAACAACAGTACAAGTACTAATGTTGCTGTATCAACAGTAAACTCACTGACTCAAAGGTTAGCAGGAGGACTTGGTTTTGGGGAGAGAAAAGGTGATAATCACAAGAGGAACTTTAGCCTAACCATAAGAAGTAGTGGTGCAGCAGGAAATAGCACTATCTTACAAAATAATAGTATAGACAAAACAGGAAGTAGTACAAATGGAAGTAACTTTAATAGTGTCGGTACAAGTTTAGGTACAAGTAAAAAAGTTAGTTCTGTGATGGATGATCCTATGAGATTAATAGGAACTGCCTGGTGCCCTAGGTTTGACGAGTGCCCTGTACTCGAGCCATTAGTGTGCAAGAAATTAGCACATGAGAGACTGACTGAATTAGTATTTAGGGAAGATTGTTTCGTTACGGCGTGTCAAGATGGATACGTATATACTTGGGCAAGACCAGGTCACATGGTAGGTCCACTTACCATAAGCAATACTTTGCACAGACCACATAATCACAGTCACTCCTACCCTGTGACATCAGTACGACCCAACGATCTCTGATGCATTGTAAGCCTTTATTGTTACCAATTTCTAATGTAGAACTTTTTTCTTCATTGTATCTATTAGAGAAAGCGGCTTTTAATAATTTGAAATAGATATTTTATATTTGTTTATGCTATATTTTCCTTGTTATCACTATTTTTCTGATATTTATACTTTATCTTATATTTTATTTTCATTATTATAATTAGTACTCATATGATTAACTATTATTATTATAAAATCATTTACTATTAATATAACGTTTACTTTTCATTATTACTATAACTGTTTAATAACAATAAGTACAAGAAACATAGTTTATTTATGACCTTAAGGAATGATCGTACCACAACATACTGATAAAATAAAAAATTGAATTTTGAACCAATATTGTTTTTTAAGAGTAGTTAATATCATCCTTTTCATTTTTGCTGCACTTAGATTTTATACTCTCATCTGATACAATTTTCATAAGTATCAAACGAATTAAAAATAATTGTAAATATTGTTAAATTTCGTTAAACAGTCATCTCGGAATAAATATTTATCATGATGAACAATTAGAGGCTCACTATAACAAAATTACAAAAGGGTAGTCCATATAATAATAAACTATTAAAGAAAAATGTACAGCTTTTATTCTTTATTGATGCTATTCACCATTTATAAAACTCGACTTCATTTGCTTGAATACAACATTATATACAAATCTTGAAAACTTTGGAAAAACCAGTGTTTAAATGTTTTGCACATTTCTCAAACTGCCTTGTTTAATTAATCTTCAAAATTTCAAACTAGCATATTTTATTAGCTTCTGTGTTTAAAGATAACAGAGAATTTTATCTGGTGCAAATTTTTATTTAATGTCTAAAATTTTCTATAAGCATTTTTCTTTTATGTTATACCACAAAATACTAAACAATAAAAACCATTATTAGTTCTATAAGTAGTTACAATCAACCTTTATGATTCTGTCTGAAGTCTATACTTTCTATTAATTTTGATCAATAGTAAATTTTGTTTTACTATTCCTAAATATACAATTATTTTAAAAAAATTGCAGATCCACAATAAAACGTTGTACTTGCAATAGCCCATGTACAAGGTCTTTCTATTAACTGTATGTATACAAATTTAAAGAATTTATATTTGAAAATGATACTATTCATAATTGTTTATACTCGGCTTAATCCTTATTACACAGATTGTTAATAATATATTAGCCAAATAAACGAATATAGGCAAATATTATATTAAACTAGCTGTTTGTATATTAAGCTGCAGCCTTTCACTTAATTCGTTTACAATGTATTAAACAATTTGCAACATTTTTGACATAATAGTAATACAGTGTTACGAAAATTTGATGCTACACGCGTTTGAAATTAGAACTGATTTTATTACGACTCTTCCTATCTGACTTTTTGTCGAATATAAAACAACCTTAAGTATCAATGTAACCTTATTTTGCATAGAGAACAAAATTTATAAAAATTTTTACATTATTATATAAGAAAATATTGAGCTTATACGTAAATACGTAAATATCAACTAAAGCTCAAATTGTAAGATATAAATTAACTGTAAATCAAAAAATTGATTTTATGATTAGATTATTTAGTTTATAGTAATCAATAGTATTTGATATTGTCTATATATATAATATTAGAAATATTTATTTATTTATGTATTTAAAGATTAGGTTTGTAAATTCAAAATTCATAAATTTAAAATTAGAAAGTTTTAAAAATTTACAAATAACTTAAGTTTTATTATTCTCCTACAATAGATATTGTTCATCGAATAGCAATCACTACTCAACACGTCATATTTTTGCAAATAATTTTGCAATAATAACATTATTGATAAATATAATATTTATTTATAAATGTTACTGTATCAACAAATGTGGTATCTATACTATCATCTAATCAATCGACATAATGATGTGTAATTTGTACATGTTTTAGATAATCTACATTGCAACTAATGATTAATACATGTATTTTTTATTATTTTCATTTTATAGAAATTATTTATGTAAATACCACGTTTGTTGGAATCAAGATAAAATATTAACATAATTTTTTTACTTAAAGTCCTCATTTTCTTAAAGATGCTACACAGCAATGATTTTTAGTAGTTCCACAATGTATAGATTTTTCATCATTGATAAATTGCATTCACATAAAATATTTCTTAAATAGCTATTGTTAGTAACTAACAAATTAAACATTTTCTAGTGCATAGAAATTCATATTCTCAGTATTACATCATTTATCTAATTAATTTATTTACAAATAATATTAACCCATTTTAAAAGTTTTCTTAAGAATTGATTACCAAAAAATTTACGTTTTAAATATTAAATATTTAAAATAACAAATATTATTAAATACTTTCAAGTATTCGTATTACTTAGATTTCTATAGTGCTAGAATTATAAACTAATAAAAATAACTAATAATATTTACATTACATGTATTGCCCTTCTATATTACAGTAATAAGTATTAAGGTTTAAAAATAAAAAATCTTCAACACATTAATTTCAGCAATAATAAATTAGCGTATTGACGTATATAATTGAGTTATTAAAAACTGCCTATTATCTTTAAAGCTGATCTAACATCATAAATAAGAACGTTTTAACTAAATATAGTTATATTGTACTCATTTTTATTAAATTCAATATAGTTAAAAATTATGTTAATATTTGTATCCTTAAAAATAATAGTACTAAAGATTATAACATACCTTTTAGTAAGTTATAAATCAATTAATTAAATAAAGAAAACAATACAATTTGAATACATTATAAAAAATATTGGTTTTATCTATCGTAAAATACAGTATTGTAAATCAACTGATATATTTACATCGATTCTAGTGTTTAGCAAATATTAATATATTATCTATACATTAAATTATAAATTATCGTTCAATCTTAACACTGCGTTGTTAATATATTTTATTATTTTAGATTTTACATTACTTTTATTTCAAAACAAAAAAATGTTAATATATTATCTGCCGCGTAATATAGTTTCTAATATATTAATTTTGAATTATAACAAAATTTCGACAAAAATTTTCGAACGAGCTTTACTTTACAAAATATTATTTAATTTAAGTCAAATAATCTTTTAATATAATGAAATGAATTAAAAATATAACGAATAAAAAAATAATAATTTTAGTATAATAAATATAATTTAAAAATTTATAGTAGAAAATATTCATTTCTAAATATAAAAATGTTAAAAATAATATTTTAATCAATATCGAATAATATATGATATCCATTAAATAAGCATTAAACTTATTTAATATCTACAAATTCCAATTGTGTTTTATTATTATTATTATTTAATAATTATTATTTAAAAACTAAAATTCATTATTTATATATAATATTTACAGAAAAAGGTTTTTAAAATTAATTTTATTCCAAATGTATATACTGTACGTGAATGTATTATAAATAACTATAGTTATAATTATTACGTACATTGTACAAACAAATAGTTTAACATTATATATATTATATATAATATCTAACTTTTATTAATCTGAAGGCATAGCCGTTTTATTCAGTCAATACTGTCACTAAAAGATATTTCTTCATTACGATTTTATAAACCTAATAAATCAATCAAGATCATATTTATTTTATCATTTAGCCACATGAAAATTTGATGTTTATTTTATATAAAAAATATAATATTTAGATGCAAATATTTTATATATCTAATTAATAAACTGGTAGATTTTCAAGGAATTTGGAGGAATGAATAATTAATTTATTCCACAGCTTTTGAAATTTATTTAATATTTCTTTGCAAATGTTAAAAATATTTTTACTGTAAGCTTATTTTCAACTTGGTTAAACTTCTTAAGAATAACTATGCACGGTACCCTTAATCTAACTTAAATGTAATTATTGATTTTTTAAAAAGGCCGTCAATTAAGTATATATATAATAGCTAATGTTACATAAATAATTATATTTCGTCCATAACATAGCATTTAAATGAATGTCAGTACTTCGGTCAAATAATAAAATAATTAATTTCCATATTCAAAATCATTGAGAAATTAATTCCATAATCAACTGTGTATTTACATAAATTACCTTCAAAAACTAAATGTATTACTAGGAATGTCATAAACTTCATATTAATAACCATATAATCGATCAAATGATATTATCACTAGTAACACTACTTCTTTTAATAGTCAATACCAAACTATCGTGTAATTTTCATTCCAGTGAGATTTGAACTACTAATATTAAACTGTCTACACATGCATAATTCCTTTTGGAAATAGAAAATCTATTATGAATAAATTCCAAACATTCGCAAATTCTTTCCTGTGCAATGTTAACATTGATATGATAGTGCTTTACCAAAGAGGATATTTAATTAGATAATGTAAAATACTTTCATACTTGCTTAAAATTATTTAAAAATATCTTTAGTATTGTAATCAATTGAATTTAATTTGTATATTATTGATTTAAAATATTTAATAAGATATGTTTTTCTTTTTAAACAATTATTTATATTAATAATAAAAAAGAAAAATATTTATATTAATAATTTGAATCAATGGAATTGAATTACTGAATATAAGAAAAAAATATGGTGTATACATTGTATATTAATTTTTATTCTTTTTAATATTTACTATATCGTTTAATTTTAAAAAATTAAAATCTACAAAATGCTTAGACCAATTATTTGTAGTATTGAACAAATTTATCAAATAATCATTTAAATGAAAATATGGCATGAATAAATAAAACAAATTTATTTGAAAATAAAATAAATTGCTATGTTTAGTATCTATAAGTAAAATTTGTACATAATTACTAGTAGAAAACGTCTGTACTTTTTATTAAATATTGTATAAAGTCTTGCATCATTTAAAACGACAATTCCATTTACTATTCTTTGTATTTTATTTTGCTGCTGAAGTAATCCTGTACAAGTTTTATTAGCTTTGAGTTGAAACATTATTTTTACTTTTATAATAAAAGAAAATTGTAAAAATTAAATGTGCCATTCAAAAAAACTTAGAAATGAATATCAAATAATAGTAGGCAGTTTTTTACATTATATATATATATATATATATATAATTAAATTCATTTTATATTTCATGATATATATTTTAATTATTTTTAAACATTACTAAAATAAGTTCAAATTTTCATAGAAATACATATTTTTAATGTGTATTTAAAATTAATTTAGAATTTTTATTAAATTATTTTTGCATTTAATTATAGAAGGGATAAACAAATAATAAAGTTTTATGTATAAATGTAATTTACTAAACGAAATTATTGTACGCTAAAAAATAAATATTTTAAAAATGTTAATGTAAAATATGAACACATTATACCTTTATTTATTTAAAGTTAATGAATACTATAAAGTTTTGTAATAGGGCAGGCCCCTTAATGCCTTTTTTCTCTATACGCTGTTAATACTTTAGTTTAACCGATTACAGAAAATTAATAAATCATATAATTAATCAACAATTTTTAAATAATTATAAGATTATTAATCTTTTGTTAATAGCGATTACTTGTCTTTGTTGTAAAATAAAGTAATACTGTGGATAAAAAAACTTTGCTTGCTTCCTGCTCGAGTTCTTTATAAAGTACGTTTCATAAGTTTATTACTTCTGCTTTATATTTGTAGTATTATTAGTTTTTTATAATTAATTCATTTAATAATAAATCTGTATAAAACTTTAGAATTGTTCCAATCTTCATTTTGTTTGTATGTATGAATTAAAAATTTTTTTTTAATATATGTTGTGATCGTGTATCTTTAAACAAACATATACTTTTCTAAATAATTTTATTTTTATAAAATTATATAATTGGTATTATTATAAAGTTAATTTGCTTGCGCTTAAATGTAATTAAGTGAGGCACTCATATTTGTATCAAAAATAGAAGTTGCTTTGGCTAATACAAGATTCTTTGGATGAAAACCTGTCTGATTTCATAATGGTACGTATATCTCTTTTTTATTTCTAAGAATATCAGCAGCTGATGATCAGTAGCTATATTAATAAATTATTACGAAATAATATTATGTAAATAGTATGTACAATATACAATATAAGCATTTAATTAATTTTTGCATGAAAAATATAAAAAAAATATTAAACTTAAAAGTAATTGAAAATATATATAAACAATATGATGATTTAATAACAATTTTTTTGAATTTTATTGAAAAACTATAAATTGTTGTTCATTATTAATATTAATAATGGACATTTTTAATGTTCTTTTATTGATTACTATATAAATATTAAATTCATTTAAGAGATACAAAACATTTTATGAATTTTTAAACAGTGAATTTTAAATGGTATCTTGAACACATGATTTTTTAATTAAAACATGTTTTTTTAATAACATTGTTGCTTGATTTGATATTGATGACTTATAAAATAAACTGTATCAAATATATTTACCATATTTAACGAAGAACAAAATACAAAATTTGTAAAAAAAATATATATATAACTTTGTAATATAATTTTATATAGTTATTGTTTTTCTAAAAATTAAAAAAGTTATAAATTCAAAATTTCAATTAAAGTATATATTAATATTAAATTTAATTTAAAAAATAATAACATAATTTGTTCAAATATTAGTAATTTTATCATTGTATAATATTTGAGTGTGTATTTAATTTAACAAATTTATTTTTATTTAAAACAGTTTGGAATTAATCAAATTGGTACTGCCCTTCGTGTTATGAGTCCAGCAGAAAGTAGCAGTACCATAGTGTAACGACAGCCCAACTTTTCAACTGTCGAATATCAAGAATCCAGTATGACATTGTAGAAAATTGTCATGAAACGTTCTTCGTACAATTAAAAGGAAATCATCACTTATCTGTATAAATATCAAACAAGAGTGATCATTTCAATCCACTTCACTAGACATATAATGAAATAGATGGTGACAACGAGTTATTTGATTTATTCAAAATGGCCCTATCGAGACTGACAAAACTTAACAAAGCAACGTTACGATTTCTTCTAAATGCTTGTATAACGAGCCATCAAATAATATTTCTGGAGTTAATGTAAGAATGAATGCAAATGACGAAATTTTCATTAAAACTATTTCAAAGAAAATCTAAAATGTTTCTATATTGTTCTTTAAATGCATTATTTCATTTTAATAAACATGCCGAATGTTTATACTTAATAAAATGTATTTGTATTAAAAGATCATTAAAATACAATTGGTTGATTCCTATACTTTACCTTTTAAATTTCCCGCTGAATTCAATAATTGGATTTCTTAAATTTTTAACTTAATTTCACATTTATTTGTAATTTTAATTTTTAATGAAATTAAAATTAATATTGTAAAATATCTTTTAATAAATATGTATAAATCTATAAATTTGTTAGAGTATAATCACTTAGAATAGATATACTTTTTTATCGACAAGATCAAACCGTGAACTATTTGTGCGTGATAACCTTTGCGTTAGGGTATATAAGTCATATCAACTATAATAACTTGACAATTTAATAAATACATTACAGTTGATCCTATCTAAATCATTAATTGTTATCTAAACCATTTTGAAATAAAACGATCAACATTTTAGAAATTCACATTAACCGTGACTTATATAAATTATATTTTTATTTATTCATATTCTTTATATGTATTATATATTTAAGAGAATAAACTTTTTTTAAAAAGATTTGTAAAAATAATTCAAATTATTTTTCAAATAATTGGATTATCAGTAAAATATTATAATTTCAATCAATAATTGATTATATATTATTGCATCCACAAAAACTAGAAATTAAAAAATTATTTTGTTTATAACAAAGTTAATTATTCAAAGTATCTTGATTCAGTTTATTATAACATTTAAAATTATATAAATAATGACCATAATAAAAATGTAGTACATTTTAATTAGGTTTTAAGAAAAATTACATTACTATTAATGTAATAAGGATTCATATTTATTGTAGTTCTAAAGATTAATATTTGGAGAACTGCAAACTTTTGCAACAAATTGAAAACCATTTACTTTTACGAAATAGATACTTCTGCAAAAGTTATAGTTCATAAATTCCATTTTTATTTATTATATTTAAAAAAGTTATTCAAATAGACTTCAATTAAAATGTATTTAAAACTAAAAAATATTATTTTATTAAAAAACTATTTATACATATATTTTAATTCTCTAACTTTTGTGTATCTAAATACGTGTTCAAAAACTTAATTTATAAATGAATATAAGTATTTCGTTACTAAATAAAATTTTAAACTTTGCTATATATTTCATTACTTTAAAATAGATCATTATATTACATTAATTATAGACTCTAATGGATATTTGATCATTTAGAACATTTCCTCTTCCGAATCTTCCTGTATTATACTGATTTCATGTTTACGCACATCTTCAAGATTTTCTTCTTCAAATTTTAATTCCACTTCACATTCACTTTCGTCAAATAGTAAATCTGGTGTTTCTTCGTCTTCTCCAAGATTAGGCGTTAACTGCATACTCCTCTTCGATATTATTGATTTAATATCTACATTTATAGACTGGATTATATTTTCATTATCAATATCTATATTATTCAAAGTATTCTTAAATTTTTGCCGTTTTTCATTAAGTTTTTTAAAATCTTCATTAAGTAATCTTTTTTTTATTGATTTTTCTATTAACTTCGAATGACTAGTAAAATCACTTAATGCATTGGATTCATTATCACTTTCATCAGTTTTTACATCATAAATGCAGTTTTTTTTTTTCAATTGATCTAATTTACTTTTTAATTCTCCAATTTTCGCTTTTTTTGTATTAATTAATAGGATAAATTTTTTATACAATTTCTTTTCAAATTCATTTTTTAAAAGAATCATTTTATTCAATTTACTTGTTAATTTTGAATTATTGTTTTTTAAATATTCATTATTTTTATGCAATTGAATTATACAATTCTTTAATTTTGAGTACTGGTCTATTAAAAGCACAGTAAAATCTTTCATACATTCAAATTCATTAACTAATTTAATATTTATTTGTCCAAGATACCACCTTTTCTTTTTCCAATAAAATTTTTGATCTTCTAAAAAATATTGAACTTCATCATTTTTTCCAGATAAAATATCTTCGGTATCTTTTAAATATTCTTCCAATGTCTTCTCGAATGCTCTTGCATATTTATTAAATTCTAATAAAAAAATCTAAAATGCAAAAACTATTATAGTTTATTTTAATTTTAATTATACAAAATTAGGTATTTTAATATAAAAATAAAAAAATTAGTTTTTAAAAAATGAGGCAAATCCAAATATATTTGAAATTTTTATTATTATTTTATAAACATTAAATGAAAATCTTACCTCACCCACTAAAACTGCATTATCAGCTCTTACAATTATTATTTTAATTTGTAAATCACTCCACTGAGTACCAACATAAAATTCTTCATTTCCTGTTTCATTTAAATGATTTAATAATTTGCATGCTGTGATGATAGACATGTTATGAATATATATTATATCTTAACATAGAATATATTTTAAAAAATGTTATATTAATCTGTATGAGTTCCTATATGTATTATACATAATTAATCTAAAGTTTTCTTTAATTCTATTACACATTTAAATTACATATTTATCTGTTACGTATTATTTCTATTACAATACTTCAATTTATAATTTAACCTAATTGAATAAACTATCACACTTAACCTATTAAACGAATTTTTAAAATAAATTAGGTATATAATACATTTTATGAAATTTAATTTTTTCAAATTTTTCTAATAAAAAATTTTAATGGTAATTTTTAATATAATTTTTCTAATGTCTTTAAAATTTATTTTAAAAATTGTTCTCATAAAATTTAATATGCTCGGTCAAAAAGCAGCAATAGTAATCAAAAGGTTATAATATTTAATACAAATTGAAAATATTAATATCTCAGCATGCATCAGATAAGAGACAAACATCCTCAATGCAAAGTCATACAAAACATGAAAATATAATATATTCTATCGTTGTCGATTTTATATTTGTTAATTAAAAACATTAATTATATAATATATATTTAATTATCCTTTTGAATATCACGATTCTTAAGTCGTATTTTCTAAATAAAAAATAAAAAAACATTTAATAATAAATTTGGAAAATTAATAAATCTATAAAATTATACAATTTCGTTAATATACAGTAATAAATTAATTAATTTAATTTGCTAAGATTGAAAATAAAATTATGTTTCTATTTTATATTACTAATTAAATTAAAATTAAATCTTAAAGTTATATATATTTAATTACAATTCAATCTATTAAAGCGACGTATAAACTAATTAAATTTAAAATAAATTTATTATACTGAATATTCAATAATATTATTTTATAATATTGTTATGATCTGTTATAAGATGCATACAAATTATATATGATTAAAGTTTGAAATTAACGATATAGTCCAGTGGTTCGTATTTTTATGTTTCAATACTCATAACTTTACAAACAAGATTTACTAAAGATTCTTCTTTAAATTTTTGGTATTTATATAAATTCCTTTTTAAAAGATCACAATTATGATTTCAAACGTACCACTATAATGTTTTCATTTTATAAATATAGACAGATTTATTTAATCTAGCAATAAATATTATGAAAGTATTCTAAATTTTTATACAAATTTATCATTTACATTAAATTTAGAATGTATGTAAATAATATATATTTATTATTAAAAGTTAAATGATTTTTTATAATATTCGGTAATATAATTTTTTTTTAATCTTTCTTAATTATTGTATTAATATCTCCAATTCAACTTATATCATTCAACATCATTAATAATAAAATTATAATATATATTATATAATTAAATAAAATAATATATAATATAACATACATATATGATATACATTATGATACATAAACTTTACACATAAGAAATCGACACATAAATACAGAAAAATTCATATTACAAATATATGTAAATATAATGCTGGAGTTTTAATATTAAAATTTTTATTCATTAAATATGTATGATTTATATGATATGAATATATTGATTTGAATATATATATAAATACTTATTTTTAATTAAGTAGTATTAAATAAAATTAATCGATTTGTAGGAAAAATAAATAAGATGAAAATGTAAAAAATTTTAAATTATAAAAGTAAAAAAGATGTTATTAAAATTATATATAAACTATATCTATTTTATCATTAATGTTTTGATAGTAAATATATTGTGTTTATCATTAATATAATTACCAAAATATCATCTATATAAAAGTAATAAAAAATAGAAATAATCATTCGATAAAGCAAACTATGTGTTTTGTAAAAAACAATTTTTACAAAATAAAATAAAATGTTAAAATTACATTTTCAATACCAAAATACTTTAAAGTATTCTAAAGTATGATACAAAAATGTATGACATACGGTATTTCCATACATATAATAATTTTTCAGATATTTTTATATTTTAAACAATTCACTACTTAAAAAACATTTATCTACATGTATTGAAAATATATGAGAATGGCGAAAGTTCTAGCCCCAATTAGATATTTATGTATTTAAACAATTTGTGAAATATGGAAAGGTAATATGATTTTTTTTAACTTGCGTCAATGTGAAATATTTAGAAAGTTTGACATATATTAATTAATGTATTCGATTATTTGGCAACAAATATTATTATATGTGGTTTAATTAAAAAAAATAGAAATACATTGCAATTATTTATTAATGAATTTTATTTTATGTATTATCATTCTAAAATAATAATAAAATAAACTAAAGATGAATATTTCATGAAAACATCATTAAAAAAATCTATTTAAATAAAAAAATTTTTTGATAAACGATATTATTTTTAAATATTTTTAAATATTGAATTTTCATGAATTTAAAGATGATTTTATTAAATGAAGCTAGAATTAAATAAATTATTTATGTGTAATTAGTATTGATGAATGAAAATATCACTACTACACTTGAATAAACAGATTAATTCAATCATTAGACCTCAAATATATTAATTTTTGCTGCTTCTTATAGTACTACTATAAATATTACATGTACCTATGTATAGAAACTTATTTTGTTACTAATATAAACTTAATATAATATTATAGATTCAAGATTGACAAAACTTCAACCGGTTAACAAAATCTTGGTGTTCCAAATATTTATTATTCAATAGTCTCTTATCTCTTATTATTTTAATAAATAATTGGGAGACAGCAAAACCAGTATACCTATAGCCACTTACCAGTTTATCTATAATTAATATATTGGCATTTAATCCGATTATTCTTCTATTACGGAATTTAGTCATTACTATATCAAGAAATTTGAGTCTGCTTAACTAATTTCTACAATTACATAATGTGATGTTGAGACTGTAGAATTAAAATTAAGATTAAAATAAAAACAATTTCGTTTTGACTCTATTGATTCTTATGATTTTTATTTAATTTAATTAAAATTGTTCTTTCTTTTTCCCTAGTTCAATTCATAGTATCAGCACATCCATTTTCGTTGATGACCTTTATTGATTAATTACCAAATTATAAATACTCTTTACATTTTATAGATTATTAATTATCATAGATTATAAAATTTATAGAGCATATGAATTTGAAGCAATTTTTATTAACCACACTGTGATTAAAATATTTATCATTTTAGTACAATTAACGTATTTTAATAAGATTATTCTAAAGCAAGTTAATTTTATAACTAATTTTTATATAGCGAATTAACAAAGCAGATTTTTAGTCTATATAGGATATCTGAACATTGGAATAACGTATTTGAAATAATTTATTTAAAATTTTTTCATTTTCCCTTTGAAATTATGCACCACTACTTATATGAAGATTTTGTTGTTCAAATCATCTTGATTAAAATATTAGTTTTAAGTATTTATTATTGACCACAATTTACTAAAACAAAGATATAGTGAACTTCAGCAATTCGTTTGCAAGTATATAATAATAACAATTTTTAATAATTTCATGATTTTTATAAATTTTTATAAATAGATCAACTGTAAAAGTGTAAATTGAAATAAATGGGACTTCTATTTGCTGATAAATCGTCATAAAATATTCACTAACCAAAAAGTCTTTGATTATTTAAACATATCGTTTTAAATTCGCTTTAAAGTATATACTTGTTGCTTCTAAATTAATATTTAAAATTTTCAAAAACTTTTTTAAAAATGTTCCAACTCAGGATACAAAAACAAAGAAAATTAAAAATAATTAAATAATTTAAAGTATGAAATAAACTATAATGAAAAAAGTACTAAGCCCTAATTATTTATAAACACAAAATGTGTGTAGAAATTTCAATTATTTTCAAAATCGAGTGAAAATCAAAATAAAATACAAAATAATAAAATCTTATAATTACTTATAAAAACTTAATCTATATTTATATCTTAAGCAGATGTTATAATAATAATACACTGAACAAATTCAAAATCATAAATTCAATTAGTAAAACAGGTTTAATTATCATTTTTATAATATTTAATAAAATAAAATATATTTTTTATTCGTGAACACATTCTTATTTCAAAAACTAAAATAATTATACATTTATTGAATAGCCAAATTTTTTAGTAGAATTTAATTTTGAGTCAAAAATACTTATATATATTTTATATTGTATGAGTTTTAATTAGGCTTTTTCATAATATATATATCCTACAGAAACAAGTAATTTGAGACAATAAAATTTTGATTCTCATAATAGACGAAAATAATTTTCATAGATGTTTTCTATTCTTTAATACCGTATTTACTATAATGAAAAACATGATACCTAAATTATATAAGTATCAAATAAATGATATATTTATAATTTTATTAATATTGTCACTAAGCATAAATATATTTACATATACACTTTCCTGCCTTTGAATTTAATTTAATTTTTTAAATTTTACATTTCTGTTATTTAAATACTTTACATTATCTTTTCCAAAATCTTAAATATATGCTCATTGTTATTTTCATTAGACAAATAAAATTTATAAATTTTGTTAGTTTTTTTCTTTTTTTAATGAGTGTAGAATTGAAATATTAAACTTATATTTCATTATATATTCTCATATAAAAATTTAAACATGTGCTTTTATTTTTCTTTTAATATTTTATCTTAAATTTTCTATTAGTTATAATCTGATAATTTCTTAAATTACTTATATTGCTAAATCTTTTAATTATTTAGTTCACTAAAGCTGTTATTGCCGATCTACTTAGTTTTCAATACATTATTTTAAATACATAGTAAGAATATACGCGCACAGGTATTTTACTGGATTTCAAGCCTTAAAATTATTTAAATATATAAATTCATTTATATCATTTGTATTCTGTGGTAATTAATTCTATAGTATTCTGTAGTAATTAAACCTATTTTAATAGATTCTATGTAAACTTATCTATCTAATAACATATGGTCTAACATATCTACTCATTTCTATTATATTGTAGGTTTGTACTCTACGTTTATTAATATGGTGATATATGTTTTTAGGTGGAAATATTTCAATCCAAATTAATCAATTCATGGTCACTAAAAATTATATATTGAATATTAGACTAAAATAATTCCTGTAAACTTTTACAAAAATAAAACTGAACTCCTACTTTAAATAATTTATTGTTATGTAAAATCAAACTAAATATATTGCTTATTGTGAAATAAAATTTTTAAAATATAACTAAACAATAAAAATTAAAATTTATTACATTTATTTTTACAAAGTATAAATATTATATTCAATATTTTTATATTTTGTATTAAATATTAAAACTAAGATATAAAAAGTAACATCATATAAAAAATAAGTATAAGATGGAAATCAATAAAGCGTTGTATGGCTTGCTAAGAAAATAATTAGTACTGCTTTGCCTATAAATAGAACTGAAAATAAAGAGAGAAATATAAGAACTGTGATATAATTACTTTCAATCATTACTATCACTTTTTTAAAAAAGTATTTATAATTAAAATTATTTATTTTACAGATAATAAAATTCGTCGTATTTAAATATAAAGTAATTGTTATACTCACAAAATATTTTCTTTCAAATATATATTTTATTTTGAATTTGTCGTTGCGCGAATGAATGTGCGCGCACGTATGCCTGCGTGTGGAAATAAAACGTATTTAATTTTTCTAAATAATATATATAATACAATATAAATTATTTACATTCATTAATTTTGTTTTAAATTGTCATTGTATCGGTCTAATTATATATTTTTTAATATTTTATTCTAATTCTTATATGTTCTATACATACAATTGGTATAAGTTTTTAAAATGATTAATTTTATTTATGAAGTAGTTTATTTAATATCTTAATAAAAAGTTGTTTGTTTGATATCTTAAAACACGTTTTTCAAGAACAATTGTGTGCGAACATGCATTTATTAATTTAACCACATAAAGAAAAATAGTATACAATTTATTTTTATTTTGTTTAAACCTGTCGTAAAATTTTATTTTAAGTAATTAAATGAATTTTTTTAAATTAACTTATATTAATATTTTATAAGCAATCTTTCATTTTATATAAATGGATTAAACGATCCGTATGCATATATATATATATATACACACGTTGTTATAGATATGCAAGCTACAGCGTATAGATGTGTAATTTGACAGTCTTATATCCTTCAAATTTTTTAGTGTAATAGCTCTTACGTAATGATTGCAAAACAATTTAATTAAGTAGCTAATATAAGTAGAATATACTTTTAAATAAATATTGTTTTAATTACCCAATTCTCTTTAACTAGATTTAATCTATTTATTGACTTTTATAATGGTAAATTATTTTTATTTTATATATTCAGATAATTATATTTTATTTTATTATATATTAATAAATAAAATATTTAGTCTCAAGAAGTTGAAGAAACTATGAAACGAATTCAATCACATAAAGGTGTTGTAGGAACCATAATTGTTAATACAGAAGGTATGTAAAAAAATTGTATTCAATGTTCATAATTGATTATAATCAATATTTTCAATCAGTGTATATTAAATAGTTATACAGTTATCGATTTAATAATGAAAAAATGACTACATCAATTATATACAATATAAAATCTTACATACCCATTTAAAACAATTGTATAAAAAGCATTACTTATAAACTACCATCTGAAATGTTTTTCTTTAAAAATTATATAATTTTTTATTTGAAATACTACAAATAATAAAAATAATTAGTATTTCATGACCATTATAAACTATTTCATAATTACTTTTGTATTAATATATCTTTTATAAATAATTAGGCTTAAATTAAATTTAATTGAAAAATAAATCTGTATAAAAAATTTTTTTTATTGAGTAACAGTTATTTAAATTTGTTTTGCAACAATGCTCATACCAGGTATATTTTGTGTTTAACAGCACACATAATTATGAATAAAAATTATTATCGAAATATAATTTATAATTAAAAATTTATATTTATATTCAGTATATAAATATGTTTAAGACAAATTTTTAATTTGTATTATAAATTTACATATAAATTTTGTTAATCAATTCATTTATTTTTTATTATTTATAAAAATTAAATTAAATTCTTAAAAATATTTATATTCTATTTCAACATATTGAATTTAAAAAATATTTTTTAAAACTTTTAAATTCATGAAAATTTATAGATTTTTGGCTTATACCAAATAATATTAATATAAAATATAAATGAATGAATTATTACATAAAAATAGAAGACTTAACACTCTTTATACATAAAAATAATAAATATGAAAATGTCAAACTCAATATTTATTTAGCTTCTTCAAAATATTATTTCTGTTATATAATATTTATTTTATTATTAGAAAGGTACTTACTAAAACTATTTAATATAATTTGTCTAAAGTTTAAGTTAAAACAACTATTTTAATGACTAATCTATACTTAAATCTTTATAATTGTATATGCCATTTTAAACTTTACACTTTACACTTTGAATTATATAATATATTATCAAATATAAAATGTATTTATTCATTAAAATGATCTTTTTTAATTATTATTTTAATTATATATGTGTAAAAAATTTGTATGATTATATAAAGTCAGTGATTGAAAGAAAAAATTAAGAATGATATAAATAAATATGATTAAATAGATATGAATGAAGAGGAACTTAATAAAAAACAGGTAGAATCAGAAATAAAATATTGAAAAGAATTGTAATAATACTTAAATATCAGAGAAATTTTTGAAAGTGAGAAATAATGACAGTTGAATTTTATGTGACTTAGGAACTTCTTTCTATGCAAACTTAAGATGTTTCTCGAAGTAGAAACTGCATAAGTAAGATAGTATACTGTATAATATTTATATTTATTTATTTACTGCATGCAGAGAAAAAATATTAAATGTATCCACTTTAAAAGGCATGCATCAAAGCAGGTACCTAACCATTTAATGGAATAAAAAAAAGTGCATATCATAAACTAAGGATTGAATGTAGCCACCAATTTAATAACGTATGACAAGGCATGCAAAATTGAAATTCGAGAGCTATAGATACATAAAGATGAATAAATTTAGATTAAACATTTGTTTAAATATAAATTTATATTATATTCAATAATATACTGCTTCAAATGAATGTTAATTATTGAATGTTATGGCAATTACTATTTTCCTTTGTTTGGATTATTATTATCACTACAATTATTACAGTTGTTACTATAGCTAGTAGTAGAAAAAGTACTCTTCAATGAACTAACAAAAGTAGTGTAAGGGATGAAAATCTGAATTATAATGTAGATATTCTTATTTTTTATTATTTTCATATTTTCATGTTAGACTATTTTTGTATTTCAGTATATGTAAATAGGTGTATTATGTAGAATAATATAAAAATTTACAATGAAAAAACTACGTATTCTAATGTTTAAAAATTATATATTATACTAACTATTCTTTTTAAAAATAAAATATACACATATTTGTACTATAGATAGACTTGCTTCAAAAAACCTTTTTCTCTATCAGGTTTCTAGTATCCATCCTACCTTTTACTACCAAAAGCACATTATGGATTTTATTTATGCATTTGTGTTTAGATTTATCAACATGCTAAAAAACTTGATATTTTTTAAATTTCATATTATAGTTAGAATGGGCAATGTAGCTCTACGTATAAATAATTCTTATATAAAAAAACTGACAACATATTCGATCGCAACGCAACATAATTAGCAAACAAAGCTTATAAAAGATTTAAAATAAAATAAAAAATGAATACATTCGGCCTGTGCATCACTGTATTAACATGAAATTTAAATATGGTAAATGATTCCTATGATTAAAACCAATTATATTTATAAAATATTGGTTTTATTTACTTACAATTATAAATGCGTAATTATTTTATAAGATAAATAGACTTGATTAGTTTTTTCAATAGTGTACCTCAATTTTTACAGATAATTTTCGAACATGAGCTACGGACCTTCTATACGGTATTGGTAAGTATGGCGTGCGAATGCCTTCGATACGGCATTTCAATAAAAGGTACATTGATTGTTGAATTTGAATAAATTTTTTAATTGAATAAAAATTAAATAAAATTGCTTGATGACTATCTTCAAGGTTTTGGCATCTCTCAAGTGTACTACGAGTGCTGTATTTCGATCGTATAGAAAAGTAGATGAATATTTATTTAACAATAGATATTTTTTAAAACAAATAAAATCAATATTTTTATTTGTAAATCGCGCTTTAGCAATATCTGTAAAGCCTAGCTCCAGCTCATAGGATACATATTTCTATAAAGATTAGAATCATTTTTACTTGACTTCTTTCTATCGTTATCTACCAAATAATTATATCCACATATAAAAATTCAAATTAATTAAATTTGTATTTATATAAAAAATGTTTTAATTATCAAATCTCTTAAAAATCTCTGAATACTGTAAACAAAGAAGATGAGTTTGTATGAATTTGCATTCCATCTGTTTATTAAGTAAAATCCAATATCTTTAGAGTTGCTTAAATTATCATTTTTTATTAAATGGTGTAATAGAATCTAGAACTACCTATTCAACTCTAATGTAGCAAGTAATTTTTTTCTCGTATTTATTCACTTTCATATAACATTATATAGATGTCATTGTTTTAATTCTAGTAATTTGTTATTTGTTTGTTTTATACTACTACATCGATAAAGTTTAACACATTTTGGACATAAATTTTTTATAAGTAGAATAATTATAATAATAAAAATATTAAAATTAATTATTAATAATATATTAATAATAAAACTTTCAAATTCATTGATTATTGTTCAAATTAATTAGTTTTTATGCTTATTAATATTACTACTCTTATGACCAATATATTATAGAAGATAATTCGTGCTTTTCTTCATTTTATTACACTTAATCAATATGAATGTATATTAGTTCGTGATATCCTCAAACACATTGTCTATTTTTTAATCAATAGAGACGTAAATTTTCTATTTTTAATACTTAATATTCCTATCTTTGTACACAAGATGCAGGTACTAATCACAAAAATTAATATAACAATAGCAAAATATGAAATTTTCAGGTTTGTGAGCGAGCGTGTATGCGTGCGTACATGTATGGGGATAGAATGATTGATTCCTACTACATTTTGTTTATCTTTCCCCCCTTTAATTATATTATTATAAATTTATTGTCAACATGCATCATAATCAGTTATTTTTATTCTTGTATAAAATTATAAAACATTTGAATGTTTTATTTTACAGGCATTCCAATTAAATCAACTATGGATAATACAACTACAGTACAATACTCTGGATTAATTAGTCAATTATCTGATAAAGCACGATCTGTTATAAGAGATTTAGATCCAACAAATGACTTAACTTTTCTCCGTATTCGAAGCAAAAAACATGAAATAATGGTAGCACCAGATAAAGAGTTTATTTTAATTGTTGTGCAAAATCCTATTGATTAAAGTGTTCAATAAATATTTAACAATGTGTAATAATATTACATTCTTATTAATTTACATATATATATATATATCAGAAATAATTTTAACACTATTAGGAAATGATCAAGGCAAAAAAATCATTTCTAAAATCTAAATTTTATTGTCTTATATATAACATAAGAGTCCATACATTACATAATATTTATAAAAAAACACTAATGAAAAAATATTTTTTAACTGAAAATATTTTTATTTACAGTTTTTCATCTTAATAAAATGAAAATAAGTACTAGTTTCATGTATGTATAATTTTTTTATACGTTTATTGCTTAAACCATATTATATTAGAGAAGTAGGAACGATTCTTAAATAGTTATTGAGAATTTTTATTTTAATTTAAATATAATAAATATATGAATATAAATATAATTTTTTATAATTTATATAATATAAACTATATATTATAAATCTTTTATTACCCTCTGTGTAAACTGATCTGTAATATCTATTATTACAGCTTACCAACTTTTAAGATTAGAAATCGTTAAATATTAATACGTGATTCTATATGAATGAAGTACATTTTATAAGGTAGTAAAAATACAGTAAATTAAAATGATTATCGAAGTATCTTATTAATTTCACTTTTATAATATAATTTTATTTATCATTGTATAAAACAATATATTATAATATAAGTATATGTCTTACATATATAAAAATCAAACTATTATATTAAAGTGATGAAACTTAAAAATAAAATACATAATTTCTGTGTTAATTGTAGAAGCTCATGTAGTTACACAGAGAAAAATAGTTAGTATACTAAAATATTGATTTAAAAAGCTACGTAAAGTAAGTTTTTGTATGTGAAGAAATTTCAAAAGTAACTACTAAAATAACATAGATTTTAGTAGATTACTGCTACTAAACATTTGCTTAATTTTAACCTTAAAATTTGTTAGCGAGATGTAGCATAACTTATACTCAATGTTTATCCATCAATTAAAGTTAATTGTAGTGTGTGTGTTTGTAAAATAGATTTATTTCAATGAAGTTAATATTCGTCACTTACAATAGAACTTTTTAAGAGTCACTATCATCATCTTTCTCCAATTCATTTCGATCTCAGTCATATATATTTATATAAAATATATCTTTACAATAATAACAAATGCATATAAATTTCTATAGAATAAGTAACGAGCATAATAAATGCAAGTAATGAAATTTTTAATGTTGTTTTTTAATACATCATTCAGATTCTATAAAACCTAATCCACCTATTAAGTAATAAAAAAATCATTAATTTCAAGCCATATACTTATTCAATCTTATTTTGATGCAGATTCCTTTTCATACAAGTATTTAAAAGATTTAAAAATAAGAACATAATAGTTTAAAAAATAGGAACTACTATAGTACTAACTTACATTTATGTTTTGTTTATAAATAGGTAATTTTACAATTTGGTTCACAAGTTGTTTTTTAACAGTAAATAATTAGTTATAATAAATAATAAATTAGGTTTATTAGTGGAAATTAATATTTTAGAAATATATAATTGCTTGACGTTGATAACAAAAAAGGAAATCTTAAATGAAAATGATTATTGCAAAATTATTAATAAATTTAGTTTATCCATTTTTTACTAATCTTGATTAAAAATGAAACACAAATATTTAATAATGAAATCTATATAAAAAAATTAATAGGGTCAATAGTATAATTAAATGATTTAATTTTTTATCTATTCTACCTTGTTAGATAGCATTAGTTTTTTTATATCACAATTATTACTTCAACAAAAAAAAATTAGTTATATCTTCAATATCTGAACTTATTAAATATTGTTGAACATTTGGAATTACCTATGAAAAATAATACATTTGAATAGGCTTCTGATAAATACATTATAATCAATATTCGACAAACTGAAATTGAAATGAATTAAAACAGGAAAAGTTCTAGTAATTAAAGAAGTTATACAATTACTTTAATAATTAATCATTCCATATAAATATATGTCTATCAAAATATAAATAGACGAAATATTGTTAAGGAAAAAAATTACAGAAATTTATAGTCAAAACAATATTTGATATTGACAAAAAAGTTATAACAATAAATATGGTTATAGTATTAATAAAATTATTAAAATTATTCCAAAAATAATAAATCCTTTATTTCACAAACAATATTCGCCAGAATTATTTTTATTAAAAAATTATCAAGGTATATATTTATGTTTATAATTTTTTAATAGTTTGAAGATCTTTTCAATTTTCCAATGGATACACTAAAAAGCTTTATATTTTTTATTTTGTCAATAATAACATTTTATGTAAATTATTTATATAGATTTTCTCGCATATATATCATAATGGTTTTTAGTTTAATAAAGATTATTTCCAATAGAACTGCAACTGTTATTTTCAGTTTAGACCCCATGTAAGTTAATAAAATGAAATGAACACAAATGAAAATAAAATACAAATCTCTTTACTTCTTCTATCAAAAGTATCATATTTTCATATAGTATCTGGTTTACATTAAATAGATTCAAGGCAATTTATTTTATGTTAAAAAATATATGTTGATATATACACTATGTTATAAAATAAAAATCTAAAATTTTTATTTATAAATTTTATTAAAATCTAGAAAACTATTTATAAGTTATTTAAAAAATAGAGTAGCAAAAATGTAATATTAATTATAGCTATTTAATAAAATGTACATGTTATGTGATATTTTAATTTGCGGGTATATACAAAAGTTAAATTTCATGAAAGATTTCATACTTTTGAAAACATTTTTTTTGCGTGTTGTATTAAAACAGTGAATATATTGATAAAAATACTTTCGAAGTTCGTCTATGATTTAATCGATCCATTTATATTTACTTAATAAATTACAAGTTTCCTTTTCAATTAATTGATTTCTTTGTAAATTTCGCTATTCATTTCTTCATTACAAAACATAATTATAGTTATATAAGAAAAATAGTGATATAGCAAATGAAATTTGTCAATGCTATCACTATTCTAAAATAATTGTATTAATCGGTTTTAACTAAATCTAATAAATATTTAAAAATTGAATCTAACTTCATAGATGCAGTGATTTAACTAAATTTATAAACCTTTCCGGAATTTAAAACAATTTTTAAATTAATCGAAAGATTAGTTAAATATAACAAACACACCAATACCACGAAATTACTCCCATTAGAGTACATACCTACTCTACATTTTTTCTAATTAAATTATTTAATAAACCATTATGATCTCTTAATGCTATCAATTTATATATGATACTAAGAATACAATTCTTTAAAATTTATTAATTTTACCTTTTATTACAGGACATTGAGCAAAATTAAACATAACCTTTTATGAACGCGTTAAAAGTAAGAAACTATTTATTAAAATTTTAATAGAAAAAGTATCATATTATCCATATCTTGTTTTTTTATAATTTTTTAGAATAAACTACGCCATTCATATTTGTATTGTGCAGAAGAAAAATCTGTTCAAATTTAATTTCTTTGCAACCAATGGAAACACTACTAAAAACAAATTCTTATTTGACAACAAAATGTGAAGCAAACAAAAAAACTCAATAAAATAGATCCATGTAATTTTTTTTTTTGGTGACATAAATTGAGTTAATAAATTAATATTATCCAATAGAATTGAATATGTTAATTTTGTCAATCTTAAATGTCAATTAATTTTAATTATATATAATTATATATATATATATATATATATATATATATATATAATCATATAAAATGAAGAGTCCATTGAAGAAATTACTATTATTCTGGTAAGAATAGTACAATATATATTTTCATAAATCAATAGGTCACTTACAGATCACGAGACGACATTCGTCAGCAATCGTTTAATTATTTAAAGACATTTGTATTAATACACATTACTATTCTTGTATTATGATTTTAAAGGATTGACGTAAAGGTATATTTTATAAAATGAATGAATTAATAATTGTACAAAATATTAAATATATAAAAATACTTCCTAATTTTTGTATTCAAGAAATCATGGATAATTTACTATATTTTAAGTCATATAAATATTATATAAAAGTATAAAATTGTTAAATTATCTTTACTTAATTATTAACGTATAATTTAATATATCCTTATATTATGTACATATAAATATTGTACCGTATTTAATAAAATATATTCCACTAGTCAAACTTGTAGTTTCTAATATAATTATTACCTTAAAATAGACATTAAATAAAACAACATATTTGTAATTATACAGTTCATAAATCAAGTTATACTTTGTCAGTAGTGTAATTTTAATATAATATTTTGGATTGAATATAATAAATTTATGTGAAAAAACAAACTATATAAATTGTCTTTTGTTGGTTATGTTTTATTACAATAAAATAACTTAGTTAACAAAAAATAACATTTTCGTTTATCAGATATAGGTGACATCTTAAAGTTTTGGTATAAGAAGTTACTTTCTCCTATATGCTTTGTTGTTAAGTTGAATCAGTCGGATGTTATTATTTTTCATTTAACCGAAAACAATTTTTCAGTGCTAACTTGTGCCGTTGCATTTTGATAATTTTGCGCTACACAGCTTTGTGTGAATAAAGGTATTACTTGCCCATCATTTCAATGAAAAAAATTGCATAAATCTTGCACAATTAACTCTAAAATGCTTTGCATTTATGTTGTATGCTTTGACAAATTGAATTATTCGTTACTAGATGTATTATGTATAAACAATTTGTTTAATTTCCAAAACGGCTTCCCTATAACAAAAAATAAAAATAGATTATATATACTGCTTTGTAAACTGTTAAATACTACTAAATTTTTCATGTATTGGTATTTATACTTCAATTTATGTATATTTATCAAAATATTCTTAAAATTTTAAGTCATAATATAAAATAAATACGCACAATAATTGGTAATGAAATTAAATATATACATATATATATATATATATATATATAATACATTATATTATCACATAATAATAATAATATACTATATTACATTACTCATGTTAAAAACATATTAAATTGATTAAAAATGTACCAGTAAATTATATTAGTAAATTATAATTGGAAATTGTTTATCCAATTAACTGAGATTTTACTAAGTGTAATTCTTTTTCTTTGCTATTAATCCCTTTCTTTGTTAATTATTTAGATATTTTATTTAAGTAGTTACTTCATATTCATTTCGCATTACGTGGACGAGCTAATTTGAGTATATTTTACAAAATATATTGAAAATCATTTCATCCACAATTTTAATTGATAAAATTCATTGACCTTCATGAATTTGGGATCCATAGTAGGTTGTTTTATTTATACATAAATTTAGTCTTTAAATATGAGCAACTCAAAATAACTTTAAATAAGGATGAACGCCTCTTTTTAATGCTTCAATTAACTACGTATATAAATTAATAGTATAATTTTTATTTTATTTTTTTTATTTTACGCTATTAATTGTATATAATTATAAAGACGTATTCTGTTTGCAGCCTGCGCATTGGTTTAATATTGATTAATATATACTACAGTTCTACAAACTATAAATTTTTAGAATCATATATGTATTATACACATTATAAATAATCGATATATTAAATTCTTTTATTTTTCAGAATTCTTATAACATAGCGTAATCTGATAAAAATTTTGCCATTTCTTGCATGTAATACGGCCTAATTATTTATATACTGTTAAAAAATTATTTTCATGTAAATTAGTTATTTATTCATGAAATAAAAGCAATAAGTAATAAACAAATAATTAATAAAACAAGTAATGATATATTCATACAATATATAAATAAGTCGTTTTAATGAGTTTCACTTAAAATATCTTTAGTATATACTCTTACCAGTTGTAAATTTTAAAGGGTTTTATTTTTGCCAAAAATATGTTTATATTTATTTCGATTGTTAAGACGTTACGATTTTTTGTATATTTCTGATTGACTTGTTTTATTGTAGCTATAACTACTAAATCCATTCGAATTGTTTGTAAATAAAATAAAGTAATATAGAATTCAAAATATGTAATTTAATGTTATGCGATATACATAATTGATTTTTCGATATTTGCTTCTCAGAGCTGAAACAAATTAACATTTTACCGTATATTTCCCATCTTATTATTATAGTTGTAACGAAACTGCCAATATTTTATCATTTAATTTTAATACTTAATTAACTATTAAAACTATTATTAAGAGTGTAAACGAAATAGTAGTAACGAGTATAATATAACAATAATTATTTTCCAATAAAAAGTAATAGATTCCAATTGATATTCATTAGCATATTGTATATCGAATCTTCAATAACATTCTTTTTACTGCATTTGAAGATTTTCTTTTCGCTAGAGGTTGATTAGTTTGTAACTTATTATTTCACATTAAATATAGATTAAATTTTTTATACAAAATAATTATAAATAAACATTAATTAATTAAAAAACATACATGGGATGTATTTAATTTGGTCTTTTTTACAATTAATTTGTAATGAATTGTATGTACAATTCAAAAATATTAATTTCCTTGAAAATCGCATTTTTGTAGTTAAATATTTATACAAAATGAAACACATTTTTTTATTTATATGTTTAAACTTAATATTTTTAATTATTTATTTTCCTTCCTCTTATATAAAAATGTATAAGAAAATTTGTAAACAATATTGTGTTAAAAAACTACTTTTTATAATATTAAAATAAAAATAATGCCACTAAATGGTTAAGTAATACATGAAATAGCAAAAAATTAAACAAAGTTATATAAAATTTACTTTAAAAATACCAAATAAATGTTCAAAATGCATATTACATAAAAATTGTATAATGAATCTGTAGGTGAAAGAAGCTAGAATAATTTGAAGTCTAAGGAAGATAGTTTAGAGTTTCATTGAATATTAATACAATGGCATTATTTAATAGTTCAATGCTAAGATAATAACAAATCTTTGGTTGGAAAGAAATAATTTAACAATCCAAATAGTATTTAGCAAACAATCTTTTATCGGTCATGTATGCTATATATAAATGCATATATCCAATCGAATTGGATCTGATTTTTCAAATACCGCATAATTTTCTTATACAAATACTTATACTTATATAAGTACTCTATGTAAATAAATTGATAAGCAGAATCACTCTTTTTATACTAAATCAAACTTCATTTATAGATAAAAAATCATTTACTAATGATCAAAGTACTATAAATTTATTTAGTTATACTATAATACAATAACAACTTGATAAGTTATACTTGATTATTAATTAAGGCTAACACGAAGGAGTTCGGCAAAGGTATTTGCATTTTTTAACGTTTTATAAAATCAAGATTATTTTTCTTTAAAATAATAAGTGACTAATTTGATATAAATGTTCACAATTTTTATTTATCAAAAGAAGTTTCTCGAAAAAATAGTCGCTACAAGAAAGTAGGACAACCGTATAAGGCAAATGGATTCTAACGTTCGTTTAAAAAATTTTTTTTTAATAAACTAGATATAAATCATAAGCCTAAATTGGTAAATCCTGTTTTCAAAATTTAATCCATCAAAAATTTGATAGGATTTGTTTAAATATATTTAAGTATTGGATATAGTTTTATTAAAATATTTTAAAAATAAGTTACCTATCTTCATTCTTTTTTAATAATAAAACATGACTTGTATGCACACCTTATACTTTTTTACTTTGTATTTTCTTGTTAAATAAAAATAATATTGTAATAAAATCAATTTTATTATAATATAAGTTCTTAAATAATTGAAATAATTTAATTATTCAAAAATATTACCTGATACGAAGTTTCCATTATTTGATGTAAGTCAGTATCAGTTGAAGAAATTCGATTAAATGTTGTATTTGAACAATATAATTGGCTTCTGTCAATACTAGGTGATATTCCAGACCATGAATTAACGTGCTTTTCATTGTTAATTAACCAATTCATGTTATCAGCATCACCTCCGGGACCTATAATTGTTGAATAATTTTTCCATGTTCTCTCTGTACCTATTGGACGTGGAACTTTACGATCCTCAACTTGTACTTCTTGAGAAATAACTTGTCCCGTTGAAGAAGGTGATATTTCAGGAGATATTGAACTACCATTTTCGAGATTAATAATATCCATGCTTCCAGCTTGGGCACCTAAACCGGTAAGATGATCAGAAAAAGTTACGTGTCCGATTATTGAATCTTGATGCGAATAGTTTCCTGCAGGTACAAATGGCCAACGATTTTGACCACTTGTTGGAATATTAAGATTAGTTTGCCTTTGAGATGATGCTTGATATTTATTAAAGGGAAAACTACTATGTAGTGCAAGACTGCTCGTTTGAATACCTGCTGGTGTTGGCTGTGCTGGTATAGTTGAATAAATATTTGAATGTATTGGTGTAGCTGTACTAAACATAGTAACTTGTGGTTTATTATTTAAATGTAGCGAGCTTGAAAAGTCTGGTGCTCGAGGATTCAATCGGGACATACTTATTGTTGTAGTAACAGTGGCTGAAGGGGTTACAGTCTGAGGATAATTTTGTATATGCTGATGGATTGGAAGAATAGATTGTGTACTCGCCTGTGGATCGTGAGATACAATTTTCAGTAAATTTGAATTCACATTTTGATTTTCATAACCGGGATTATTTTCATTAAACATATTTACATCCACATTAGCCTGCGATATTGATGAAATATTGCACGTTTTATGATTATTGACTATATTTTGTGAAGTATCTACATTTCCATGAAATACTGGTCCCGTAAAAGGTGCTATACTAGTTACATTCATGTCTACATTTTTTTGAGTTAACAGAGGTCTTGCTACTATTAAACTTACAGGCGATTTAATAATTGAATGTCCACTAGTGTAACTTATTGAAGATTGAATATTTAAAGGTTGAATAGGGCTAGAATTATTTGAAGAAACAGTACTTGCTTTGTTATTACACAGGTTTATTGCCGAACAAGGCTTATTTGATGTTGGAGAACTCATTGAAGTTCCGCGGTAACCTGGAGCCTTAGATGCGTCAACCTCTACTGGACTGGTATGTATAAAATTATTTGAAGATACAGCTGAAGGATTTACTGAAATTCTAGCTCCAGCTATTGTTGCAAAATTAATATTTTTTTGAGTTTCATTTTCTTTATTACCCCACATTGACTGTCGTGTAACTTTACTAAATGTGTCATTAAAAAGAGAGTATTCTAATGGTATGTTATTCGATAAGTTTTGATATTGATCTGAAACTACTGTTGATATTGGAGTGGAACTGCGAAACTGCTGTAAAATTATTGGCTGAGATAAAATTGGTACTGAATTTGTTGTATTAATACCACTTGTTGAAGTTACTATTGACGAAGTAGTATTAGCTACCAAATTAGAACTTTTTGATGTAAAACTAGAATTATTTTGATAGATCAATTTTCCAGGATAACTAGGCGAGGCTGCCAGAGAAGTAGAAATCATTGATACCATTGGACAAATATTTGATGAATTATTTGTAATAGATTGCTGAGGAGATACTTGAGTCGTAGGATTTGTAGAATAAACAGTAGCAATAGTAGGAGATGAAGTTTGTTTTAATATGCTTATAAAATTCGTCGAAGTTTGGTTGCACTGCATAATACCAGCAGGAGTATTATTTATTTGTGGTGAGGTATACATTTCTGAAAGTTTAGCAGCAAATGTTTGTGAAGTGTTTGTTGTTACAATTTTTGTTGAACGACCAGCAGTCATAATAGCACTTGTATAAGACATTGTAGTTTTTGTATTTGATGAAGTAATAGCTTGGGATATAAGCCTTTTCTCTGTGTTAGAAATAAGCCGAGGTGCAGTAGCTCTAGGTAGTGAATTTCCAACAAGCTTAACATTAGAAGATGATCGAAGAGGTAATATATGTGTAGTACTCGAGAGATTTGAAATATAATTTGGTTTGTTAATTTGTAAATTTGATCCACTACTAACAATACCAAGAGGAAGTTTAGCTGGTGCAACTTTCAGTTTACAGGCCTGGAAAAGTTTATAAATTCATGAATTTTAAAATTATTTAATCTAAATAAATATTAATTATTTAATACAATCTATAGTAAACTATCGTCAATCCACAAACTATCGATTTTTTATAAATGATAAACCATACCTTATTAAATTGCAAAAAATGAATTAAAATTTTTTTTAACTAAAAATTAAAACTAACGAAATTGATGATAAATTAACATACTTGGCACTTGAAAACAAAAATACATTTATAAGATTTTTAAATTTATACAAACAAAAATTGTGAGTTTTGTTACTATTTATATTTTTCTTATATTTATACTCACTATTGCTGGAAATTTTTTTTTATTTGATAACACCCTTTATACTAACAATTATTATAACCAAAAATATAACCAAAAATATTCTAATACGGTAGATAAAAACATAATTATATATTTTTTTTACGTAATTTAAAACACAAGTAGTCAAGTCAGAGTTGCCGCCAAAATTTGCAAATTTTATACAAATAACAGCTCTATATACAGTTTTAGATATTTTTCAATAGAGAACCCTTTTTGGGTAGACGTTTAGTCGTCAAAGTGGAAAAATATAGATTTTCAATAATACATGATTATGCTTTTTATACTTTCATTTCACTTACCTATTCGTCCAAAGTATCGTACTTTGAATTATCTATAAGATACTTAATGTATATAATATGTATCGTCATAATATGGGTGTTTTATTTCACAAATTGTTACGTATTTATTTAAACAGATAACATTTACAACATTTTCATACTAATTTCGTTAATAAACTCTGAATCTTTGAACACGGATTTTAATAACTATTGACCGCTCCTTTTATATTAATGTATAACTTGTATAATTCATAAGCATATATACAAACATAAATATAAATTAAAAAATATTTAAGAGATTAATTAAATTTTTAAACAGTGGTTGAATTAAAGTTAAAATTAATTAATTTCTTTAGTGTAATTGTAATAAAAAAAAGCTTTATAATAACATTGATGTTTTATTTCAAATTTTAAAAAATCGATTCTAAAAATTACATATATTTTTAATTAATGATTTAAACAAAACTGTAAAATTAAAGATGAATTTAAAAAAAAGTTAAGAAAATTTATAAGTTTTTTTTAAAATAAAGCTGAGTACTTCACAAAATGTATAATTTAAATTACTTTAAACATTAAAATCATATAATTAATGATACAATTTTTATTTATAAACTATTCAAATGTTGAATTTTTGGTTAAATATTTAATTATATATAATAAATCTTAATTTTTATAATTAATTATAATTTATAAAAATATCTTACAATCCCAGAAGAAATTGATTTATCCCACGATGTTGCTGTAATGGAAGCCATTTTAGATTTTGGTAACATCTGCAAAATATCTACCTCAGGATCTTTAATTAGCGCTACAATTAAGATATGAGCTTGCTTTGTCGCTTCCATTGATCCTCTAAAATAAATTATAGTCAAAAATTGTTTTATGAATTTAATTATTGGAAATGAATGTACTTAATTTTTATAATTATTTATCAATTTTTTTACATTTTTTGTTCAAGATTTACACATTTTTTATCAAAGTTTAAATTTAGGAATATAACATATTTAAATCTAAATATAAAACAAAAATGTACTAGTCCAGTGCTGCAAAATTTTTTACCATAAATAAATAATTATATTGCATTCACATTTCAAACTATTCAAAAATACATGTAGAGCACATTAGAATAAATTCCTTACTATTTTATTATATATATTTATAATATCTACATAATATAAATTCTTATACATAGAAATATTTTATTTAAATACATTACTAATGTTATTATTTAAATAAAGTATTTTACCAAAATATATTTCCTGAGTCGCTGTAAATTTTGTAAATCTACAATGAATATATCATAAAATTAAAAGAATTAAAATGATTACATAACATAATATTAAGAATATAAAATAGAAATATATTCTTTTTAATTGTAACAAAAATTTTAAATACTCAAATATTTTTATGGGAAAATAATCGAACCTTTAATACATCATAAATACTAAAATTTATTACAAATTTAATCAAATAATGATGCAAATGAAATGGAACTTGGATGTAAAAGGATAAAAAATGTTTTAACTCCTAAATTATGAACTTATTTTTACTCAATCGTTAATTTAAAAAAATAATGGATATATTTTATAAATGATACTGGATTAAATCGAATGAAACATCGCAAGTTAATATATATCTAAAAGCATTCTAAATATATAAAATTAACACATTTATCAATATATCCATAATTAAAAGATACAGCAACCTATTAAATAGTAACTGAAACATATAAAAACCTTAACTAAATTTTTGTTAGAAAACTAATATTTTATTATAAATGTATTATTAATATATTGTACTCTAATGTAATAAAGATAATAAATTGTACAAAGCATAAATATAAATATTTAAATTATAATATAGTATATAAAAAAACGAGAACTTATTACAGATATTATAAATAACTCGAATTCCATGAAACGAACCTGTATAAAAATTCACAGAAAATGTTGCGTAAATTCATAATGGAAAACTTTTAATAAGTTATCCGAATAATACATGTACACACACAAGACTAGAAAAATTTACAAGTTCATTAAATCTAATACCTCAATTATATACTAAATTATAATGCTAGTAAAAACAAACCTTTTAAAAATCTCTAATTAAACAATTGAAATGTTATCATTATTCAATAACAATGCCATTATCAATAACAATCGACATAAAACTACTGTTTGGTCAAAAAGTCGCAAGGTATAAAGGTACTTTGCTATAGAATTGGAAAATTAACTAGTATTTAAAATCTTTGACTAATAAAAGTTGAAACAAACGGAATAATGTCTATGGCTATCAGAAAGTCTGTTATATAAGTGACCTTAATACTCCAAATACATGAAATTTAATATTCATATACTTTAACGTCGTATATTGGAGTATTGATGAAATGGAAATCTCATAAATTATTTGTTTTTAAAGTAAACACATTAATGAAATTACTGTTCCAATTTACTTCAAAATAATAATAGTGTTGCAATAAATCATATTCATTTAAAAAATAAAATTCATCTAAAAAATTTAAGCATACAACAATATTTTCTTAAAATAAATAAAAATTATTAATTCTTATAACTGATGAAAAATATGACTTTTTCCCCACGGTTATTTATATTTTCGATTCCAGTTTCTGTAATTTGTATAAAAAATGTATTAAATCTACTTACTTTATTGTAATAATTCTTTCTCCTTGGGACTTGCTTTGTTTTTCAACCTCAATATGAGCACCAGTTGCAGCACGAATTGTATTAATATTACTTCCTCCTCTGCCAATAACTCTGCTAATAGCATTTGGGGGTACAGAAACTTTTTTTGATCGAAATGGTGAGTTCATAAATCTCCCTGAATCATCTGTTTGACCTCTATTAAATTTAATTTTTAATGAAAAATATTAAAAGTTATTAGATTCATAAATATTACAATCATATGCTGTAAAAGTATATATTATAATCTAAATAAAAATAATTTAAGTTTACTTTCGCACAACTTCTTTCCAGCCTTCATCACGTTTTCCACAGAGTTTGGGACTAGAATTGTTAATTAATTTGATAGTACTTGAAGCACTTCCATCTACATCAAATAAATTATTGCCATGTTTTTTTCCTTTAATAGCAGAATACGTTTCGTTCCCAGTAGCTTCAAAATCATCTCTATCAGCTGGATGTCTAGAAGATAAAAAACTTTTTTATTTTTCATTTATAAATTGAAAATTTATTTCAACAATAAATATACTTATATTTATATTTATTTTTATTATACACATTAAATTAAATATGGTACATTTTTCATTTTATGAATAAATAGAAAAATTAATGAGTATATTTTACAACAAAAATAAATGTCTCCATATACTAATATAATTTATTTATTATTTTAATAATAAAACTTATTAGTTTGAAGTATAAATCTGAAGTTAGTATTTATATAAAATATATTTTATAGAATAATTCGAATATGAGAAGTTAGATATTACATCATAAAATTCAGTTTACAAAATGGAATCAAATTTATCTTAATATTATAAACGATTTTTTAAATTAGTTTATAAAACATTCATATTAAAAAATTAATCATGTCATAAAGAATTAAATTCATTTATCAAATGTATTAATATTTGAAATAAATTTAATGAAAATTTCATTAATTTACAAATAAAATATATGTATTTAGAATATACATTTTCATATTCTGCTTTATTTCAGTATGCCATAGTACAATGTGAATCTCTCTCTCTGTCCATATATATATATATATATAAATATATATATATAGATTATTGACAGATTATTTTAATTCTGTAGTCGATCTAAACAGGTTGATAATTTAATTAACAAGACAAATCGAATAGAAAATTTAACCATAACAAATATTATAATTTATCAATTAAAAATTAATATCTCTTTTAGAAATACTGATACATTTAATTTTAACTTTAATTTAATAAAACAACTAATTGTCACAATTTCAGTGTTGACAGAAGCATGTACTTCAATTAATGATTGTAAATAAATCTTATCTATAATTCTGAATTGTGTAAATATTGAAAAGTATTATCTACTGAAAATTGTTATGCTATATGTCATTCTATATTACTTAGTGCTGCCATAAATAACTTGTGTGAAAAAATTTGAATTTACAAATAAATAATAAAAAATTTACTTATTTCGTAAAAGTCAAAGCTCGATTGATATTATTATGTATATAAATAATTCAAATAATATAAAAGATTTGTTTACTATTGTTCTATAATTAATAAATACTACATACTTTTCAACTTCTTGTGATTTAGAAGCAGTAAGGCATCCTTGATTTATGTTTGGACTCATATGTGTAGATTTTGATGTTAAATTAAAAGGATCTTTAACATTATTGGATGGAGAACTAAAGCTATTACAAACTATTTTTTTCTTTTTCTTTTCTTTCTTTTTTTCTCTTGATTTTGTATCATTACTACAGTAACTTCCTTGACTATTTGCATCTATTCCACTATCACCTTCTTCTTTATCTACTTCTTCTATATTTCTATTATGCCTACTAAAATGTTCATCGTGTCGTTCATTGGCATTGTTATCATCTCGATCACTATCTTCCTTAAAGTTTTCCTCTTCTATTTTATTTTCAATAACTTCTTTATCATCATAAATAGCTTCATTTTTTTTATTTTCCTCGTACAATTTACGTTTTTCTTCTTTTTTTTCTAATTTCTTTTTCTTTTTTCGTTCACGCCTTCTTGCAGCAGCAGCTTTTTTCGTCTCTTCTCTTGTTTTTTCCATATCTAATTCTTCTAACAGTATAGTAGCATTCTTATTTGCTTTCGCTGCTTGGGTTTCTTTAGCAGCTCTAATAATCTTAACACATTCTTGACACCTTTCTAGTAATTCCTTATCGCTAACTGTCGCAATATACCTTGTCATTTCTTGGTCACTTGGAAATTGTGTTACATGATTAACCATCCATTTCACAACTTTAATATGGCCTTTACGAAAAGCTGCCATTAGGCAAGAAACCTAAAACAAAAAATATATCTATTATAAATATTTAAAAATTTAAACATAATTTAATGAAGTAACGAATCATTAGTAATAAAATATATATTAGAAAATATTGCTGAGAAAAATTTTTTTTTTAATAACTGAATTATGTTTATTCTATCGGCATTCTTTCTTGATTATATTTAATGAAATTGTAAATTACAATCGATGTAATAATAATATTAATATCAAATGAATATTAAATAAATAGTAATAAATCATTAAACTTAAATAAAAAGTTTAAAATTTCACTATTATTTAAAGCTAAAGAATCGCTCGATTTTATAATGTCAACAATTACTAAAACTTATATTTCTTAATGGTTACAAATCAAATTAAACTGTGTACATGAAAAAACTTTGCTGTAACAGTACGCATAATATATTTTCTATTGCAACAAACACGTAATATCAACTACATCATATTGTGAATGACGAATTAATAATTATTAATATAAAATTATACTTGTTAAACTTTTTTTAAATATTGTTTTTATAATGTATTATAGAAACTATTATATTTTTAATATATATTTATAGAATAAATCAGTTATTTGTAAAAAAATTGTTTCAACTGTAAAATTTTAATTTATATAAATTTATGAATATACAAATTTATTATTGATTCAATCACAACAAAAAGACTTTCACAATGATAAGTACTGTTAATCATAAATTTAAGTTAAAAAACTTTTATTTAAAATTGAAAGTATATGTGTAATTGTTTTTAAAATAAGTTAATAAAAATCCTAAAAAATTTATTTTTTATTTTTATACAATTTATAAAATAATTACCGAAATATTATTTAGTGTTATTTGTTAATAACATACTAGAATTAAACAGAGCATATATATATATATATATATATATATATATATACATATATATACACAAATTATTGTTTCACTATTAGATCATAACACAATGAATACAAAATCTTTGTTTGATGATACTTAAATCGATTATTAAATTCTTCTATTTATCATATTTTGTTTATTTGAAAATACATCCTTATAATACAAAAAATTAAATTGAACTGAAATTAATACAATTTGAAATCTTCGATTGTTCTAATGCAAATGGCAATGATATAATGACAAAAAATTATTTACAGCTATTTGATTTGTGAATGTTATGAATGAACTTATTATTGGCAGGTCATTTCTTATTAAAACATAATAAAAATATACAAAGTAAATTATATTATCTTCATTAGTAAAATGTCTAACATATTTATAATTAAAACTAACACATACTGATTTGGTATAGAATATCATTAATTTATTAAAGTATTATAGTTCTGTAACAATAAAATTTACATATATAGTAAAAAATATTGAGAAACTATAATCGATATAAAATAAAAAGCAGCGCAAATACCTGTTTAACAATATTGAATACGCATATTTTTAAATTAATTTTTTAATTATAATTTTAAATAATAATTTTTAAAATATATGTAATTTAAAAACATTAAAAATATTATAAATTTTTCACATAAAAAATATCTATGATTTTGCTCAAAGTTTTGTTGATTAATTCAAAGATTATGTGAATTCGAAGTAATTCAAAATAATATCAATTTGAAATAATCATTACTAAAAAAAATTGTAATTATTCAAAAGAATTTATAATTGTTATAGCAGCCTATTTCTAATAATTAAAATTTTGATTTTGACACATTTTATGGCCAACGTACTAATTTGTCGAAATCTTTTCATAATATAAATATTAGAAGCTCATGTCACAATAATCTATTTATTCAATTTTACATTAACTTTTTTTATTGGTTAAATAATATAAGTATAAATACATATAAGTAACAAATAATAATGCAAACCTTTCGATTATCTTGTGAATCAATATCTGCGCCAGCGTGATAAAGTAAATCTACAACATTTAGATGTCCTCCATTTGCTGCCAACCAAAGTGGGCTATTACCTTTCTTATTTTTTACTTCTACTTGAGTTCCTCTAAAAAATTACATTATGACAAACAATGTAATATAAATAAAGAAATAAAAGTTTTATTACATATAGTTTATAAATTAAGCAAATATACGTCTATATTTTTGTAATTGTGATTAATGTAAATATGTACGAGAATATATAATTACTTAGACAATAAAAGTTCAACAAATCTGCAATGGCCTTTATCAGCAGCAATTGTTAAGGCTGTATCTCTGGATGAAGGAACAGGTGTAGCGTTTACGTCAGCTCCTTTATTTAAAAGTACTCTTCCTACTTCAACATATCCACCACTAGCAGCTTCCATTAATGGTGTTAGTCCCGTCTATAAAATAATTACAATTATAAATAGATTATTAATATGTTTATTAACTCAACAACTTTAAAAATTATTCTATAATACACATGTTATGTTAAAACATATTGTCTAAAAATATTGTATATACCAAATATATAAAGAAAAATTCAATTTACACAACTAAATATGTTTGGCATTTTATTTCTTCTAAAAATTCTAATTCACCAGAGAAAAATTAAATATAATTGTAATAGGTTACAAAAATAAAATTGTAAAATTAATTTTGAAGATCCTACTTTTTATCAATTATTAATTATTTAATGGTCTAATTATTATTTAATATATTACGATATTTTAATAACAAAATAAAATCAGTATGCAACAATTGATAGATCATCTATGAATGCTACAAGAATTGTTTATTAAAAAATAAAATAGAGATAGTATTTTAGCTTGATTTCATTTATCAATATCAGCAAAGTATAAGGAACCTACAAAAATTTATACTTTTACCATTCATAATTATATCAAAATAAAATTATTTAATATTTTAATAACATTTTGAAGAACAAAGTACATTAATTTATTTGTACAGTATGTAAATTCATTGTAGTTTAAAATTAAACTAAAAAATGTATAATTCGTTATAAATAAAAGATTGCCAAAATTAGAAAGTAATTAAATAATGTAATCAGTACAATGATAAAAACATATAAATTAATTGTGACAATCTACTATATAAACAAAATTTAGGCACTTTTAAAACTAATATAGTTTTCAAAATAGACATAAAATATTAGTTTTTTTTTTTATATATATTTTGTAAGTCAATTCGAAGTTCTAGAGTGTATTCCACATAAAATTAAATTTGTTGTAGTTATATTTTTAATGTTCTTATAAATAAAAACAGAAAATAAAATATGTAAATAAATATTCTAAATATAAAATAAATCACTACAAAATGTTTAACGTAGCATATATCTGATATTTAATGATAATCACTTAATTAGAATGAATTCGAAGTTATATTTATATAAATAAATTTCATTATTAGTTCCCGTATCGTGACTCATATTTTGAAGAAAAAATCTAAAAAAATAGGATAGCAATAGTAATTGCATTTTAATTTTATATATGTGTAAATGCATTAAATTATTGTTTATAACTAATAATTAATAATTAATAGTAACCTTTGCTCGATGTTCAACATTAGCTTTACGATCTAAGAGAAGACTCACAACTTCATGTCGTCCTTGAAAGCAAGCTAGTGTTAATGCTGTGTTTCTGTTAGTTTCGATTTGAGCATTGATATCACTTCCCATATCTAAAAGTAATTTAACTGCAGCTAAAACATAAAATAAAATATTTCAAATATATTTTTATTTCTATTTATTTAAATAATTAAAGTTGCCAACATAAAATACTAAAAAGAAAAAATAGACTTGTCATTTTTTAAGAGCAGATATTACTCAGATGCCTTAAGTTAATAAACAACAAGAACACAATGTTGTTGAACCTATGAGCTCACATTTTTACAATATTAATATATATTTTCATTTTAATATATTTCTATAATTAAAGTTTGGTGCTACTTTATTTTTTATTTTTTACAGTTGAATATCGATATTATATTCAATATTTTCTTACATTTTCTGAAATTACTCATAATTACGTAAAAATAAGGTTCTTAAATAAGATCAATGTATTAATTGAAAAAAAGAAAAGTCCGTTTATATGAAATTTATTATTTCATAATCCAATGGTTAATTTTAAATTTTTCAAATTTTTACATATTGATTAATCTATACATACGAATTGTTTATGTATATGTAGTCTGTAAATCCAAAGTGAGAGTTTCTTAATTATGTTTTGTGATCAAAAAAAAAAAAAAAAAAAAAAAAAAAAAATTAAAAAAAAAAAACACTTAGAACGAAATAATATGAATATACTTAAATACAGTAAGATATTATTATATTATGTCTAAATATTACTTACTGTGTAATCGAATTTAATGTGCATGTTTTGGCTAAGCGTTATTATTAATAGTGATTTTTCAGGGTTTTATATCGTATAAAATTATTTATTTAAACTTTACTGTTACTTAAATTAAGTTTAAGACTATCAACTGATAATCAAATAATTATACAAATATTTAATTTTAAACAATCAATAGTAATCGTGATTTAATTCTTAAAATAAATATTACATTATTTTTTAATAGTCCTCAAAATTCCCAAGATCTATCTAAGAAGCAATAAGTTACTTTAACGCATTATTAAAATTAATATATATTCAAACGTATTGCTTTTATTTGTTTAAATAATATTAAATAATAATAGTCAGCAAAAAATTATTTTTCTAAAAGTTATCTTTTACATAATAAACTCAATTATCTAAGTGTGTACGTAAATTTCCGCCATGATTAAGTAGATATTATTAGTATTTTGAGATATGCTTCTTCTGGTTTAATTATTTTTTTTATTTGTTTACATATACTATTCTAACATAATAAAGCATTATTTAAGAAAAAACATATTTGAACAAATTATATTAAATTAAAAACCTGTCCGTTTTAAAATTGTAATAGCAAAGAGTATTATAAAAATCAATTTTAATAAATTTTCATTACATTTGATTTAAAATAGATATATCGTATACTTTTTTTTGTGCATAAACTTTGTAATTCAACTTATATTATAACGAGATGCTAACGTTCATTAATGTTATCATTATTGTAAAGTTTATTTACACTAATTATTCGTAATCGTGCAAATTATCGTTAATAATTTTATATAAAGGTACAAAATTTCTTACCGGTGTGTCCATTCATTGCTGCTAGCATAAGTGGTGATATTCCGAGTTTAGATCCAGTTCTTGAATTGATTTCTGCACCATGACCAAGCAATAGTTTTATTATATTAACATACCCACCACTAGCAGCAAGACTAAGAGGCGTGTAATCAGAAACATTTCGATGTTCCTTATTTGATCCTCGATTTAGTAAAAGTTCAACGACTTCGTATCTACCACCACTGCAAGCAAGAGATAGCGGTGTATCTTTTGTTCGTTCAGATTGGGCTTCTATATCAGCACCATGATTTAAAAGAATTTCTACAACTTTTTGATGACCAGCTGTAGCTGCTAATATTAAAGGAGTGAATCCTTTTTTGTCACGATGTTCTAAATACAACAAAATAACGGAATATTATTATATTATTAATTATATAAATAAAAATATATTAATTATTATAAAACTTACTAATATAAATTACTTACCAATATCTGCTCCTCTACTCAATAGAAGTTCAACAAGTTCTTCATGTCCACCAGCACAAGCAAGAGTTAATGCTGTATCATGATTACTATCAGTTTCCGAATCAACATCCATGCAAGAAAATGTAGCTGGCACTGCTTGATTTGATGAATAAGTCCCATTTGCATTTCCAGTAGTATATTGATTTGAAACTATTAAAACGATGAATTTTTTTCCATATACATATTTATAAAAACATTAAATGAAAAAAAATATGAATGAAATAAAAAAACTTCGCGAAATTCTTATAATCATAAATAAATTTAAAATAAAATAAAAAAATAATTTATTTGAGCTTTTACAAATTTTAAAACAAAAATAGATTTAATAAATAATAAATAAAAATAAGTAAATAATAAAAATAAAAAATAATAGAAAATTACTCAGTAAAAGATATAGTTTACCGAGAGCTAATATCTGTTAGAAATTTTGGAAAAACATAAATTCATCAATGAACAATATTTACCCAGTACGAACCATATAAAAGTATAAATAGATGGCAATAACCTTTTAGTTCAATAATAATTAATTTTTTTATTGCATTTTGCATGAATACAACTATGGATAACAATATATCACTTTTCAATATACTTGACAATAATCAAAATTAGACAAAATCACATCTAAGCACAAAGCTATTAACGGAATAACTGAGCTATAATGCCAAATACCACGATATTAAATACCAAAAAAGGGTACAAATTTAACTGTAAACTTAGTTAAGGCAATTAAATATGAACTTAAAACATTTGTATATGGGTTATCCAAGCATGAAACATTAGTATTTCAATACATTAGAAATATATTTTACGGATTAATGAATAAATTCTATCAGAAAGAATAAGATAATTAAGAACTACAATGAGATTATAACATTAGCTATTAATATATTAAATAAATATTTCCTATTCGGTCTATACAAGTATTTGCTAATTTAAGAAGTAGATCGTAATAAAATGAATATGATTAATGATAAAAAATAAATACATTAAATTAAAAAAGTTAGTTGAATCGTACAAAAATAGTACGATTTGTAGATTCCCTTTTATTAATATTAGTTTAAACAAAATCAATTATTTAAAAATGAATTAATAATGAAACAATACATTTTTATTATTAAAATGGAACCTTTTTTGTTTATCATTTTTATATATGAAATAAATATTTTTGTGTTAATATGTAGAATAATGTAAAATTATAAATTGATCTAAGTTATAATATTATATTATTATATTTTGTTAACTACAAATAATTTATAAAGAAGGAAGTTATCTTAACCACTGTAACTATAATTTAATATCTACAATGAGTAAAATTAAGTAACGCATATGAATTATAATTTTAATATAGAAAATGTAGCATATTTATGAATTTATAGAATTTTGATAAATTTGAAATCAGATAACCAATGATTCACATTCAAAATTACTCTTTTTGTATTTGTTTAATAATAATTAATGAAAATATGACTAATAAGGAATTTTTAATATGAAATTCAAATTCAACTTTTTAATACGAAAGATATAAAACGAATAATTTTATATTATTGAATCACTTTATCATATAATTTTTCGAATTTCCTGAAAACTAATCTACCATTTTTTTATGCAACAAAATTCAAATGAATCATAAAATTTTGAATATTCAATTGCAATATGGTATGAATAAAAATACTAATGTAATGACAGAATTTTATTTCTATAAATGCTCAAGATAACTTTTCGATTAACTTCTAATAGTATAATTGAAAAAAGCGGAATCAACTGACAGGTTCATAAATTTCCTGGAATATTTAGATAGGCGTGGTGACTGAGAATAACTGCAGAATATAGTACAACTTTTCTTTTTTTACCTAACATCATTAAAATTTTCATAAAATATTTTAAAGTAATTTTTTTAGAAATTATATTAAAATAAAAATACTATTTTTTTACTTGTTAACTAAATTCAACGATTTTATAACACGAGGGAATTAATATATTTAAATATACATTTTTACATTTGTAAAATTATGGAAATAAGGTTTAGCGATAAACAGAAAACAAAAAAATTTATCGTTGAATCTGTTAATCAGTTATAAATAAGAAATAATTATTCAAAATTAAAACTGTATTCACTATATTCTTCAACACATGATATGAAGTGTACATTGTTAATAGGATATGGATACAAAGAAATGTATTGAATGGAATTCTTAATACATATAAAAATATAAATTCTTACTTGACGCAGGATCTACTTGGTAATTTTGACTTGAAAAATTTGAGACTGTTTGTTGAGAATTTTGATTTGGAGATTGTAGCAAAGATTGTTGTTGTGCAAGCAAATATCTCGTTTTTTTACCCTTAATGTTAGATGATGTAGTGCAAATCGGTTTCTTCTCTGATGATAAAATAGCATTATTAATAGGTACAGGTGACTGTGTTTGCGTAGCAACTTGAACCTGATTCGTATTACATAAAGATAATTGAGCATCGTCGTTTTCTGATGTCTGTATCATTTCTATTGTATCTGCAGAACATGCAGGTGATATTGACTGGCCTGTAAATCCTAATATATAAATGATTGAACATTAAATTAAAAAAAAAAAAAATATATATATATCTATAAACTTTTTAAATATTGATTTATTTTATGATTAACATTATATAAATATTAATTAATATTTTATAAAGTTTATTAATTTTTAAGAGTTTTGATAATATATCTTTATAGTGACAGATTTTTCTAATTATTAATTACATACGATAATTAAATTCTTAACTTGTATTAATACGCACACGCATGACACATTTATTTAAATAAATTTAAAAATAATGAATAGAATATCAGTGATTTTAATAAATAGTTGAAAAAAATAATAAAAATAATTTATTTTATATTCAATATTAATTTTATAAATTTAGGCCAATAATAGTGATATCAAATTTATATAAATAATTACAATATACAGCATTAACATAAGTAGAATGATTTGAACATACTTCCATTTATAAGTTTCTTTATAAATGTGATATTTATTAAGTGTATTTTAAAATTCAATGTATGTGATGAATAATTAGTAATTGTGCTAATCACTAATTGTGCTAATTAGTAATTAGAGTTAATCTCTTTTAGAGATAAAAAGTTTTTAGATTATACATTATATTTCAATTACAATGCTTACCCATTTGATTCGATTGTAAAAGTAATTGAGCTTGAAAATTATCATCATTTATTCTTCTTTGAATACCTAAGCTTAAGCTAGCTTCAAAAGCATTCAACATTTGCTTCTGTAATGGTTGTGATGGTGTGGATTGTAAAGTTAGCGGCATCTCTGTTTGATTTTCAGAACAAACTATTGTTTGCTGTACTGGTGTAAGACTTGATAACGATGACGTAGAAGATACTGGTACAGCAAAATACTCTCGAACAGGTTCAGTGTAATTGCTAATTGTAGAAATTACTTGATGAACTTGTTGAGGGAATTGCTCCTTATTTACGAAAGCTTCAATTTTTTTTGTTTCAAGTTTTTCTGTGTCATCTATTAAATGAAAGTTCAGTATTATAAACACCTATGATTATATTTAATAATATGTACTTAATCGAATTGAACAATAAAAATAAATATACATCTATTTTTGTTTTTGTGTGGTAATTCTTATATCGACAATCTCATAAACTGCGGTCAATTTTATATTTACTAAAAGTATAAATATATAAAGAACGAATAACGTAGGGACAAAACTAAATAGACATAAAACTAGAAAAGCAATACAGCAAATTTGCTTCAACGAATGTTTAGCAACAAGTATATGGCGTTAATTATAAAGAGATCAGATAATAAAATTGATAAAATACTTAATCAAAGCTAGTAGACATAATTATTTATAACTAAATCTCTACATATATTAATACGTCTATAAAAAATGTTCCTAAAATTTAATAAGTCTTTAAAACACAAGTTTGTACCAATTCATCATACTAAAGTTACAGGGAAATTATAGTGCCATTGTTAATTATATTATTGAAAGTTGGAGTGAATTATATCTACAATGACAATTTCATAAAGTTTTTATAACGACATATTCAATGAAGCTAGTAACTAAGAATTAAATATCGATTAGTTTTCTTAATTGTACTTCTATAGACGTAAAATATTTGAAAAATTACATTTATCAATTGTTTACACAAGTATCTAATAATTTTGCTTGCACGCTATATATAAACATTTATTTCAATATTTCTAAATCCTTTTGACAAACAATAACTGGCCCAATAGGAACAAATATAATATTTCGAAGTTTCATGTTTGTTAAATATAAATTCATTTTTAGATTTCAAAGATTAATAGAAAAAGCTCTTTTAACAAAGTAATACCTTAAGAATCATTGTACATTATACGCAAGTATAAATAAAAAATTCTTTCTATAAATATTTTATAATTAACCAATTTAAAATGTATAGAAATTTTTTGGTTTTATAAAATATTATATTCAATTATAGATTCTTGAAAATCTCTTTAGAAAACATTAATATTTTACGAGCTATTAGAATAAAAAAAAGCAAATAATGTTTACAAATTTACTCTGTATTATTTACTATTTTTATATCAATTTTTATATTCTGTAAAAATAAATGTTACAGAATACTAAAATTAAAATAATATTAAAACGAAATAAAATATTCAAAGTTGTATGTATCATCATATTTAGACAATCCTATTAAATATAAACATATATAAAAAAATCTGTTAATTATTGGTTGTTAACAAAAAATTTAATTTTTCTTATTTATAGTTATTTTTTTCAAGATTGGACATATTTTTAATAATAAATTTACTTATTAATATTAAAAATAATACATTTCACAAAAGAACCAATTCATTGTTTCGTAAGATTTGAAATTAATATTAACAATTTTTAGTATATAGTAGATACAACCAGATCGATAAATATTTTTCCTGTTTTTTCCCTTCAAACAAGCTTTACCTATATGATAATAAATGATTACTCGCTATTATAAAAAATGCATATTTTCATTTGCATTGTACTATTTAATAAAATAGAACTACAAAACCTAAAAAACAATACTCATTAATAGTTTAAAAATTATTAAGCATTACAATCAGAAATACTGTGTATTTATATAGCATTACTTAATTAACATACTAAAAGCATGTTAAAAAAATAATGGAGCTGTAAAATATAAGTAGAAAAAATAGAATTGTGAATCAGCATAAACGCTCGTGAAAAAATAATGAAAGCGTGATATAATTCTAAATTCATATATTTAATATTAGTTTATAAGCGATTTCATTGATATTACTTTTAATTTCATTGGCATATGCTAGTTTTTTTAACACAGAATTGTATAGATTTTTTAAATACTACTATTATTTTACATTAACATATTCCTTATTGAAAGTATTTTCAATAATCCTCTAATAAAATTAATTCAGTTTTTTCTATACCCGAATTTATTAACCATTTGACAGACCGATTACAAATACATTAATTATATTTATTAATTTTAATTAAATTTTTTTTTCTACAAATATTATTTATCAGACGAAATATATAGTGTTATTAAATTGATTTAATAAAAAAAACTTAATTTGAATAATTTTATTGATGATTTATGTATTTGTACACTGTTTCATATTTTTAAAATGCTAATATTTAATTTTTTAAACCATTTATTAAAATATTTTATAATATTTTTCGCACATTTTTATCTATATTTTTACTTTACAGAATTATATAAAAGTAATGAAAAATGACGGAAATAATCATAACCTCCTATAATTGAAGTACAAAAAAATTTCAATTTGCTAATTAATTTTAAATAATCTAAGTTTTAGGAATGTTTTTTTTAATACATAGTATAATAAATATATCAAATATATAAACATTTTAAATCATTAAAATAGATAATTAAATAATACTAATTATAAAATTGTATACATAATTTGTATAGATATAGCGTACTTTAAATATATAATATTCTTCATATCCGAGATATCAAAATTATTCCTTTTGTATGTAATTGAAGTTTTTATAAATAAAGAATATTTATCAGAAAATTACAGAAAATAAATCATAGTTACTTACGTCAGGTTTAACTTATTGTCGTTTTACGACGTACTGCAACGAGTATTACTTAATCATTTTTATTATTTCATTAGGTTTCTGAGTACAATTTTAGAGAAATATACATTTATAAATGGGGCATACACAAATACGTTTATGATCAAATACATTATTATATTAAGAAAATAATAATAGTTGCGTAATTTAATAAAAGTAACTAATTAGATCACAATAGAAAACTTACCATTATTGATATCGTCAAAACTAATTGATTCAAAAATATTAACTGCTTCATCAATGGGAATTTGTGTACCATCTTCTAATTTAAGAATTTCTTCATCATTTGATATTTTAGTTCGTTGTGCTGTAGAAAAAAATGGACATGCTCCTTCTCGGTGAATTCTAGTGAAATCTGAATCAACTTGATCTATAGTTGGTTTCGACGTTTGCTATTGAGAATATAAAAATAAATACAAAAATATATATTAAAATGATATATTAATAATGTCTAAGGATACACAACTGTACTTTTGTCATTGAAATAATTGATAATAGGCAATTATGAAGAATAATTTACTATATATTAAATATATAATAATATTGAAAAATATAAAAAATAAAAAACCACACCATGTTAAATATGGTTTTATAATTTTTCTGAAAAATTTTTTTATTTGCTTGTTATATAAAACGAAGAAAATAATAATTTGTAACTAAGCATATACAATTAAACTATATATTATATCCTTAAGATAGCAATAGAAATGTATAAATTTACCATATAACAGACAAAAATAATTTTTATAAAAAAAGACAAATTATTGTAATAAAAATTATAAAAAATAATACCAGGTAAAGCTTACGATAATTTATTGTAAACCTACTTGTGCTTGATCAAGTTGTAGTTGTAATTGCTGATTAAGTTGCTGCAATTGGTGAACTTGTTGAATACAATGGGGACGTGTTTTTTCTAAAAATTTTTTAAAATCGGAAGAAGAAAGCCCTGCTACTAAAGCCATATGCTGCTGTTGAAGTTTATTTATTACCATTCCATGAACTGTTTTACGAACATTTTTATTATCTTTTTTAGAAACTGCTTTAACTTTAGGGCGATCACTTATTGCTGTATTTTGACTAACATCGCTACTTGTTATGGTTGGTTGTGAAGGTATTGTACCAGCAATTTCACCAATTGATGACGAAGCATTTGAACATGTTAAATTAACAGCTGTATTTGTAGAACTACAAATAGTATTTGATACTGCAGCAGTAGGGGCAGGGACAGTTATAACAGAAACTGAAGAATTACTCGAAAAATTACTTGCAATAGAAAATTTTTCAATCACAGATGATGATAATGGCAGTGGTAATTGTGTTTCTTGTAAACATCGCACCTCTTTTAATATACGTCGCTTTTCAAGTTTTATGCCTTCTCTAAAACCTTCTAGATAAAGTCGATTAGCCTGAAAACCTTCGTATAAAGACAATGCAGAACGAATACTATTATTTCCTTGATAATTCATCAAATCGTTTGGTATATCATTTGAATTATTCGTAGATAAACCTAAATAATCGACAATTTTATTAAAAACTGTAAAATAAGTATTAGCTAAATGAATCAAACCATATAAATATACCATTTGCAGATACAGCTGATTGTGATGTCTGATCAATATTTACAACATTAGTCACATCGGATAAAGCAGTATTTTGTTCTGATTGATCTATAAGCGAATCGACAGAATCAACATTCATTCCAGATGATCCTAAGAATAAATGACCAGCACCTTTAATTTGTAGCTCTCGCTCAACTCTCTATAATGATAAAATGAATCAGTTATGTAATTTGACTTTTATAATTAAAATTTTCAATATTATTAGGTAAAATATATAAACATTTTTATGAATATCAAAGTGCTAAAAAAGATCCATCAAGAATAATTGTTTGTGGAAATATAAATTAAATATATGGATATCCGTACTTTTTGTACTGGTATAAATATTATTTGTTTAAAATTATTTTTGTCACCTCGACTAACAGTAATAATTATTATTCTGGATTCATATACATTTGAATAAATATGAAAAAAAAATCAAAACGAAACTAGTATTATGAATTAAATTCTCTTCCTCAAAACTTAATAAATATTGAAATAAAAAATTAGTATTTTGCTTTTAAACAATTAAAAAATAAAAAGGCAAAGACGAATTTGTAAATATTAAACGATCGTGTTAGTTATTGAAATAAAACATAATTATATATCTTTAATCGCATTTTAAAGATTTAAAACATTTTAAACTAATATATACTTATACTTTTATCAATCATATTTATTAATATTAAAATACTAAAGTACTCTAAAAAATCATCGAACGTCACAAAAATGCTAAATTACGTAAGTAATTCAAAATGGATTTTGAAGTAATTTTAATAGGAATTACTACCTTCAGAATACTACGCATATAGTACTTTCTGCGGAAGATTATCTCAATTTTCTCAGTTATTGATAATTTTGAACCAAACTGCTAGTTCCTCATTTAATTCTGTTCAGGAAGAACAGTGTATTGAATACAAATTAACAAACCATTAGTGTTATGAAAATATAACATCAATACAATGCAAAGTAAAACGACTAAAGAAATAAGCACTATGTTTAAAAAATTATCAATACAATTAAATAGTACACAAAGTTTTACATATTATGAATTATAAGAATTAATATTCTATAAAAATAATGTGCTTAACATAAAGTTTACGTGACTGATAGATATTTTCATTATTAGATAATTAGATTTTTTTATAGTAATTATAAACGAGGAATATATAATTTTATAAATTCCACATCTTCTAAATGAAGAGTAAAAATTTTTAAGTGAAATGTATAAGAAAAAGAAGTGAAAAATTTATTATTTACAATCAATAATTAATCGAAATAACAAAAAAATTTCAATTATATTGATCCGAATAATAAATACATCATGGTAGGATTATATAATTTTTAAAAGATTCAAGAATTTATAAAATAAAAATTTCATTCACAAATTCATGAAATTCTTCCAACAGCTTAATGTTTGAACATAAAATTCATATTACTTAGACAAATGTATTAAAAAATAAGAGAATTATTATTTAAAACAAAATTACTAATCCATAAGTATTGAAAAAAATAATCAGTAAATATTTTAAAACCAGTTTTATTTCAGAATAATGTAGAAAGGCAAATATTGGCTAGTATTTTGTAAATAATTATTACCTTTTACATTAAAAAGTTAATGCAAGTATATTTGGCAATTTTTTTCTAATTGATGAAATTAATAGACCACCATACAATACCAATAGAATATATTTCAAATCTTTATCTAATTATTATACATATATTCATATATCACATGTCTAGTAACTAGTATGAAATGCTTAAAATAGTATTATTTAGAAATAAAATAAATAAATAAAGGAGATAGAAGGATGATGATATCAAAGTATTGAATGAAAGCCTTATGAATATAGATCTTAAATATAATTTTTTTAATCATAGGTATCTACGTTTTGAAATTGTTAGTCAAAAATTAAATAGAGTCTATTTTTAAGTAATAAAACTAAATATTACTTTGTTATACATTCTAAAATCTACGTAGTGGCAGTTTTAAATAAAATATAATTATTAATTAGCAGCGTTACATAATATTACATATTAAAATTAAATTAAATATTTTAAAGATAAAATATTAAAAATAATTAAAATAATTAATTCTACAAAAGCGTAGATAGACATATGCGTGTTTTTACTTTATTTAGTTATTAAAAATAAAATCATGGAGCTGCTTGAACATTTATTTGATTATATTAAAATTATGTTTAAAAGTATTAAAAATCAATACATTCGTGTGAAGAATCCACAGAAAAATAATTATGGAATAAAAAGCCAAATTAACAGCATTTGAAAATACATAGAAATTCACACACCTAAAAATCAGAGAGAGAGAGAGAGAGAGAGAGAGAGAGAGAGAGAGAAAGCGAAAGTGAGAGAACTACTATTGAAAAACGAAAATGTTTAAAAACTATATATAATTTATTTTTAGATACAATTTTATAAGTATATTACTTATTGCAATCTTTCTTAAATGTTTATATTCATTAAAAGACTTCTGCAAATTATCTGTTAATACATCTGATTATACAAAAACAAAAATGAATTAATAAGAGAATGTTTTCGTATATACTATTTGAAATGTTTTACAAAATCAAAATTACCATGGAATGTTCTAAATTTACATGGATAAAATCCTTTGAGATATCAGAATAATTTTATAATAATTAAAAAAAAAAAAGGACTATAAAATAAATACCATTTTATTGTGAAGCAAAAAATGGGTATTTAAATAATAGAATATGTGATACAAAGTTTTAATAAAAATACATTTCTAGTAACACGAAAAAAATATTTTTGAGAGATATGTATGTTTTAATTAGTGTAAATCTGCAATCGACAAACTTTCAACTTCACATAGTTGCTGCTATGTGTGGATTTAGGTACAGATATTACTTTTATCTTTTACGACTTCGATCTTGTTTAGCTTTCGAAAAATTTCTTTAATTTATATTATATATATTTTTCCATTTTGTTATCTTGGTTTTTTAAATCCGTTGGACTTATTTACTATGCAAATTCTTTGTATTCTTTATTTCGAGTGTTTTAATACGAGGTGCTCGAATGTGTTTTGTTATTGAACCAAAAACGGTTGTATATCATGATTATTGTATTATTACTTAGAGTGGATGTATCGATCTCCTAACATAATTGACACGTTAAATTATTCAGTATTGATATTCATAATCTAATTCCATATTTTAATAAATAATTAAACATTATTCAAGTTTTATAATTTACTACCATTTTGATTATAAAATAAAATATATTTTTCTTAAAGTATCAAAATATATCATGTTATTAACTTAAACCTTATGCTGATTTTATACTCAATCGCTGAAATTAAAGTCCTATGTTTATAATTGCTTTATTAAATATAATTTATTGAAGCTTTTCATAATTGATATTATCGTTTAAGTATTTTCAAAGAAATATCTTTATCGTTTTTTTTAGGTATTGTAATTTTAAGCAAATCATTTCGTTAATTTCAAATAACTTTATATATACTAAATATAAATTTATACAAATATTTTTCACTAATCAAAAATTACTTTATTTTACTTTAATTAAGTCTATTATTAGAATTAAATATTATAGTCATACCTGCAATTCTTCCAATATTTGTTGTTTATGCAGAATTTGCTCATGTCTAGTACTTTTTCGACAGTCATTATTCATTGGAACACTTGACACAGACGAAGAATTCATACTTATGTTAGGTTCTGAAAGGCTAGAAAAATTTCCACGGTTTTTATCAAGAATGTTAGTATCTTCAATCGCATTCATAATTGAGCTTCGAGGTGGCTGACTACGAACTTGCTGTGCTTCTGCTGACGTGAGTGTAACATCTGATACATTTGTCACTGATCTGTTTTTTCTCAAGAGCGATTTTTGACTGTTATGCTTAGAAGGCATTACTTGACTGTGATTAACTTCCAAATTTTGTTGATGTTGCGTATTATGCTGCTGTGAATGGTGAGTTGATACTTGAGTTGTTTGCTGTGTAGTTTGTAGCTGAGTTAAAAATATTGATGCTGTTGTATTATGAGGAGGATTCATCATAATACTATGAGGATAATCAAGTAAAAGTTGAACAACACTTGTATGGCCTCCTTTTGCTGCCTCGATCAACATTGTAGAGTTATCCTTAAATGTATCAAATATTAATAGCTGCTATAGTAATTGTTTATTAATCTTATATATTATTTGTAATATATATATATATATATATATATATATATATATATATATACCTTGAGTTTATGGAATGGATCTGCAGATTGTGCTAGTAGAAGTTCTACTACGGAAAGATGTCCTCCAGCACAAGCCAATGAAAGTGGAGTATGGTCGTTATTGGTCGTTTGTCGATTAACATCAGCATGTTTTGATATAAGAAATTGAACTGTACAAAGGTGGCCAGCTCTACAAGCTTTCATTAAGGGTGTTCTTCCTCCTTCGGATTCGTGTTCCTATTAAATATACTCTTTGATAAAATAATTAAATTTTGAATATCGTAAAATAAAATTGCCCTCTTTTCATAAATACTCGTAGTTATATACATATAAAGTCAAGTAAAATAAAATTGATTAAAAAATTAGATAATATTATCAGGTAGCTTAAGTAAATGTTAATTATTTTTTAAAATAAAATTTTTATTTTTTATCAAAGTAGTTAATTGAAAACAATTCTATTTTTAAATTATTCATTACATAAAAAAAAGTACAAACATTATTAAATGTATATTGGTGAATTAATTTAATTTTGTACTGTATGTATTAGTCACAAATTCTTAAAATATTCATTCCATACCAATAACAACTTTGTATATTTATTTCTAATTTCAAACCACTTACAAAATAGTTTTTTTAAGACCAAATTTTGCAGTATCAATTTAATACAAAATAATTTTCAATTAAATTTCTGAATACTTTAATACTTCTAATATATATTTGAAATTAATATTTATAATTTGATAAAATTTTTATTTTATTTAATATACTCTCCTACAAGTTGTATCTAATGCATCTATTCGATTTTGATTAAGAAAATTAATTTTGTTTTTATAAACATAAATATACTATAAAATATATGAATTGTACATTTATTATAATTTATTTTTACAGAAATGATGTATAAATTACTTACTAAATAAGCTCCAAATTGTAACAACAAATCAGCTACATCTGTATGTCCATTTTCACAAGCGTATGTTAATGCTGTATCACCTGTTTGAGTCTGTGCATGAACATTTGCACGTGTTTCTAGTAAATAACGAACAAGATCTAAATGACCTTCCTGTGCAGCTTCCATTAGAGGAGTTGAAGCACCTAATTCTATATCAGCACCTGCTTTGATAAGAAAATCAGTAACATCCAGAAACCCTCCGCAGCAAGCTAATGTTAGTGCGGTTTCTTGTGTCTCCTCTGTCTGTGCATTAATATTTGCGCCTAAAACAAAAACATAATTTAATTAAATGTCATAATAAAATTATATATAAATAGCTTATATTTTTAATAAAATAATTATAATAATTATACTTCTCATAACATGAAAAATAAAGGAATTATAACAATCATAAAAAAAAAATAAAAAAATTCCCAGAGACTGATCATCTAGATAAGCCTTATAAATACATTTTGTTATTATAAAATTTAATTTGTTATAATTTAAATCTCACTTCAAAAATTTTCAAAATCAAATGTAAATAATTTAAGAAGATTTTAGGTATAAAAGGCAATTATTAATTCAAAATTTATAAATTTAATATTGTATATTTTAAATAATAAAAAAATATAAATAAATTTTAATAAAACTTTTTTGTATTGAATGTCTTTCAAATTTTTATTCAAGTTACTTTTTTTAGAAAGTTTTTATTTATTTCGTCAATTCAATTATAATCAGCTTAATATTCATAAAGGACTTAAAATCTTATATAAAATTAAAAATAAAATATTCGTATAACATAATTAAGAAATTTGCTATAGAATTTAAAGAAACTATTAGATTATAAAAGGATTTAAGACTATGGGAAAATATATTTTCAACAATTGATTTTTTTATATTATTTATGTACTAATATAAAACAGTATTACTATAATTCCGACTAAATACGTAAGTTAGAATAGTACGACCTAAAATCAGTCGACATTTTCAAATTTAAAATTAATATATTTGGCACTGCAAGATGAGACTTATTGCACATTGTGTTCTATTTAACAGTAAGAAAATCAAACTAGAGTGTATTACGCATGAATTCTACTATCAGTTTCTATAAAACATCATATTAATTTTTGTTTAACGCATATTTTTGGAGTTTACTTTATTCTAACAGTCAATCACGCATTAAGCATTTTATAAATACCAGTACTAGTACGATTGGTAGTTTGTTACATATTGTTACATAAACAAATTTCATACTGCTCACGAAAGTTAGCACTAAAGTTTACGATAAAACAACTCCAATGGTCACATTTATTACTATTAGACAGAAAAAATTTAAACAAAAAATTGATCACTCATTTTTCTTTTATAATTATCCTGAAGCTGTTTTACGTCTCCCGCATATGTATCATTACTTTTAAAGTTTCAATTTTGGATTTTTGTTCAATTTTATTACAATCATTTTTCATTATAACGATCTCGTTTTTTTTCTCTAAAATCTTTAATTGATTTAGTAAAAGTACATAATTAATGCATTTGTTTCAGTCATGAAATTAATAAGTTGGCTAATTTAATTATATATGTATGTTATCAATACTTGTTTGCGTTTATTTCAAGGGATATTTCAATTAATAAGTACGTCTATAAATTTACTTATTTTTCGAAATTGTATTATTTAACAATTCTGTACAATTAAAAATTTTGAGTTGCAAGTGAAAGTTCGTTTTAAATCAGTGTGAAAAAGTTGCATAAAATACATTAATGTATAAAAAAATTCATTTACAAATTTTTAGCTTAATAATATTTAAATTGCTGTGTAAAATATTTTTTGTAATTCTATGATTAACGTTAATTCTCAAGTGATAAATCGTAAGAAGTATTTGTTTTTAAAATCTTCTTTATTGTTCTTTATTGAAAATTAAGAAAATATTGGTTATTATTCAAATTATATATTTTAGAACTTGATCATTTAAAAATTCTCTTAATACAGTACATATGCACGTATGCAAGCAGTTACACTGAATATCGAATATGGAAGTTCTAAGTTATATATAAAAGATTTTAATTGTGATTACTTTATAATAAAAACAAATTCAATATTTCATTGATAATCTTACATTATTCTCATGTTTGATGTTTTTATATACAATCAAGACTAGCATCATTAAATAATTTTAAGTTATTTTTATATATTATAAAATAATTAAATTTTTGTTATTAAATAATTTCTAAAAAGGAATCTTAAATTATATAGATTATAGATAAAATTTAAACTAAAGTATTTTAATAGTAAAGATATACAATATATTTGAAAATCTCACACCGAAAACAAAAAATAATTTCTTTAATATTACATGGTTAGAAGAAAAATTGTGAAATTAATTATTACATAATTTAAAATTTAAAATTAAATTAAGTTTAAATTTATATTTTTATACCTTCGGTACATATTCTATACTATTAAATCTTGACGTTTTTAATTTAAATGTAAAACATACCTTGGCTCAACAGTAAAGCAATCATTTCTTCGTGACCTTCCCTGGCTGCCTCCATCAAAGGAGTATAACCTTCATCGTTAACTTCTTCAATGTTTGCTCCTCTTTCAATAAGAAGCATAGCGAGATCAACATGACCACCACAAGCAGCTAATGTTAATGGGGATTCAAAACTATCTGTTGGCATATTAACCTGAGCTCCAGAATCTAATAATAAACGAGCTACTTCCACATGTCCATCCATAGAAGCTTCCATAAGAGCAGTATGCATTTCATCAGTTTTATGTTCCTGTATATAAAGAATGTACACACGCAGGCACACATGAATATATATTAAATAAAAAATTAATCTTTCGATTGTAACAGGATCTTTTTACAGTATCTTCATAAATAAAATTCAAGTAAAATCAAGATCTACAGTAAAAATTACAAATTTACTTTAAATATTATATAATATACTGTTGATTATAGATATTTTATATATTTTATTATTAAAACTAACCTTATAATTAAAAAATAATCGTAATACTAAAATAATATGGTACTAAATTCAAAATTTTATCGTAAAATAGTAACAAATAAATAAAACATAATTACTCGATCAGCTCCAGCTTCTAATAAAAACTTAACCATCTCCAAATGTCCTTTATAACATGCTAAAGTTAGTGCAGATTCTTTGAATTCGTTAGAATGAGTATTAATGCCGGCACCGTGTTCTAATAAAATTTTTGCAACTGATACGTGACCAGCACTAGCAGCTTCCATTAAAGGTGTATGGCCATTATCATTATGATCTTCCACATTAGCTCCTGCTTCTAAAAGTACTCGAACAACTTCTTCGTGACCACCAGCACATGCATACATTAGAGGCGTATTTCCTAAAAAAAAAAAATACAAAAAATACATTAATATATTATATAAATTATTACTATGAGCTTTAATACAATAACTAAAAATAATGTAAAAATATATTTTATTTATGAGTTGAACTCATATGAATTAAGTAAAAAAAAAAAAAAAATAGATAACATTATATATTATTTTTATGAATATTATGTTAGCTAACAACGAATCACACATTTAATAAATTTTCAATAAACTTTTTCGTAAATATATTTAAAAGTTAAAGTTAAAACATTATTTTTTGGTTAAAAATGAAATATAAATTTTTTTATATCTCATATTCAAAATGTCATTGTATCATATATTTTCCTAGCAATATCATATAAGATTAATTGACACTAACCATTATTTAAGAATTAATTGAACAATAATTTAAATACTTGATTTAGATAAGCTACATGAGATCGTGTCAATAGCAGTAAAAGTTCGAGTTCATTATAGTTACCAGTAAACCATTTATAAAACGTATACATTCTGTATTAGGTTGTGACAATTTTTCGAAATAAGTTACTTCAACCATGAAAACAATAAAAATATAATAACTATGAAGCTATGTGTACAAAATGCCTAGTATTTTTATCTAGCGCAACTCATTATTTAAGATCTTTTTGTAAATAAATAGTCAATATGTATTAAAAAAACCAATATATAGCCAATACTGATATTGTGATAAATACAAAGATACAGGCACTACTGTTAATTTTATTATTAAGGTGCGTTTCTACATACAGAAAATAATCGCAATTATTATATAATGTAATATATGTAACATTATATAATAATGCAATTATTATATAATATATTTTTAACAAAATTTTTAAGATTTTATGAGGTTTAAGTATTCAATATATTTGTGAATAACCATCTATCAACCATTTAATTTATTTTAACAATCAATTCGAATAAATAAAAAATTGATTGAATAAAAGACCTAAATTGATTATTCGATTTTAAAATATTTACATCGTGATATACAGTTTTAATGTGTAGCACTTTAACGGTCGGTTACTGATTAAAACTACTAAAAGAAAACATTTATAATTTAACTTGATAATAAAAATACATATATTTCAATAGATTAATAAGCCTATAATTTATTCTAAATGATAACATTCAAAAACCTGATTAACAAAGGTCTTAGCGATTTAATATGGCTGATTAAATACATAATTGAGGATTATAACCCTAAATATTACTATGGTGATCATTACTACATTATTATTCTACATTAATTTTATTATAATATATTCTATATATTTCATCGTTTTAATGCTGCTATGCAAAATATAACTTGACTTTATCATACAATTATTAGCGAAAGACTAGCTTGCTCATCATTCTTTCCGTAATCACTTTAACATAAACTTCAATAGTCTACAAGTTTTACATAATAGGTTACGAATAACTGCGCTGATTAAATTTTGTTTATCACAATTTTGAACAACTTAATATTAAACATATCTTTTTTAATTTTTTAAATCTGTTAATTCTTGTTCAACGTAATTAAAATCACAATAATTTAGTCAACAAAATTAATAATTGCTTAAATGAAAACACGAAAAGCTAGGAAAAGTAAGATAGAAGGTAATTTGAATATTCGAAAGAAGATATTTAATATTTATTTAGACCAAGTAATATAAAAAGAACCTAAAAAACCTTCACAAAATAAACAAAACAGAATGAAAATTAAATTTAAATGAAATTACTTATATGCAGTTATTTCATATAAATTGTATAATAAGAAATGTTTTGATCTAACAGTGAAATATATCAATAAAAAATTTTTTAACAATAAAAAAATATGCAACAGCTATTAAAATTATACTTTGTATTATAATTTATTTGATATAATGTAATAATGTGTTAGATTGTCACAATTACTATTCTTATATTGATAAAGTGAAATTAAAACAAGCCATTATATTGTTAATATAACTTTTAGAAACTTTGTAAATATTTTATGTAAATTATTGAGTTGATTACTGTGTTGGTTCAATTTTTTAATTTATTAACATTGTTCACTAGAGGTGTTACATGTTGAAATATTTATGCTAGTATAAATTAAAATATTTATTATTCTTATATATAATATTACTATTTCTCAGGTTATATACAAAAACTTTTATTAACATTCTTGGAATGTACAGAACTAATGAAAGTTATGAGTAAGTACCCCAATATAATTCTAAAATTAGTATATGCTTTGAGGTTCCAATGCATATTATGCTTATCGCAGCAATATTTTACAGCTTTGTATTAATTAAAAAATAACTGCAGTTTTACATCTAATAGTAATTAATATGTTTACCTGAAGTAGAATGTGCATTAACATCAGCTCCGTGCGCTATAAGAAGACTGACAATATCTACATGCCCAGCACTAGCTGCTTCCATCAAAGGAGTGCAATCTCCTTTGATTCCTCTGTCTTCTATATTTGCATTCATTGCTATTAACACCTGCAATAAAAAGAAACAATATATATTGTACACATTTTGAAATCCATCTAGAAAAATTTGAAAAATTTTTAATTATATTAAATAATGGTATTAATTATATAAATTGATTACATGAAACATAGTTATGAAAAATTATATATATTTTCGTACAATATTTCTTAATAAATAGTATTAAAAGAAAAAATAAAATAATATACACAAACGCGAAAAACCATAATTAATATATCAAATTATAAAAAACTGAATACGACCTCCATTTGTAAAAAAATGTCAAATTATAAAATTCAAAATAAAGTATATTTGAGTATGTTTTTATTAAAATAGGGCTTAAAATATTAGTTATCGAGTGCTTCCAAATAAAGTATTTTGCCTTATTCAATAATAATCATTTTGAAAACATTATAAAATAATTTCTTATTCCTTTTTATATTTTTCAATTATAATTAATATCGAATATCTTTTATATTTTTGCTAAAAATATACTTGTTCTTTAGTTATAAAATTGAGGTCACGTTTTAAGGTTACTTATACTTGTAATTCCACTATTCAAATAAAAATTGAAATGAATATAATAAAATAAATATGTCAAATTTAGTTTCAAATGTTTAAAAACGAACCTGAGCTAGTTCGTAATAACCAGCAGAACACGCAAGCGATAAAAGACTTTCTCCCTCTTCAGTAGTTTCGTGTACGCTCCGCCCTTCTGTTAAAAGTTTTTTAACAGTTCCAACGTCACCGTCAGAACAAGCTTCAATTAATGATCGTTTTTCATTCTGGTTTCGAGATGTGTTATCAGTACGCATACGTGTCAATGCTGCAGCTGCCTCATCAATAGCACAGGATACACTTGAAGTTAAGCGTCTAAGTACTTCATGATCTGGAAGATGATTTCCATCAGTAGAGGATAATTTTCCTATTCCTGCAGCTTCAAGAAGAGCTTCTAAACGTGCTTGAGTCTCTGGATCAACAGAATGTTCACAATTATCAGATGCCAATAGAAATTTCGTATTTTCTATTTGTTTTCCCTGATCAAAATCTGTTTGATCAATAGCAAAACACTCCACCTATAAAAAATATAATTGACATTATATAATAGAAAACAATTCAAGTAATATATAATTATATAACATGTAACTGAAAAATAACATTTTTCATATGTTCCATAATTTTTTTTTAATTACACCTTTAATCATTATAGATAAATAAGATAGTATTGTATTTTTATACATAGAACTCACAATATAAAATACCAAATAATAGGTGAGATTAAAGAGAAGTAATAAATTCTTCCTATGCAGTAAAACATTTAATAAAAAGTAACAATTTTTTATTCTGTGAAATTACTTTAACAAAAAGAGAATTTCATTAATTTATATTATATTTCTGATTGATTAATGCGAAAGCTCGAATTAAATTTCTGTTTATATTGAATTATTTTGGTTTAAATAAAAATCAGATATAATAAAAATGTATATTTACATTAAATATTAACTATTGTTTTACTTTTTTAAAAAAATTATTCAAACAGTTGTTTTCAAACAGTTGCTCTTATAGCAAATTATTATTGATTATGTTTCAATTTATTAAAATCAATATAGTAATAGAGATTTTACATTAATTATAATAATAGCAAACACACAATTTATTAAAATTTATTTATAAACTTAAAAGTAAAACTAAATATAGGGGTTAACTTTCTTTATGGTAGAAAAACACTTTTTTTATATATTTAAAACTAATTTTTATATTTTTTTGAATAATTTTAGAAACCACTTGCAGCTAAAAATAATAGTTTAAGTTAAAATTTATATCAAAATAATTATGGTTGTAATATAAGAAATGGTTAATTTTTTTTTTAATTCAACTGAAATATAATAAATAATATTACTTTAAATAGTGCAAAAAATGAAATTGATTATAAAAAAAAAGTAAACAAAAAGGGTAAAAAAAAAATTTTTCTGAAAAAATGTTTAAAACTTTTAGCACTCAATTTTCTATTTGTAAATTATTTAGAATTTTATACAAAATGCAATACCTTTTGTTTTCCTTTAATATATATTCAATACTATAAATACATGTTATCTGTTGCATTTCCAAATATTTGTATATTTATACCATGCAATTATTAATAACTCCAACTAGTCAACATAAATAAATAAAAATTTATACAATTTTTTGTCAATATTTAATAACTATATTACAAGTAGAAGTTTCATATTGTGTGAAAAAGTGAATTTCAATTTTGTCATATAATTTACAATTAATAATAAATACAAATTCAAAATATTTAAGACTTTTTGTAATTACAAAAATTTAATTTCACTGATTTATATTTATTATATATAATTGCTTAAAAAATTGCATACTTCAAACCTATTAATGAATATACTAATACATATAATTTTAGTTTCTGTGTAAGGAAGTATTTATTTTTGATATACATATGTATATATCAAGTTTTTCTAGTAAAATGACTTTTTTTTTAGCTTTTCATTAATGGATATGGAATATGGAAATGGGTTATAAAAAAATTTATAAATTAAAACAGAATTAAATGTCATATTGTTTGCAAATTTTGCTGAACAGTTATTTTTAGTTTTCAAAAAAAAATATTGAAAAAAGCTATTTATTATTTGAGAATATCAAATATCTACATGCTAAAATTAATTTTTACATAAACATATGCTTTATAATATTCTGCAACTTTTTTTTATTAGTTTTTGTTTTTTATTTTTTATATAAAACTATTTAATTTTGATTTCTAAAATCTTCAAAGGTCAAATTATGCCGTTATATTAGTTTCCATCTAATATATAAAAATATTGTATAATTCTAATAAATAAAGAATATACAAAAAAAATTTCACGTATGCAATGAAAAATCATTAATTAAACTATTTAATAATTTTTCAAAAAATTTTTAATTATATCCAAGAAATTGCACTAGAAAAGATACCAGCTACTTTGATAACTCTTCAATAAAAAAAATAAGGGCCACTTGTCAAATAAAATCTGAATCTTGTAGATAAATTATGGATTTATTAATAAAATATTAATCTATATTTCATGTTAAAAAAAAAATATATATATATATATATATATATATATACACACATGTAAGTATATAATATAAAACCAAAGTTTTAAATATTTACCATTTGTCAAATTATAATAAAAGAATATAATGAATACAATACGTAAAATTTTATCTTTGATTACAAAATCAATGTTCATGCTATTTCTGCCAAAAATTAAAAAATAGAATTTATTTGAATTTATCAAAAACATCCTACTTACATGTATAAAAGAATATTCATACTGAATTTTCCTTGTATGGTTATAATAATAATTTATAGTTATACAACAAAAACTGTTGATATGCATAGTATATGCATATGTATATGCATAGTATTTATAATTTATATTTTTCATTAAAAAATCAAATTATGTTTCATTCAAACCAATAATTAGTGTATTATCTTTATTTTGTTATTACAAAAGTAAAGTTTTATAAGATAAACATTTTTTTATCAAGTTGTAAAGGTTAAGATTCTAGAGATAAATTACCTTTACTTATCTTTTTTTTATTAAATATAAAAATATAAAAGTACACAAAACAGTGAATGACAAAATTTATTGAAAAATTTTGTTTTTGTAACATATTTGAATATATCTTTCAATAGTTGTTATATATTTGGATGATTTTACTTCAATTGTAAATTTATATTATCTACTGTAATTTAAAACAAGAAAATCAACTATTCAGTAAAATAAATTATTTGAATTTTGTTATTACTTTATTATAACAAAATTTAAATCTTGTTTTCTTATTTAAAATTATTAATATTTACATCAAAATATAATTTCTAGGTTTCTAGAAAATTAGTTTTCATTAATTTTTATTTGAAATATTAAATAATTACAATAAAAACACATGTGACTTATTTGTATGGTTATATTGGATTAAGCAGATAATACTGATCATAAAATTAAAAATCTTATTATGAAAATAATTAATATTAACAAATCATTTTCTATATTATTTATGTATAAAATATATAAAAAAATAATTAAATTTTATTAATACTCTGTAATTTTCATTCTGTAAACAATGGTAATACAAATGTAATATTATAAATTTATTAATAATTATTTTTTAATTAATATTTCTAAATTAATAACAAATATTGATTAATTTTAATTAAATATAATCATTGATTTAAATGTAAATGAAAAAATTATAAAAGAAATAAATTATGATATTTGGAGTATGATTACTAATTTCTGCTTTTTGTTTCCAAATGTTTAGTTTTAATTTTATAAAGAATTTTTTACATTACCAGTGATATGCATTTAATATGTATATATGCATATACATATGTATACACATATGCATATATAGATATATGCATATACACACGCACACATATATATAATTAATTTTTATTTGAATGATTAATTGAAGTTTTTAGACTAATTATTTATAATTTTATTTTATCTACTATAATCTAATAATCTATTAATTAATATTTAAATAATAACAATACCTATATTAATGTTGTGTAAAATGAAAATGTTCTATTAAACATAGTTTCTTTACTTATTGTTGCATTGTATTAAATATCAAATGTATGAAATGCAACGAAACTTGTTAAAAAATATTAAATGTTCAATCCATATAATTTTTCATATAATACTAAAAAGAACATACAACTTACACAATGAAGTTATGCATTTTTTTAGAGTTCACATAAACATTTTCAGGAAAAACTGCCGAACTACGTAACCATAGACTACGAAATATACTAGATGTATTACGTTACATATTATAACGCGTGATAGAATTAAATTTTATTAGCTGTAAAACTTATGCTTCTATTATATTTATGTATACTCACACAATAATAAGTTTATGCACTTTAAATGTAAAAACAAGTAAAAAAATATATATAATTTTATTTGCTAAAATTCTTATTATTTTGTATTACAAAAATTAATAATATTAGATATATGAATATTGATATAATTACATAAATTAGAAAAAGGAACGTATTAATGTTAAGAAACAATTAGAACCTCTGATTGGTAATACAGATGACCCTTAAACATAGTAAATTCAGAGGCACATAACAATGTGTTTCTAGGTGCAGTTAAAACATAGAGTAGAAAGTGAATATGTCTATGCAGTGAATTATGAAAATCTGAAAAACCTGACATAAGTGCCGAAATTTTTCAATATGACAGGCTTGATTAGATTTTATTCTTTCTTATATATCATTAAATGTATATTAAATTTTCAATAGTAAAAAATAATAAAAGTTAATCAAATTCTTCATTACATAATTGTACAAATTATGTAAAATTATATATAAATATTTGAAAAAATCAGCAAATTTTATATTATGGTAAAAAATTTCTTAAAAGACACTTGTACATACAGAAAATAAAATTTAATAAAAATATTAAGATTAATTCATACATATAAAGCAAACAAATATTTACCTGCATTAAAGAATTATAGGCATTAGTAATAAATTTTTAATTTAAATTTAGTATGAGAATTAACATTTTACAAAAGTAGTTGAAATGAACTATTATTAAATATAAATTACTATTCTCTCAATAGGCAAAGAAAACCAGTAAATAAATAAATTCAAACATATTTCTAAATATTTTTTCACTAATAAATATTCGCCCGTTTAGTATAGCGAAGCATATGACATTCCGACTAAAATTCTGGCGTTATATTATTCTGTCCTCCATCCTTTATTGTTTAATAATATTTTATTGACAAGCTTTTGAATTTATATAGGTGATGGAAGCTGTCGACGTTAAAAACGATGTTTATTAAACTCGTTTTAAAATTTGGAATTTTTAAATATTTTTTAATTTATGATCAATAACTTCATATATCCTTCAATTGTGATTATTTTTTTGTTGTTTTACACAAACGATGTTCTTAAATATTTGTAAATGATGGAAGTATGTCATACATAGAACGTCAACTGATATAATAATGTAGTTTAGTAGATCAATAGCTATATTCGTCGGCTTTACAATTTTCCAAGATGTATAAATGATTATGTATAATAAAAATATTGTAAAATTTTTAAATTACATATAAGATTTATATATATTCTTACAAACAAGTGTGATATTAATATTTCGATAAGGATTTTTCGTATTCACCGATTTTTACATATTATAACTCTCTATATTTAATGTAATATACATTTGGATTCGTATTTCAATAGTAGTATTATAAAACAATTAATTAAAACAAACCTGAAATTTAAGTTAGTTTGTTTAACCAACAGCTTAGTTAATTTCGATTTCAATAATACATAGATATTCATTATTAAACTATTATACTTATATGAACGAGAAAAATTATATTCTTATTTGCATGTACATGCATATATTAATTTGTTTAAACTTTAAATTTAATATGAATAATAATTGTTTTTAATAAATTTCAAGAATTTAATTTCTTATTTTTGCCAATCTTCCACAGAGAAAAATTAATTTACTATATATTATTACCTGTCTCACAATATATACAAATGTTTTATTTATGAAAGCTCACCAAATTCTTAACAAAATTTTTCATTAAAAAAAATAAAACAATTAATAATTTTAAGCAAAATATAATAAAATAAATATGGTATAATTATATTTAGAATATAATAATAAATTGGTATTACACAAAGTACTGAATTTAAAGTATACTTGGACATACAAATTTATAGATGATTTCTCATATATTTAATTTTCAGAACAATATAAGATAAACTTTTTAATATATCTGCTTTCTTATTATATTAGAAATTCAGTAAATTACTTTACTTTTAATAATAATTTGATGATAATTTTAAATACAAATTAATTTTGTTTATTTTTTATAGTTACAAATTAAAAAAAAATTACGATATCTAATGTATAATTTTTTTTATATAATTTTTAAAGAATAGAGTAATTTACAAATATTTGATATTTTCTAAGAACACTGATTATTCATAAGTCCTTTATATTTGTTATTCATATTTATTATTTTTAATTTATATCTATTATTTTCAATTTTGATTATAGAATGACTTCTTTTATGGATACTTTTACAACCCCTTTGTATAGAATATTTCTGTATGTGACACAGCCTTTATTGTTTCTTTAATCATTTATTAAACACTGTTTTCATTTTATATTATTGATCTAATTGATTTAATATTTTTGAATGACGAATTTTGTACTTCGGTCAATCTAAGGATTTTTAAAAATAACACGTTTCGGACTTTTATTTTTTTAAATTAATGAAATTTTTTATGTTACTACTCTACTTTTTAGATAGAATTTTTTAAGTAATAAAAGATGGTTTCAAGACATTAAATTACATGTTTTATAAATACATAAAATAAAAATTAATTATGAATATTGGGATATTAAATATACTAATAACATAATATTGTAAATAAAAAATATGTTTAAGATTATAAATAATATTTCATTAATAACAAATAAAATCTGAACTATTATTAATAGTAAAACTAAATAAAACAATGAATAATGATTAAAAAGTAAATTAATATATTAATTAAAAATATATGTAATGCTTTATCAACTATATATGGTGTTAATTCAACAATTATTGTAATCTACATTAAAGTACTATAAAATTGAAATAAAAAATTATTGACTTTACAGTTATAACTAATCAACATTGAATTAATTTATTATAAAATAAAAAATATGTAAAAATATTATACTTGCATTGAAAATCCAAAATGTTAATTAAAATAAAATATAAGTGTATTAATATATAAGTAGTGCCTGTAAAATATTATTTATCTAAATATTTCAACGTTCATGTGTTTAAGAAAATATATTTTCTTATTTTGTTTACAAAGACTAACAAAGAATTTATTATATAATGTGGAAATATCGATTTAAATTTACGTAATCAATGCACATTTAATTTTATTATATATTAATTTGAATATCTTAATTCATATAAAACTTTTAAAATGAGTATATTAAAAAAGTTAGTTCTTAATTAGAATATCAATATATAATCAACATTTGAATGTTATGTTCAAATAAATTAACAAATATTTATAAAAATTGTTTTTTTAAATAATTCTCCATGGATTAAATAAAATGATTCATGCATAAATTTTGTTCAATATAGTATTTAATAATTAGTTGTCTATTCATCTTTTACCAACAGCTAATTCAGATTATGTTCTATGTTTTCTTCTCCAATTTATTTCCTTTATAATTTTGATTAATTTATTATAATAGATGATTTATTTCAGCTTTATTGTTTACACAGTTTACATTAGAATCATATATAAGTACATGCATTGTAAAAAACTTTTTAAATAACTTATAATATAAAATTATAATAGTAAAATTTTTAAACAAAAAGTTTTATTTTTACATTTAACTATAAACATAGAATTATTAGTTTTATTATTCATTTAATTAAATACAAATGTAAAGATCATTACTGTTAGAAGTACTCAATCTTTACATTATATTTTAATAAATTTCAAGATGAACATTTACATGTTTCTTATTCAATTAAACTTAATTTTTTCAAATATAAATTGTAACAAAAATTAAAATAAAAAAATATTTTCATGCTTCAATATATATAACATTATAAAATTAAAAAATATAAATGCTTACCAATACTGGATTATTTAAATCACTTTTTGATTAATAATTTTAACTTTTTATACTAAGTATATTATGCATACATTTTTCATAAAAATTAATAATTGTGTAACAATTGCAGAAATTTGTACTTTCACTTTGATTTGTTTGAAAATGATTAAACTATTAATATTTATTATTAACATACAATTTAAATTATTGAATATGGTATATACAATTTGTTAAATATTGAATCAATGAAGTATAACGAGAAACAATTAATAGTCAGGTAAAATAGTAATATACAATTAAAAAAAAATTATTAATACTTATACTAATTTTGGTTAAATATTGGTTTTATATTTTCTGCAAAACATTTGCTAAATTCAGTTTATTTAATAATTTACTTTTCACTTTCTTTAATTTATTAAAAATATGGTTTAAAATATCAGATTTATAGTTTCAATTACATAATATCAATAATTATAAATTCTAATATAATAATATTTGACATATTTTTATTTAGATATATCTAATGGTTGAGGATTTAATATATTAAAATAATTAATTTTATGTATATTATTTTTTATAAAATTTTCATATTACTACTTTATTTTATGTACAAATTATATTTCATTTATAAAGCTACTAAAGAATACTTAGATTGTGATTAAAGTAATCTAATAAATTAAATCTGAAGTCGTTTTTAAATTTACTAAATGAATTATGAACAATCATTTCAATACTTTTTACTAAATTGTAAAATTATTTTACTTAATAAAAAAATATATTTAAATTAAAATAATTCTATTCATATTATTAATAATATAAATAAACTTGTCATTATTGGTAAATAGCAATTTATTTACCTCTGAAACACTCTCTTCATCACTATCCGATGAATCTGTCATGAAACGAGGCTGCAAATCATTAAATGTCTTGATTTCAGATTTTACAGAATTTGAATTCATAAAATAAGGTGGTAGATTAAGCGATGTTGTAACTATTATACAAGGATCTTGATTTATAGAACTCAAATTGTAATCTAACTGTGATGTATGAGCAGATGAAAATTTTTCAGGTACAAAAGGAACTCTTGACACAATTGTTTCTTGATTTTGTCTATTATCCTGCTGCTTATTTGAGGTTGGCTGTTCTTCAACATTCTGCATCTTCACATTTAACTAAATTGATTGAAATATTAGTAAATATATTTGCAGCGTCTTTTTATTAACAATTATTTACTAAATACATTAATTGCTATTAAATTCAATACTCTGAAAATAATTTAATTATAACGGAGACTCGACCAATAATGACACACAACATAAATGTAATAACATTTACCGTCATTCACGTAAGCAACTATTAGGCCACTCCATATTTATTTCATATACTGCTACACAGTACTATCAAATAGCTGTAGATGGGGCTTCAATATGTTTCCTATAGTTTGCCTACAAATTATGGTGTAATAATCAATTATCAGCAATAATAATTATGAATTATTATAAACAGTGATTGTAAATACTATTTTTAATTGACATAGGAAAAAAATTATTCTAAAAGTAATTATATTTCTATATTTTTTAAATGAAATTATTTTTAATTTTCTGATTGCAACATAAATTAAATTTTTAAATAAAATACTGTAACCTACCAAAAAATTACGCACATATATTATGCGCATGCGTAACTATTCACTTGGTATATCCAAATAATATTTAATAATCCAAAATAGCTTTTGCTTATTTGCTCTGGCTTATGATCGAAATATAATAAAATACACTACTTAATTGTCGCCTACATAATAGCATAAATGTGTTCTTTGCTATAGACTGATGGTCTGATATAAACATTTTCATCCAATCAACTTTAAATTTGTAAACCTAAATTTAAAGAAAATTTAAATACTATTTAATTATTGAAATTTATATAAAATATAATTTATATAAAAAATTGTGTATAGAATACGATTTAAAAAATATTATATCGTATAAATATGTAAAAAGAATGTACGAAATTTGTAGAAAAATGTGATAATCGAAAAGAGCAGTTTTAAAAACACGTTCAATTTAAAAAAATTAACTTTCCAATTCTCGAATAATAAGAACGTTACTTATAATGTTTATATCTATATACAATAAAAGAATATTTATATTTTATTTATTTAAAATCAGATTAGAAAGTTCAAACTTTTCAAACAATCCCACACTTTAAAATTTAGTATAAAAAATACGCAAAATTGTTCATAGAGCATAAATTTATTTTACATGTCTCGAATAAAATATTAAAAATTCTATATGTTATTAACGGTAATAATAAAATAAAAAATTTATTCAATAAATTGCTTTATTATCGCTAACAATGCAATTCAAGTAACGCACAAAAAGTAAGACATTAAAATCATAATAATAATGACAATTATATTAAATAAATAAATATATACATATATGCATATGTAAAAAAACATTTTAACCTAAATATTTTGTAGATGGATGATCATATTATCCTTTTCTCTTTTTCAATCTGTTAAAATAACTATATCGACTTTTTTACCATCTTCTTTAATATTCTCAATATATATTTATGAAAACCAAATTTATGAACTCTTAAAAAATCAATACATTCAACATAACCAGTACATCAATAAAACTATTCTCTCTTTAAATAAAACACTCAAAACTAATTGTTCTTTAATATAATAAATCGTTAATCTTCTATTTTTCCTATATTTTTTTATAATGAAATTATTTATCAGTCTATACGTATATATATATTATAATCAATGAAAGTAATTAATAAATTCTGCTACTTGTATTTTATTAATAATATATATTAAATATTAATAATAATAATTTATATTTATTTGAATTTTAGGATTTTAGAATTCTATATAAAATTGTAAGCTATAATATTATATATGTATTGCCTGCAAACATAGTTATATTTAAAATAATATACATGTATATAATTAAAATTTGGTATAAAAAACTATTACTTGTGTTGAAAAATAACTTTTAATACGCGTGTAAAATCGGGCTGGTAAAAACGCCGAAAATAAATGCTTTTGTGTTATTGCGATTTTATATTAAAATATAATACAATGATTAACCAAACGAAATGAGTAGAGCTCAATCTTATTTTACCACTATTTCATCTTTTTTATACATTTTATTATAATATTGCCCTCTTCTAATATCCTATGAAGAGTGTATAATTAATTTTAATTAATTCTTCAGTCTATTTCAAGTATGCCATGTAATAAAATTTATTGGTAACAAATTATATTTTTATTGAAAACAATTATGTTTCCTTAATTAATACGAAGCTTCGTAGTTTACTCTTATTTGGTATTCAATTCATGTCATACATTTTTAAGATTTTATTAAAAGTTTGAACATATTGCTAATGAAACAAATGATTTATAAATTGAAATATTTATAAAATTTTCCTTAGACAAATTCGATAAAATAATTGCTTATGGAGAAGATACTCATTTTAAGATTAAAGATAATATTTAAATCATTGCTTATTAGAATGCATAATTAATAATTAAATATTAATTCAATGATTATTTATAATTCATTTCAAATCATGATTACAAAGTTTTATTATCTTCAATCAACTTACATAATGAATATATAAAGATGAAATAAATTATTTTAATATATGTAGTATAACTTTGATTAATAAAAGAAAAATTAGTGTAGTACTCGCATATTTTTTAACAAATGTTCTAATTTAAAATATGCTGATTTTTATAACAAAATATATTAACAAGTTTCTAAGTTACTTTTTAATATAATAAAACTATACATTGATCTTTATTATGATATATATGCTATTAATTTAACAACAGTTTATAAGTGCAATAGTTCATTATTTGAATTTTTATTTAATGAATGTGAAATAATACAATAATTAGCTTAATTTCTAATATGCATTGAACGAATTGAATAAAAATGTATTGAATATGTATTATATGTATTGACTTATAATGTTACAGGTTTGATGATTTTCAGAAATACGTTTTTTGTAGTTAAATTGAAAAAAGAATGTATTACATAGTATGTATTGAATAACGTTTAATATGCAATCAATTTCCCGCTTTGAATCTGCACAACTATTGTTCCATTCTCTCTTAGTTATCGAAAAAGGACTATAATAAATAAAATTTAATAATACATACGTATATAAAAAAATTATCAGAAACTAATGCAAATAAACTTTCTCTATGTTAAATTTAAAAATTATCATATATAGGCTAGTTATTTAATGTTTAATAGATTTTTTTAATAATTATCATATATGACTTTATATACCTAATTTGATATAATTATAACTGAACTGAACTGAATACAACTTTTTCATATATTTTTGTGCATTCATTTTTATATTTTATTAAATAATACAGTACTCATTTATCTTCATGTAGCAATAGTTTTTAAAAATCATTTTCAATTTAATGCAGATACGAATTCTTATTCGTTTTATTGGAGCAGTCGTACTACAAGTATACGGATATAAACATGGCTGTACAATTTTTAAATTTGTATTACACGGAATTTTATGTGTCATAATTTAAACCAATTTTTTATTGTGTTTGTATTTTATAAAAGCGTAAATATCTAATCATATTTACTCAGATTTTTTTCTATCTATACTGACCTATAGTATTACGTAATATACAAAGGAATGTTGTTTATAACATCCAATATCTAACGTAATATACTAATTATTTGTGCTTTTTATTATTATGGTGTATAAATATCTACACTACAGAAATTTAGAAAAGATTTGAAAATAGCACCAAAGTTATTCAGTAGTTTTTATTTTTGTTTGTATTTGAATTTACAGTATGCATTGACAATATAATGAGTACTTAATTTTGTTATGTAAACTAATGTTATTACTCCCTTTAATTATTACTATTTTGTTTGATTATTAATATAATTATATCAATATTTTGAAGAAAGTTAAATATACCCTGTATGATATAGGAGGTTAATTCTAATTAACAATGGATGGGGTAATTAAACATATAATTTTGATTTATTATTATTTTGAAATTTATAGTATATGTAATATTCATTTTACAAAATTACAGAGAGTTTTTTACAAAATAAATCGAATTTTACAAAATAAGAGTTTCCAGCAGGGACTTCCATTTTTAATATTTATTGTTGGAGGATCATTTGTTCTAAAAGAATTTACATCAATAAGGTTTTTTTATGTTCTTAAGTTTTATTGTCTTATGTAGTAATATGTAAAATAAACAATATATAAAATGTTAAAAATAGTTTTATCAAAATTCATTTTATATATTGTATTTTATAGGTACAAATGTATGCATAACTATATGGATATATGTACATGCATATAAATTCTATGTATTATATTATCTAGTTTATGTATAATTTATATTTTTAACATTCTTGAATTCTTATCAATTTACCCAATAATTAAATAAAATAATTATTTATAAAAGAATATATTTAATAATGTGTATATTTGAATATTAAAATATAAATTAAATTCTATTCTTGTGTCTATATCTTATTATGTACTAACAGACTAGAATTACAATTTCTAGTCTGTTAAAAAGAAGTTTTATGAAATCCTATTTCTGTTTAATAAAATTGTATGAAGATACTACAGATGAAAGTATTAAAAGTTAATGTTAGATTTTTAAATATGATATAATGCAAATAATAGTAAAGACTTTATTATAATGGTAATTACATGTAACAATTGTACTACCAAATTTAATGATTTTTCATGTCAACATTATTTATTGTTTTTTCACGTGATTTGAATTTATATTTAAAAAATTATTATCGATGAATATTGCTTTCTAGATAAAATACTATAGACCAGATAAAATATATACCAGATAAAATAAATTATATAAAATATAAAACCAGATAAAATAAAATATTGCATCTTCAATTTTAATGGCTATTTATTGAATTATGAGTTTATTGAACTGGTAACATTACTATCTATTCAAATTAGTTATTACCTTTTATTACTATATTTTTAATTCATGTTTCTGTAAATATATCTTGCTCTATTTTACACTTAAAGTTATAGAAGATTTTTTATCAATGCATTTTAAAACTAATTTATAAATATATTATAATATATTACATGTATAGTATTTTTTGAGGAATATTACCAAACAATATTGCATATGTATTATGTTGAAAAAGTAATTGAAAAACTCCAAATAATCTAGTTTATGAATCTTAAGCATTGTTACAATTATTATATAAATAGAATAAAAGAAAATGTGGATATAGGTGTAACATGAAAATAAAAATATTTTTCAATATCATTGTATGTAAATTGAGTTCAATTGCTTTGTATATACTCAATTATTTTTATGTATTAAATTTATCATGTTTGTTGTCTAGATTTTAGTGTGCTGTATTATTTAATCAAAGCTAATATTTAATCTCAAAAAAATAAACAAATAGTAAACATATAGTAAAATAATAAGAGAATTTATGAAGTATTGATATAAAAAATTATTTTTTTATTTATCATATAGATTATATATAAACATCATTTGCAGTTCAAATTTGTTAAATAATAGGTAACACTTTAAAATCAATATTCAATTAAATTAATTATAGCATATAAAAAAGAGGATAGGAATTTGCACACAACAAAGTTTTTTATTTGATTTATGTTTAATTATAATTTTTCGCTTTATTTAGAAGATTTATAAATGTATTCCTTTACTGTAAGAATATACAATTTCTAAATACATCTTGAAAAAAATGGTGATTTCATTTTGTAAATTTAGTATGTATTTATTTTGAGCTTTAAGTATAAAAATTTTAATGAATAAAACTAAAGCATTTTTCGATTAATTTTGAATCCTAATCTATTTTTGTATCTTTTTTTCTTATTTTTTTAATATTTTGAATTAAAGTTTATTTTTTGCAAAATAATAATATATATATTAGGTATTTAATGAATGTAAAATTGAATAATATACTACTTAGGACATAATAACAATGTTCTATTGTATTAAACTTACTTATATTGTAATTTGAATAATTGAATTAATAAATCAATACCTTATTATAATTATTTATATTGAAGTATATTTAATATACAATTGTTTTTTTTTTATCAATTTCTTAATGTTAAAATTGATATTAAAACGTTAAATAATTTCTTATAGGTATGAATACGGTTTGGCAAAAACTTTCAATCCTAGAGATGAAGTTAAAAAAAGTGGCGTATTTATGAAACCACCAGAAGATTTAACTTTAGAAGAACAATATAAAGAATTTCAAAAGGTAAAATAAAGTTTCATAACATTAGATAGGAAATACAATTTGTATATAGAACCTCTAAACTAAATATATTGTTATTAACTTAAAATATTTTATGCATAACTACATATTATTAATTTTCTAGTCTTAATTTTATTTTACTTTATAGTATTTTATATGCAACCATCATTCCTTTTCAATGAATTAATTAAAAAAAATTTAATAATAATTTAATACATATAATTTGCAAATAGTAAATTACTATTTTTTAAATAAAATTTTAATCAATAGGTAGATTTGGAAAAAAGAAATTTCATTATAAAATACATATTTCATAATCAATTCTTCCATTGAGATTCTTTAAGCTTATCAATAATTAAAAATCATTGGTATAGTAAATTTTAAATTGCAAACACTATTTAAAACCCATTTTTTTAAATAAGTAGTAAGCTAGCTAGTATGATAAAATGTTTATTAAAATAAATTAATTATAGTATTGTAATTAGACAAATTTATTTCAAGTGTATATAATAAAAAGCATAATGTGTATGAATATATACTGTCAGGCTACCATATAAAAATCTAGGATATCAAGAATTTATAACCATATTTACTTCTATGTTTAATATAGAATCATAATATATGATTGATTATTAGTTTAAAACATGGTTGCAATTGTTCAAAATATAAACAATGTTCTTAACATGTCAATGAAGTTAAATAAACGCATAATAAATTTTTAAGTTGAAAGATTTTCATTAAATTTTGAAATTAATATGTACAGTCTATTAAATTAATAGTGTTATAATATGTGAAACACACGTTGGAATGTTATTCAGTATATTTAAGACCAAAAGGTGAAATTATCTGTATCTTTTAAATTTGTCGAATCATCTTTACTATTACTGTCGAGACGTTATGATGTGTACTTAGAAAATTACTATTGTTTTTTTCATTTGTCCAAAACGGATATCAATAATCTCATTTAAGATCCTTTTGCGAAAATTTTACAGAATTTTACCAATGTGCATATCTCAATAATGCATTATTATAATATATTGCATATAACCTAGAGTATAACGATAATTCAGAATAAAGCTCAATAATTAGTCATTGTTCAAATTTCTTCATTCACACTAAAGAGCACATTATATTACAAATAAGAGAGTGCTTAATCTCCAATATTTACCTGTAAATCCGTATCCCTGGGAACACAAGGATAAAACAGCAATCACAACATATATTCACAATTTAGTAAACAACCCAAATTTTTATGGCTTTAGAATAAATTTAATAATTTATTCTAAATTTGAGTACTAATATAAGATACAATTGCATATATATATACGTGTACTTATATATAAAACAAATAAAGCATTTAGTTTATTTGCCAAATGAATTGATACACTAGTAAATACTTTTTACGTATACAAGATTATATTGAAAATAAATTTTCTAAGCAAATGAAACGCTAATTAAGAATTATTTATCTCTAAAAATTTTATTAATTATATTAGATTATCACAGTATGATAATTTAAATTTTATTCATATTAGTGGCACATATTTAACCAAGTTGTATTATGTTCTATTTCACTGCACATTTTATTTTTATTTGCATATTTTACTTATTTCAATTTATTTAACCATTAAAACTATTCTCCAATACTCTATTTTGGTCGTGAATATATAATAATCATGATTATTTATAAATACATTAGTAGTATCATTAAAATATAAAGACAAAATGTATTATATTAAATAACCAATAGTATTAATATAATTAATATATATTTATTTTATGAAATTATAACACCTATAAGAATAAAAGATGTATTTTTAAAATATTGTGTATATGCATGGTTATATATATATATATAAATTATAAAATTAAACTTATTGCAACATTTATTGTACCATAAATCATTAAATTAAATGAATATATTCATATGAAAATATTCAAATTTTTATTCAGATGAATATTTCCGAATGGACAAACGTAAGAATTCCTAGACCAAAGGATTGGAATGATTAGACGATATTGCATCTCATTAATGTATTAAATATAATTTAACGAAAATAATAAAATTATACAAGATACTACGATAGTTTTATTTATATAAACGAAAAATTCTATGTATATTTTATATTAAATTATAATATTAGTAGTAACTGCATTGTGTAAAGCTCTTATTCCAGTTTCCATAAGATTTGGTGGACCAAAAATAAAATCTTTTTTAATTCTTTGTCTTTTCAACAAGATAGCCATCATATATTCTGAAAGTATCATAGAATTTACAGATATGTGAGTCAAGTTGATTTTTTTTGCTAGTGTTCCTGTCACGTGTACATCATCTATCCAAAAATAGGGTTCTTTTTGAGCTTCTCGATAAAGAAGAAAAACAGTATCTACTGTATATAAAATAGCCCAACCAGCACAATAAGTTGGATATTCTTTGTTTGGATATTCCTTTGGTAATACACGCCATTTTGAACGCCAAGATCTTCTCACTTTTAAGGTTGTAATTGAATCACACAGTATTAAACGTTTAACATCCCTCTGTGATAGTTCTTGCTTTAAGAATTTTAGTAAAGCACCTACATGTACAAAAACGTCATCATCTAATTTTAAAATATATTTTGCATCTAAAACAGAATAATATCATTTAATTTTTTTTCAGTATATTAGAATAAAATAAAAATATTACTTGAGCAATAATATGTAACCCATTTTAATGCCATAACGTGTTTATAAGTCATATTTCTATATGTATCAAGAAAATTTCCTTGAATTAAATCTTTGTATAATGTATTTTCTTTCGCTAATTCTGATTTATGTTTTTCTGAATAACCAACCAAAAAAAAAGTTGTAATAGAGGACATACGATGACCCCACGTTTCTCTAATGACATTTCTTTTTCTTAAATTAGCTGGAGCAGAATGTATTAACATTAATAAAAATGGTTTTGCTTCCTTACATGTATTATGATTAATAATAAATTTAAAATTTTTAATATTAATTAAAGTTGATTTATCATTAATAGAGAGTTCATTTAGAAAATATGGCTGAGTAACTTCAGAATGGTTCGATAAAATTAATACATATTTTGAATGAAGAAGATCACCGGAAACAGTTATTGTAATATCAGAAAATCCTTTGATGAACCAAACAATAAAATAGCCAGTAATAATCAAAGTAATAAGAAATATTACTGTGTATGAAGGCAATATAATACCTTTTTTGTTTAACATTCTGAAAAATCTTTTTCATGCTTTAAATAAATTTGTAATTATAATGTGATGATATACTTGATTTAGTTAATCTAATAATAATGATATAAATTAATTAAATATGTAAATTTTTAAATATGTATTCATATATTATATTATATATTACCTTATTTTTAGTGCTCTTTTTAAAATAGATTGAACACATAAATTATTCATTATAACTATTAAAAATTACAAACTAGATTGTTCATTTTTCATAACATTATTGTTTAGTATCTCCAAAATAAGCATCTAGAAACAAATATTAATATAAGTATCAGATGGTTTAAATATTGTAGAAAAATGATTTTAAATATTCTAAATACGTTTTTATGAACTAAAAACATACAAGCTAACTGTCAATAGTAATTCTTCTATTTAAATGTAATAATAGAAACAATACTAAAATTAAATGAAATTATAAAGAGGATTCATAAATGTTATCCAAAAATTAATTTTTTGATAATTGATAATAATTTATTATATTTAGTATCGGTGAACTATATGTATAAATTTAACACTGACAAGCAAAAACAAAGTAATACAGTAATTACAAATCGTTTCGTACGATAATATTAAGATTAGAACACCGAGTTAGTAAGTTGTTATTTCTAATAAATAAATTATATAGTAATATAACTGAATATAAAAATCAAGGAAAATTCATAAAAAAACTAATATAAAAAAATTGAGCTCGTCAATTTTCAAAGTTTGAAAACGTGTATGAGGATGAATTTTTGTAAAAATTTACTTAAACTTAATCCAGCATGTAAATTGGAAAGAACAAATGTATGAAGCTCAAAGTACTTATGTACAGTAGTACAATGAAATTAAAAATATTGTAATTGAAACTGGTATAAGTTAAATATATTATAAGTTACATTCCACTTTTAATTTTTCTAATTACGAGTAGAATTATGAATTTTTAATAAGTTTAAAGTTTTTGTTTGCAGATTTTACAAATTTGAATAGAATTTTTTAATTTTCATTTATTATTACTTATTAATGAATATAAATTGAAAATATTAAATATTCATTATGAGCTTTCTGTTATATATGTTAAAAAAATTATAACAACATGTATAATGTAACAAGAGCTTAAGATCAATAATAAAAAATAGTGTTATATGTTATTCGATTATTATTAATCATGGCTCAAAGAAAAACTATATATATACATAGATGCAAGATTCAGTTAACTATTCATTATGCATGTTCTATAGAAAAATTAAAAAACAGTCTGTGTTTTGGAAATTTTCATAATATAAGCTCGCTACTCATGATCATTTATTGGTATAGGAAAAATATTTATGTTTTATTGTCTATATTCATAACTTGATACAACCTTATTTTATTATAAGAAGAGACTATTATACATTTAACTTTTCTAGTATATCTTCTATATCTGAGATAAATGAAGTTAAATTTTTATGTATATCAGATATCCAGTTGTCAAATTGTTGATCCATAAGAGCTAATATTTTCAAAATAGTTATGTAAATAATACATTTTTATAGAATTAGCATTCATTTAAAATTTAAAATTAAGATTATAAACCGATTATATGGTATAAATAACAAATCAAATAAATATTTTGAGCAAAAACTTAGTAATAATTTATTACTAAGTAGAATTAAATAACAAGTACTTATATATATACGACAATGCCAAAGCATTCCCATTATACCATCCCTATTTTTAAACATTCACTTTCTCAAGTTCATTTTGCTTATATATATTTTAAAATTATGAAATATTTATGAAATATTTTTTTACATGATGTTTAAGATTTTATCAAACATTGGCCATCTAAACATTATAGCCTAATTGGAAATAATTTTTTAAGACAATTTTACCATAAAACTGTTAAAAGAACAGGGGTTTATAAGATTGTACGTATGCTGAGCATGATTGTTTCACTAATGAGAAAATAATATATTAAATATTTAGTGGATAGAATTTATTGTTAAATGTTAAGGTAAACAATTTTCTTTGCATTGGTATGCAATAAAAAATGACAAATATATAAAATAACAGATATTTATTTTTGAAGATGATCCATCTAAATCAGTTCAAAGATATTAGCTTATAATAAAAACCAATTCAGTTGCACATTTTATTATTAAACTTTTAAATACACTTTACTTATTACTGTCTAAAATCTGCAACGAATATATTTAATGTTTGAATGGGAGTAATATTTAAAATACAAATAGAATAGAAATACAAATACAAATAGAATAAAATAGAAATATTACATTTTAATATACTTGATAAAATAAGATAAAATGTATTTTTATTATATTCATTGACATTTTTGTTACGTCACTTTTATTATAAGAGACAAGTTTAGGTTTTTATCAGATAACAATTTTAAATTTATATGTACATTTAAATTCGTTAGATATGCTTCGATTTATACATCCCTCTTATGTTTAATACAACTTCTTTAGAAAGCTCAAATAAATCGAACAGATATCTAAGGCGATCAAAAGGTTATACATTAGTCCTACTGTATCAATCATACATTAATTCTTATTTTAAAACATAAACATAGTTTTATATAATTTAAAAATAAAATTGTAAAATATTTTTAAAATAAAATATACTTTTTTATTATATTAACAATAATAAATTGTATTGAATTATTTCATTAATTTATGAATAGATATTGTTAACAGGAGCTTTATATTCATTTCCAAAAATTAGTCTAGAAATCTATAAAATTTTAAATTAAAATTATTAACGTGAAACAACTGTATTATAGATAAAAACAAATGTAGACGAAACTATAACAAAAAATTATCTTTTTCACCTAATATAATAATTGGCTTATTGAAATATAATGAAAACATATGTCTTACATGGTTGATCCTTCACAATACCAACAAAAATTGATCTATCTACATATAAAAAGATTATTAAAATCTTATTATTGCTACATGTTTTAAGATTTAAATTTGTTTAACCTGTTTTATACTGTATATGACAGTGAGAGTTGAATGAAATATTTTAGATTATAAATTGCCCAAATTAATTGTTGATAAATAATGATAAAAAATATAGTATTTATTTTGATGAACATCAACTGTAAAAAAATAATTTTATTAAATGAAAGTACACAAGAATCTTTTTTATTTTAAATATGTAAGAATAATTTATTTTTTATATTAAATATATTATACTGAGTAATGTAATTTTTTTAATTATTGTGACAGAGAACTTTATTAGTTTAATTTCATATATTAAACTTACGAAATCCACAAAAATATATGAAATTAGTCATGCTTTATAAGTACAACTCATCTTGAATAAAAAACACTTAAAATATAATTTAAAATATAAATTTATAATCATAATGTACCTTTTCAAATGCTTTATTTTAACAAAATATTTTTTCCCAATTTCTCTATTTATAATATATTGATAAATATATCTTACATATTTACAAATATGCATTAAATTATTTACAGCATATTAATTGGAAAATCTAGCAATTCTAATGAATACATGTAGTATATTAATTCTGTAAATGATAACAAATATATATTTATTTATATGTCATCAACAGATAAAAAATTTAGACAAATACTAATAAACCCAACTGCTTAAAGAATATTTTTTATATTGGTTATTAGCATCATAATCTATTGTAACAAACTATCATTTTATTAAAAATATATAAAGAATATAATTAATTTAATTTTGAATTATTACTAAATTAAAAATATTTAGAAAGTAATTAAATATTTTTAATTAATAAAGAGCATTAGTATTTTCATCTAGGCTAATTAATTTAAGGTTTACAGAATATAATCTTTAAAAATAATAAAAAATTTAGCAATTATAAATACAAGTCTTTGTATATAATGTAAAATATAATTAGTTTTACTATTGAAATTAAACAGTAACTCAAACTATATAAAAATTTGTACATTAATATGATTTGTTGTACGTCAATTTTTATAAACTACATAAAAAGCATTTCAAACATTTTTACTGTTATTAGATTTCTTACAATTTTAATAAAAGAATTACTTTATAATAGTAAATTAAATTCGTTTAAATCATTTAATTACTTTACGTTTTCCTTGTAAGTTATTAGTATCTTATCTATTTATTTGAAAAGTTAATAGTTTTTAAATTTTAATGAAAATTAGTTACATACTAATTAAATATGAAATATTAAATTTCATTTTTATATTTAACTTTTCATTAATTTTTTAATGAATCAAAATATAAATTTTAGAATTTATTTTGTTTTTAAAATAAGAATAAAAAAAATTACATTTGTATAGAATATTCAATATAAATTAATGTTAAACTATTTTTAGAATGTATAGAATAATGTGAAATTTCAAATTTTTTTCAATAATTTAAATAACCTATATTAGCTTTGATATAATTTAACTATTTTATCTAATATATATTTTATTCATTAATGTGAGAACTTTAATTCAATATACTTACAGAATATGGACAAATAATTTTTCTATTAACAATAAATATATCTAGCTAGAAATCTATTCAAGTTTGATTCCGATTAAAATTTAATTTATTAGATTATTAAATTTATTAAAACTATAATCAACAAATGTCTATTATTTGTTAAGAATTCATTGAAGATGTGGAAACATTGACAGTTCCATTAAAATATTTAAATTATTTATTTTTTTTTTATTTTTAAATAAATTGAATTATACTCTTTAAATTATAAATATTTGTATTCTTATTAAAGGCAATAATTTTATGTAATTATTAATATGAAAAATATTTAATTACAATATGTATATAACATTTATGATAAATTTTATATTTTAATATTTATTATTATTAATTTAAAATCAACGAATTTATTCATCAAAATTGAAGATTTTATATTTTTTACTGTATGTATACTTGACCATGTCTTATTTATTAATTTATAACATACATAAACAAATGATTACAGATTAAAAACAAGTTAAATCTTATATATAAAATTAAT